TCATCTGGACCGCGCTGATAAATGTTCGCTTCGACCTCACAACGAGTCTGCTGGAAAACATCCCAGGCTCAAATCAGCGGACTACAGATCATGGTGATTCTGATTCTGATGATGTCGACTTCGATGTCGACAATGATGACGATGATGACATCCCAGCAGAACTTCTTGCGACCATCACATCTCCTGGCCATTCACGCCCCATCACCAATCACTTTGCAATTGCGAAGCTCCTCCAGGACAGGGAGGTGGGGACGGTTCCCATGCCATTGTGCTCATTCTCTGTCGGACGTACATCATTTCATCTTGCCCATGTCCATCCATTAGATCCATTTCTGTTGACGACACAGCTCTCAAGTTTGATGTTCCAGACCTGCGACCAGCCATTGCTGACTTTCTTAGTCGCGAAGCTGCTCATGGGCAGGATTACGTTCATACTATTGGGGGGGCTAGGAGAGCTAAACCCACCGCTTCACTTCCATTCGAAAAGCTCCAGGTCTGGTTCAAGCTTCGATTGCAGGATACGGATCTTCATGATATCAGTGTCGTGCCTGCTCAGACCCTGAATTGTTCACCACCTTCTGGTGTCTGGACTTGCGGCCGGTATGATCCGGTCATTGTAAACGACAATGCGAGATGCTCATGGCCTGCCGATGGTCTTCATGGTACGTTTTTCTCTCCTCCCGTGCTTATTATTCTCATTATTAAATCTCAGGGCACACCGTTGGTGAAATTAGGCTGATTCTGCGTCCTGTTGGAAAAGCTGGCACATATTGGTCATGGAAGGACCGCTTCCTCACCTACGTCTATCGCTTCGACATCATTCCACAAGGTGGAAGTAATCGTGAACCGAGTACTCAAATGCACATACTTAAACGAGCGAAGCGCTCAAATGGTACTCGGTGGGTGATGTCGTACCAGTTACGCAGCTCAGGGCACCTGTCAACCTTGTACCTCGCTTTGGTGCAAGTGCGGACAATCGTCTCACCCAATATAACAGTATGGAACATGCTTCAGAATTTTGGCTCAATAAATACTGGGACAAAAACACATTCTTCCCTCTTTCATGTAGCTTCACAGATTGGTTTTTTTTAACTCATGTATACTAGTAAGATAATCGCTTTGGGTGAGAAGCCGTTTATTATTAGTTCTTGGAATGCTGCGCTTTGCGGCGCATGATAGCACTGTCTGAAACGATCCCACGTTGTCATACTAGCGCAAACCAGACAAAAAATGGCTTCCTTTTTCAGGACGGTTGACAACAGAATCAAACTTTCCTCCTTGTTGTCCATCCCCGACGTCAGCGATGTCCATACCATGAACAAAATCACTTCTGACGAACTCAATCATTTGGTTACGCACGAGGACGCACCAGAGGCATCGCAACCGCTGGGGCACTTGCTGTCTCATATTTTTAAACCTTTCAAGGTCCCTCTCCCTCATGTATCTGAACTCCAAATTCCTCTAAAAAAATCATCCATCCCAACGAACACGTCAGATCGCAATATCATGGCTTATCGCCAGATTCTCTCGTGCCACTATACAACATCGAAACGAGTACTTGGAACTGGGATCTTCCAGTTAATCCCCCTGGAGGTGGCTCGGACTCAGACACTAGTGGTGGTAGTAGCCACGGTGCTCCAGCGAGTCAGGACCCAGAGGTTGCAGAGAGTGCAACTTACGAAGAAATTTTCGCATCCTTTATGAATGCTCTTGCTGGCTGTTTATCAGCATCACAACCCCTCCTAGAACGCGAGTGTTATGCAACTCGCACATGGAGCGCAGCCAATGCTCACAAGGCATTGCCCGGGAGCGAGATAAAGCGCAAACCTGACCTTGTTCTATCTGACGATGTCACAGCAAAGTGGGGAAATATCAGGGTATCCGGTGAGCTGACACATAGTCCTTACAGCCTGCAATGCGGCTTGGGAAGGCTCCAGACACCCATGCCTACCTCATGATGAGCGAACAGCCCTGGAGGCGCTTTTCGCTCATATTATCATTCACTAATGCCTATCGTCATCTCAGAGTCCTCCTGTATGATCACTCTGGTGGCGTGGTATCTACCCGGTTCGACATATCAGCAACCCGACTTATTTTCTCATATAATCGCTGTTATCAATTTCGGCAATCTAGAATGTGTCGGTATGATTCAACGGTTTCGTTCACGAAACTTGTTTCGCCACCCCCTCCAAAAATCCGTGAATATCGCCCAATCAAGAACATACCCCGACGTAGCAGTTCAGCAGACCCTGCCGCATCCACTTCTGAATCCCTCGATGAACTGGGCTCTCGGGACCCGTCCTTTGACGATGATATAAAGTCTGTAGTCTCTCATGACTCTGACGATGATCTCGAGTCTGTGGTCTCTGATGACTCTGGCTCTGAGGAACGCTTAACTGACTCGGAGGACGCACCTGAAGGAAATTCAATTGAATCTACTATGCAAACGGAAGAATTCCCCCCATCCCTCCCTCCAGTGCAACCCACTACGGTGTCCAGTGCCCCCCTCCTCAGCCTCGCGTCCCAAATTCCCCAGGACTTGACAGAGAGTATATCTTCCGTCACGCCTCATCCTTCCCAATTTCCCTACTCTGCGCACTCACCTGAACCTTGTGGCAAGATCCGCGTAGGGGATGACGTGTACATTATCAAGCGAATTCTTTCTGCAAGCCGGGGGCTTGTTGGTCGTGGATGTATCTGCTATCTGGCCAGTCTGGGCGATGAAGATTTTATCATCAAGGACCATTGGGTTCTCGGCAAGCGGGAAGATGTCATTTTGAATGAGATAGAGATGTTGAAATTAATGCAAGGTGTCCCTGGCGTTCCCGAGCTAGATTATTGGCTCGTCACGACATCAGAAGGCGAGACGTCACTCGAAGTTATCGCAAAAGGGAACGCCGGAGTACCAAGGGCACCAGTCGCACTCATGTCCGCCTTGTCCTAAAGCCGTGTGCTCGCCCCCTCCACATGTTTCGAACGCTGAAAGAGTTCGTGAGAGCGTTAAGGGACATTGTGATCAGTAAGTGTCTACTAGTTGAGTTGTGTAAGAGCATTGAACTGATGTTTCTTCTTGTAGTCCAGAGAACGGCGGTGGAGGAGCGCGGGATCCTGCATCGCGATTGTAGTCTTAATAATGCGATGATCCTGGATGATCTAGACCTCAGCAAGGGGTTCCTTATTGACTGGGAATTTGCAGTACGCATTGCTGCGGACAATAAATATCCCATCGGTGGTACGGTAAGTACATTCATTTCATATCGAGTTTCAAACATTGATTCATTTTCCAGGGCACGGTCCCCTTCATGTCACGCATGCTTCTCAGCCAGGTTTCGCTTTTGCAACAAAAGGTGGTTGCAGACGCTGAGCAGAAAAAGCTGATGAAAGCAAACAAATCGAAATCGAAGAATGCTCCTGCCCTGAAAACACCGAAAACCTCCTCAGATTCTTTAGCGCTGCCCGTTTCTCATGTGGTCCAAGGTTACTCTGATGATCTTGAATCTCTTTTCTTCATATTCGCTTGGGTTTGCATCAAGTTCTGCGGTCCCAACGGCACGGTCCGTCAGGAGCGCATGCCCAATTCCTTACTCGATCGCTGGACCAGCCTTGACCTGGCATCGTGTGCTGCCTTCAAGATCACCTTTTTCGCGAATCCATTGGATGAACAGCGTCTCATAAACGAATTTCACCCATACTTCAAACCCCTCATCCCCCTTGCAAAGGATTGGTGTGCAGCATTGAAGGATAACATGGTTAACCCTGTTACCTTTGACGCCATTCTTCACATACTCAACTCTCATCTGAGGAGCTTTCCGATGATGAGGAGCTCCAATCCACTGTGACAATGCTCAAGAAAACTGCCACTGCTCTTACTAGTAGCTTGAAACGTGTTGCTTCACTGTCTTTGCCCATGCCGAAGCGGAGGAAGTCGGACGACTTGCCGGAGACATCCGAACAGGTGTAACATATTGCATATCGTATGCATTTTCTTATTAGTAGTTATCACACTGACTCGGATGGGTGTCACGTATTTCCTGACATGTATATGACTACTTGTAGATCTACTCTGAGTCATGTACGACTGACATCGATATGTTTGCCTTATAGTTTACGTTTTTCTTACATAATGATATGTTGACTTGGATATGTGACGCCAACAGCACACTTACAAATTAATTGCACGTAATAACACAGCTGCGCATTGACTCGAAGGTGCGAATTTTATGTCTTTCTATCGGTGCATAGTCTTTGATTACCTCCATCAGCGCTGCGTCCTGCATACAGTCGAGGCAAATACCGTAGCAGTACTCCGATAAGCATCGCAATAACCGTCAAGGCTATACGAGTCCTTCCGCCAAGATTTGTATAAAATGGTGGTCTGATTTGTAAATTACCTGTCTTGCTGCTTTCTTTATTGCAACATGCCTCCTCGTGCAGTAGCCAGTCCCAAGAAGAAAAGGTCCAAGCGCAAAGCTTCTGACGCTTCAAAGGCTAGCTTACCGAAGAAGCCCCGTGCAGCAAACCCCGTCGAAATTCCTAGCATGCCGCTTGTATCTCTTGGTCTAACCAAAGTTGATGCAGCGGACGCTGCTCCTCGCCTTCGTCCGCCCCAATGCGGGAACAGGGGGTAGGAATGCCCAGCTGGAGAAAATTGGGGTAGTGTTAGAGGCTAAGTCCGGAATCGGAAACCAAGGGCACCACATCTCTTGGTACGGTCAATCCCGTGAACCCTCAGGCTCCAGAACACATCGTAAAGGCGAAAGAATCATCAGAAGGTATAACACACAGTCTTTGTTGTCGGTGGTGTTGATTGTGCGTTTAGGTGCTCCCCCCCCATACAGTCCTGACCCCTCAGACTTCAGTGCCAGCCCCGGTGCCTCATTTTTTATTGCAGCAAAATGGCGGGAGGTTTGGTTTTGCAGCTTCGACCACCAATCGTGTTGTCCCTCCTGGCGCAGAGCCCAATCCTCAAGTCTTGAATAACCCATATCTTGAGCAGCGCAATCAGAATACTTTCGCTGATCACTCCCGCAGTTCACAACCTCAAACAAACTGCTACCTTGTCAGATTACAATATAGACCCGGCCCTGCGTGAGAGGTGACGTCGCTAGCAATTCACGCAAGGCTGTAGGATCCGATGGAGGACAGCGACTCTAGCGGTAGTGGTACTGACACTGACATTGACAAAGACGACAACGAAGAGGGTGAGGACGAGGCAAGGGCGAGGACGAGGATGAGGACGAAGGAGACGAAGGAGGAGAATAATGAATCCCAGTTTGGTTGGGGGGAAGCTCACCAACGGCAGAAGGGACATCCAGGTAAGAATTTAATGTTAGGAGTTACCCTCACTGACTCAATTTACAGGATTTTCAGCTGAAGGACTCCCTACTCAGGCTCGAGTTGCTCGCCCTCTGACACCAGACTTCGAATTTCAATACTCACGCGATGAAGATGAAGACTCTGCCCGGATGCGTCTCAACAACAGCAACCAGGTATTATTTTCATTATTCGTTTGCATCATGCTCACAGTTTCTCACCTTTTAAGCCTCTGGGCACCTTACCAGGAGTGCAGCAGGAACGATCGGATCCTCAGGTGAGAGAGTAGTTCTGTTTTAGATGAGGCTCACAATATTTCAAAGACTAACACCTCAAAGGCCGAGGATGTATTGAAGCGCCACCATAAGAAAAATGGTCAGCCTCGCCTTCCCGACCCTGAAACGCTCCAGCTGTTGAATCAAGTGGCGGAGTCTGTCGACCAAGTTCAGCGCCGGTCCAAAATCCAAGAACCCCAAGGGATCTGACGGGCCGAGGCCTGATCAACTGGCTTGGTATGGACCACGCTGGAAAAGTTTTCTCGAGGAGGCCAAAGGAGAGTGTCGCGGGCAGCATGCCCTGGAAAACCCATTCCCGCCTTTAGTCAAGGAGATGCCAGGAAACCATCTCCGAGGTTCTACTTTCAGTTCTGGTCGCATGGGACAAGAACGGTAGACAGTTTGAAGCTGGTACGTACTTGTTTGTTCCCGAACTAATATCCCGAACTAATCTGTTTCATATCGTGATGCAGGGGTCTGGCCAGAGCAGCAATATAACATGACGCGATTGGTGTGTGGTTTACTTACATTCATAATTCCTTGTTGACGCATCTCACATTTGTACTACAGTTGTATGACGACCTGTCAACTTGGCGGTCTGATCTGAAGAAGATTGCAATAAGCATCGCGCCGCTATCATACTCGCTTTTGCCTCCGCCTTCGGTTCCTCCTCAACAACGTGCAACTTGGGTCGAAAATGCTGCTAAAATTTACTCCAGGGTGGTTTGTATTTACGGTTTGGAATAGACGAGAATGTAAGTGATTTTGCGCTAAATATGCCCATACTCATGGCAAGATCAACAGGGGCGAACAAGGAACTTCGCTAATTCTGCCCTCCGTGATGCATCCATTGCTTTTTTTACACAGGACCTTACCGGATTGCACGGAGGCGGCCAGATCATTTCCGCACACAATTGCCAATATCATGCTTAGCCTTAGTTGCCACAGTGGTGACGTGTTCTCCTCCCCTTGATGTCATGCTCATGTACTGATTTTTCTATCTGTAGTTCCACTGCGTCTTTGACGGTCTTGAGAAGAACGGTAATGGTAAACGTTATCCGAATTTCTCCTCGAAGGAATACTCGCCGATCTACCGGAAAATGCTCGACATCATCAAAAATACCCTCAAGGACGAATATCACGGCCCTAGATTGTCAGCACAACTTCGAGAATGGGCCGAAGCCGGATGGTAAGTTCTTTTCATATGAAAAACCTCAACTGATTTCATTCATACAGGGCCGAAAATCTCAAGCTCGACGGCGGCGCTATGGAGGCGAGACATGACCACCTCCAGGTTATTCTGGACTAAACCTTTGTATTCCGCACTCTTCACTTACCCTGTAGTCGCATTTCTTTTGATTCGTCATTTACTACTACCTACTGTTATGTGCTTTCGTGTTTCCGTGATCCGAGATTCAATATATGTCATTTGTGGCTATGCTACTGTATTGAGTGAAAAAAATATGTACAACGAGCAATGTCTGCACAACTCCCATTTTCTGAGTGGTCTGTGAGTGTCTGTACAGCCATAGACAGAGCAAACCAGCGCTATTTAGTCCTCACTGGGTGTGTCTGTGGGCATCTGTACAGGGATTGACAGAAAGGTCTGCTACTGTAGTGAGCTAGGTAGTAGGGACCAAGCTATACGGCTGGGATGCTGTACAGCTCTGTACAGCTCTGTACAGAACATTATAGTTTACTGATGCAAAATGACAACTTACTGGGTGTCATTGATCCCACGAGCGTCGTCCCTGGGTCCCAAAGACAGTTTCTCCACCCTGATCGCGATGCCAGTGATCGCTTCCGTCTAAGGCTATTACTTAGCAGGAGAAACTCAGGTATAGTTCAAGAAACTCACTCTGAATAGTACGAGGGCTTGATCCAAGTCTTTCTCCCATTTAGTAATCCGGTCGCGATCGATGGTGACAGAGAGGAGCCGGTGCAAAAATCCCTCCTTCGATGACTCTATGTTGCTATTGATGCGGCTTTACTGACCTGGACAGTGTCATCAGATTCTGGCGATGGCAACATTGGTTCAGCTCACTTGTTGAGCTGAGTTAATGCATGCCCCAAGTATCCTTGCAGATCGTCTTTGGTAGCACCTTTGGTCGCTCTTTCAAGAATTTCCCTGATGGTCTCGCACTTGTCGGCTATCGCTTGGAAATCGGACTTGTTCTTGATCACCGACTGTATAAACGTAGGTCTTCACTAATCTTTCTGGGAGTTAGGCCAACGCACCTGCGCAATAGTCAAAATATTCGCAATTGTTCCAAGGATGCCTTTCACCAGATCGATAGGCACAAGGTCTTTGGTAGCATTGATTGCTGATATAGTGGCACCCAGCAGCTGGACCACATTATCGTTCTGGGACTACTTATCTTCAGCAGATGGTTGTTTAGTATGTGGGCCATTCTATGTTAGATTAGATACACGGTAGTGAAATGTGGATGTCTGCCTTCTTGCCTTTGGTTGCCTGGTTCTTCCAGCCTTCGGGTTTTTGGAGAACATCGCCTGAGATTGTGTGGTGTGTTTGAATCTGAGTGGGTTTTAGCCACCAAACCAATGCCTCTACCAACCTTAAATAGAGCAGAGGTGGAGGGTGAGAAACTGCACGGTGTAAACACATAGCCTGCCGGGCGTCTATTGTATTGATACGTTTCATACCCTCAACTTTGGAAGGAACTCGAGACAGATTCGGGATAGTCATCACATCATTAGACGCGCATGTCACACCGCGTTATATAGACCTGCCGCACCTCGTGCAAAGTGGGAGTGGCAGATGTGGTTGGTGGGAGAAGCTGATACAGCGTAGCTTTCCAGTAGCTGGTTATGCATGTACAAGTATCATAGCTAGTGCTGAGTTTTCAAATTTCAGGTCAAGTAAAGAGTACTTGCATTTGACGCGGTGTTGACAGCTGCACGTGATCAAAAACTTTGGACACATACTTTGAACTTTGAACTTTGTGATTCAATCGAAGCCCAGTCAAATACAGTCTCCAGCAAAGTACTCCCCCAAGGTCCTCTGTTCCCACCTTTGCACTCTCCCTTCCCGTAGCTCGTCTACTAAAGAAGACCATGTTGCCTTCTCAGTTCACGTAGGCTGTTGAACTAGTTGTGGTTACATTCGCTCCGTCGTAGAATGGTTAGGGTTCTCCCTCGTAATACCTCTCCCCTTTCAGCTTCTCTGAGTCATAACAGCAAGTTCTTCCTCCCTTCTCGCCCTGGGTACATGATGTTGTCGCCAGAGCGTGTCTCGGTGGACGCCATGTCTTGACGACACACAGCTCGGCTTGCTACATGGCACAAACCGCCCTGGAGGACGAATGCCTAGTATACCTCATACCTGCAACACAGTTGCCGAGTCTCAAATAGGTGCGAGGAAGGGAGAGAGAGATTGGAGAGGGAGATGTGACAGTAGAATTATGTTGCGGTTGTTGTTCTAGAGCACTGGGCACGAATATAAGTTACTGACTGGAATCAAATAGCTCGACGTTCTCGACATTGAGATGATCCTATCAAGATGGCGTGAAAGTGCATACCACGAGAGGTCAGTCTCAATTAGATAATCCGAATCTATATTCTTGATTCAATGAATTATCGATTATTAGATCTATCATACAGAGCTCGAGATACTCAGATAATCGTGTCAATTCCCTTGCACATTCTTTGAGTTCCCATTTCGTCTAGCCAGGTATATCAACACTGATAAGGGACTAGATTAACGTACGATGTTATGCGTGAACGTGTACCAAGCCCAAAAGGGAGCTTGTAAGAGGAAAAGGTGACGCGATGAGCAGTCTGGCCTTTTCGATATACATGACACTAAATGCACGCTCACAGTTGAACAGCTTAGCCCTCAGGTCGACTAGCTCCAATCGGAACTATGCATTGACTCTCCCCATCAAATGTTACATCATCGGCTGCTACTTTGTCTTCAACACGCACCATTCCAACATATCCCCTTCTACAACCTTCTTCCGCCCTTCTCAGCTCGAAGCCAAATCCATTTGCATCATCGACTAATAAACCGTCGATTCTACTCCATCGTTCGGGGGAGCTGCTAGTCGTATATTTCTTCCATCTTCCTATCTCCAAGACACACTGAATCCCCCAACAAACGTGAATACCTCAGGTCTCTCGGACCATCGATCGATCTACTCGACTCCTTGCCACAAGGCTCGTACAACTCTAAAATTTGGTACTCGCTATTCTCAATGATAAGGGCCATTGACTCCTTGACCGCATAATCATTGCTATAAAACATTAATACAACAACGAAACACAACGGTGAGCTGGTAGCAAGATGCGCAACCACTTAGCTTGTGTGTCATACGTAGTGACTGCAGCGCAAGTTAGCTGTTATTACAGGATGCGCTTGGCATCTGTTTCTGCTTGGGCCTTGTATAAGTGACTCGTGGAGCTTCAAACATCGATCAGCCGCTCCGTAGAGGGGACTCCGTGTCCTAGGTGGCAGAAAGTAGGAGAAGTTATATCATCCAAATCACTTCGGAACATAGAATACATAGCTCGACGAGGCTAAATATTACAACGAAACAAATAAGTATGCATACTCCCCACACAATACCATAGTTGATCATTTGGATCGTTGTCTGTGCTACACATATCTGCCAGTCAACGGATTTCCACCAGCCTGGAAAGTACTGATGGTCATCATGCGTGTTCCCCCCATCGGCCCTGGTCACGATCTTAGCGTGATATTCTCGAATGCTGAGGATCAAACGCGGGTCCCAGCACAAACATCTGCAATACCTGTGCAATTGACCAAATGCCAGAGTAAATATCACTTCCCATGGACGACGAGTCCTGCAGAGAAATGATGAGAGAGTGGTCAGCTGCAGATGCCAGTCACAGGTTGGCGCACCGTGATACTTGGAGAAAGTGTGGCAATTCTCAATGAAGCCACAATAGCAAAGCTAGCAAACGCGGAACTTCAGTGAAACAAGATAATAATATCCAAGTCACCGAACTCACGCTAGAAAGTAAAACACGTGACTCTGTATTAACATCGTTAAACAGTCCCCAAGGGTCGATCCTGTCCACGAATGTCGCAGTTCATGGAAATGTTTTATAACAATCCAGACTGTAAGAAACAAGACGAGAACCTCCCACACAGCGGTGGATATCATATTCTCGTAAGTCAGATTTGTCATGTTCGTGTCCATGTAGGTAATGCAGATATGGAAGCCGGAAAGGACGGCCTCCTCTGGTAAATGTCCATTAGTCCCTTGTGTTCAAGACTTTCGTCAATAATCAAAACTTGCGTGCTGAAACACCCAGGTTTTCAACCACTACCATAACTCCGGAGGTGATCGTGCAAGCCAGCAAGGTTACAACAAGAAAGATGAGCAACTTTTTGGATCCATGATACATGGCATTTATCCGAGCAATCATGATGACTTTGAATGATATTTCAATAAAGTCAATATCAGTAAGGGAGCCGCGGGTGAGCTCACCGCCCAGCAAGCCATTTACGATGACAGGGGTCCATGACCCTATGTACCAAATCATAATGCCTGAAGACCCAGTTACTTGGTGGTGGAATAAATACTTCAAATGGACTCACAGCTGTTGAAGTCATTTTCTTGAGGACACAAGCTAGCAGAGAATATGACTCACTCCTATATAGGAGCATAGTCAGTAGTTAAATGGGAGTGGCAGGCATCGGTGCAGAATACGCACTACATCGGCAATCGAGACAGGGAGAATCGCTGCATACTGCCAGTCAGAAGGAGCGAGCATATTTGAGGACACGTACACAGGATGTTCATGCTGATTGCGAAATATGACTTATTAGCACATTGCAGTGTTATGCAGATAGGCTTGTAAACGTACACAGAAAATAGTATTCCAATGTAGCGCACCTAGCATTTGTTGAAGTCAGCACAACATGCCAACTCCGCTCGTAGCAATAACGTACACAAATATAAAGAACAGTCATGAAAGACCAACGTTGGCTCTGCCCCGAGTCAACTGCATCAGCCTGTTTGGTTCTGATACAGGACTTTGCTCACCAAGACGAGTTCGAACTGTTAAAGCATTCTTAGTGAGACGCGCAGCCTGCAGGTCATGACATCAACTTACCTCTTGCCCGAATGTTAACGCTTGAATACTGTATAACATATCAATGATCCCTCGGAACGTAATATCGCTCACCCCAATCGTATACCACCACAGTGGAGCTTGCAGCTGTGAAGCGATAGTCGAATATATTGAGATATCACCGTTGGCATCACAATTGCTCTTTACGAACCTAAGAAATAGTTGATAAAAGAGTTATAACTGATGAATGACCACAAAGAGGGGTCATCTAATACTACGGTCATATCGAGATGGGATGTATTTGAGTGCGTGCAGAGATATCGCCGTCCATCACCTTTATAGTGATTAGTTTGGGTGTCCATTTCTCGAATCAAAATTTTGATTGATCACAGCACCTGTTGACGTTGATGGATAAAATCATGTAGATAAGGGGAGACGCCATTATGTCAATGCTGTGTATCGACAATGAACCGGACGTCATTTTGATGGGGATCACGGTGCATGGGTAAGAGCGACATTTGCAGTATCACACGGTTAAGCGACAGATTGGTCGGAAGGCCTGAGTCAATGTCGACTTCGGCGTAACTGTTTAGACTCGTAACCAGTCTGGACCACGTATTTGAGAGGTTGACACGCCATCCGACTTGTCCGTGGTATATCACAGTATATCACGAGCCTATAGAGGCCTATATAGCTAGTGACTATCGGGAATTAATATTGTCCGATCATAACGCGGTGACGTGCCGGCAGGATGAACTCAGCTCACAATGTCATTTCTCGCACGATTGTTGGTGGGCCCGGGGTATCAGGAAAGTACCTTCAAAAACAAGGCTATGCGGCGTAGCAGATGTGACAGATCTAACTTAGCGGGTGGCAAGCAGATTGATCGATGGACACCACATGTATGTAAGCAGTCGAATCGAGGTGACTGCTGTGGCAGCAAAGGCGTTCCCGCTAGGTCAGCTCTTAAGCTTCATCGTCTTGATGAGTCGGATAGCGAGGTGAGTCATCAAGGCACAAATGCCAAACATTTGAAATTTTGACTAGCTAGCTGGCCCAGAGTCTGGTTAGGGATTCGTTTTGTGGGCCAGACGTATAGCATTAGCAGCTAGCTGACTGGCGTGTGGGCTGTGTGTGGAGAGATTTTAAATTCGAGAGCTGCCCTACTTGTTGCCTGTCAAAACCGGTTCGTGTTCCGACGACATTGCTTTTTCATTGATAAGCTACCGCATAACTCCAAGACTGAGTACTCACCAATTGCTTTATATATAGTAATTTTCATGAATGTTAATGACCCTTGATGACAAGAGACCCTACGTAGCACCACAATTACTAAATAGGAGAGCTCAAAGTTGAACGTTGAACGCCCAACGCCCAACGCCCCCGGCGCCCAACGCCCAACGAACGCCCAACGCCCAACCTCTGAGTATACCTAGAATAAATAGAAGTAAATACATACGAATAATTAACTTTTTGTGGGCGGTTAACGTTTTTTGTTATCCCGATAACTCGATTCTCCGGTTCTGATCCTCCCTTCAAACATGGAGACTCGGATCTTTTAACTGCGAAAATAAAATATCAATAGCAGCTTGTGATCCTAACAAGCGTCAACAACGTAACACTTGCAATTCAAGAGGTGTGCGATGCTCGAGTCTCTCTTGTACACTCATCTCCTCTCAAACGACCAACGGACCAAAAATTATTAACGACATACCATATTGTCGCCTTTGTCTCAGAAGCGAGTTGCGTAGACACATGTCAATCATAATCAGGTCCTCGAGAAGAGAAAGCCAGATGCAAGAGCTTGATTGACAATTTGATGAGCATTTCAACATGAGAATACAGAGCGATACCCAGCAAATGTTACTTTTCAACATAGATGGGATACATACCGTCCTGGAGATTGATGATTCTAGTGTTCTGATTCGCCGATTGAATTACAAACATAACGATATGTCGTCCTCAGCGGCTTGTTCGCTTCGACCAAAGCAAATGAAACAATCGTAAATGTTGCTGAAAGGATGCCGTGGTAACGGTACACGCCGGCGTCGGAGCCCCCGACGACTCGCTTATTCCCAGTGTCCATCGAATTATGTAAACGCGAACTAGTCTTTTCATGACATTTGCTAGTGCCCGCCCAACGCCACATGTGTTATCTCCTTACCTCTTTTTTTCCCGCAAACATAACTCGATACGTCCTTTTCTACGCTACGGCACAAACCACCATAAGTTCTCTACCTATCTGTGCTGGATTACAACTACGACTCACGTCAATCTGGCGGCTGGTTGTTGACTGCCGCACGCACGAAGCAATGGAGCACATGCAAGCTATATGAGCATAAAAGGCATGTGAATAGGGGAGAGGGCGGGCAGTCAGCCGCCGCCAACCTCACAGATTGTTCAAACTCCACTAAATGTCAGTTGCCATCATGATAGCCCTAGACTGGACCCAGATCTCGACGCGAACAAGCCCCAGAAGTCTACCATAGACAGACTATGGAGTTGCCATTTCCTGGATATTCTCGGATCAGTTTGTTCGTAGATGAGCTACCAACATGTACTCATTTACTTTGTAATAATTTTCTTAACGCGAATGACACCTTGAATGTTCATCTTTTGCATGAAAATTGCAATAAAACAAGACAACGAAATACAACTCCAAAATCCCTGGTGGCAACGAACTGTTTGTCGGTGGCTTCTTTGTATATGTCGTCAGTCTCAGTGGCGAAGGCATCAGCATCTCCAATGTCGTTTGACTGATACCTATTATTTCTAGACATTCGCTCAAGAATTACTCCTAGTGAGTTTCGGGTCCAGGCTCAATCACAACACAAAAATGAATGTTTGCCTTTCAGACTTGGAGACTATACGTGATCTGGGGTCGCAACTTCAAGATTTGTATCATACCGGTACGCTATATTTATCGTGTCTACCATTAGTGTAACATTCGTTTTGTTAACCCATCATCATTAGTTCATTATCTGGATGCTTCACTGCAGTAAGCTAGATATGTAAGACAAGGAGCTATCTGTGGTGACACTCTGTCAGTTATAGCATCGATCGCCGTTTCTGGCTTTATTCCCGCAACAGCAACGCCTCTCACCCGCAATGTCCATTCATACGGACTCGCCGGATGGGGTCTCGAGACTGGTGTCAATTTTCTTGCATCAGACGGCATAGCTTACCGTCTATGGCACGCGGGCTTCATCGGTCGTAACTTCTTCACTGTATCCTCGTCCTTAAGCTTTATACTTGATATCGAAAGGAAAGATCGCTGTGTTGCATTCGGACGTCATAAGGAGATCTTTCGTAAGAAACTCACAGAAGGAAATACAAAGTTGATTGGGTTACTGCAAGCATTTCATGTATCACCAAGCTTTTCGATAAACGTATTGTCTTGATGGAGGCTCGAGCATACATCAAGTTCAGCGGTACAGCATGCTTGGCGTGAGCAATGTTCCGGCCGCACCGCAGTAACCTGCGACAGGCTTTTGTGCTTATCAGCGATGACAGTGGGCCAGCATATTACTGTAAAACATTAATACGACAACGAAACATAATGGTAAGCTGGTAGCAAGATGTGGCACTCCGTGTCCCAGGTGGCAGAAAGTATGAGAAGTCCTATCCTCCAAATCACTTCGAAACACCGAATACATAACGCGACGAGGCTAAATATCACAACGAAACAAATAAATATGCATGCTCCCCGCACAGTACCATGGTTGATCATTTGGATCGTTGTCTGTGCTACACATATCTGCCAGTCAACGGATTTCCACCAGCCTGGAAAGTACTGATGGTCATCATGCGTGTTCCCCCATCGGCCCTGGTCACGATCTTAGCGTGATATTCCCGAATGCTGAGGATCAAACGCGGTCCCAGCACAAACATCTGCAATACCTGTGCAATTGACCAAATGCCAGAGTAGATATCACTTCCCATGGACAACGAGTCCTGCAGAGAAATGATGAGAGAGTGGTCAGCTGCAGATGCCAGTCACAGGTTGGCGCACCGTGATACTTGGAGAAAGTGAGCCAATTCTCAAAGAAGCCACAGTAGCAAAGCTAGCAAATGCGGAACTTCAGTGAAACAAGATAATAACATCCAAATCACCGAACTCACGCTAGAAAGTAAAACACGTGACTCTGTATTAACATCGTTAAACAGTCCCCAAGGGTCGATCCTGTCCACGAATGTCGCAGTTCACGGAAATGTTTTATAACAATCCAAACTGTAAGAAACAAGATGAGGACCTCCCATGCAGCGGTGGATATCATATTCTCGTAAGTCAGATTTGTCATGTTCGTGTCCATGTAGGTAATGCAGATATGGAAGCCGGAAAGGACGGCCTCCTCTGGTAAATGTCCATTAGTCCCTTGTGTTCAAGACTTTCGTCAATAATCAAAACTTGCGTGCTGAAACACCCAGGTTTTCAATTACTACCATAACTCCGGAGGCGATCGTGCAAGCCAGCAAGGTTACAACAAGAAAGATGAGCAACTTTTTGGATCCATGATACATGGCATTTATCCGAGCAATCATGATGACTTTGAATGATATTTCAATAAAGTCAATATCAGTAAGGGAGCCGCGGGTGAGCTCACCGCCCAGCAAGCCATTCACGATGACAGGGGTCCATGACCCTATGTACCAAATCATAATGCCTGAAGACCCAGTTACTTGGTGGTGGAATAAATACTTCAAATGAACTCACAGCTGTTGAAGTCATTTTCTTGAGGACACGAGCTAGCAGAGAATATGACTCACTCCTATATAGGAGCATAGTCAGTAGTTAAATGGGAGTGGCAGGCATCGGTGCAGAATACGCACTACATCGGCAATCGAGACAGGGAGAATCGCTGCATACTGCCAGTCAGAAGGAGCGAGCATATTTGAGGACACGTACACAGGATGTTCATGCTGATTGCGAAATATGACTTATTAGCACATTGCAGTGTTATGCAGATAGGCTTGTAAACGTACACAGAAAATAGTATTCCAATGTAGCGCACCTAGCATTTGTTGAAGTCAGCACAACATGCCAACTCCGCTCGTAGCAATAACGTACACAAATATAAAGAACAGTCATGAAAGACCAACGTTGGCTCTGCCCCGAGTCAACTGCATCAGCCTGTTTGGTTCTGATACAGGACTTTGCTCACCAAGACGAGTTCGAACTGTTAAAGCATTCTTAGTGAGACGCGCAGCCTACAGGTCATGACATCAACTTACCTCTTGCCCGAATGTTAACGCTTGAATACTGTATAACATATCAATGATCCCTCGGAACGTAATATCGCTCACCCCAATCGTATACCACCACAGTGGAGCTTGCAGCTGTGAAGCGATAGTCGAATATATTGAGATATCACCGTTGGCATCACAATTGCTCTTTACGAACCTAAGAAATAGTTGATAAAAGAGTTATAGCTGATGAACGACCACAAAGAGGGATCATCTAAGACTACGGTCATATTGGGATGGGGTGTATTTGAGATAGCGCCGTCCATCGCCTTTATAGTGATTAGTTTGGGTGTCCATTTCTCGAATCAAAATCTTGATTGATCACAGCAAATGTTGAATCACATGGATAAGGGAAGAAGAAGCCGTTATGTCAATGCTGTGTATCGATAATGAATCGGACGACGATCGTGATAGGGATCACGGTGCACGAGTAAGAGCGATATTTGCAACATCACACGATCAAGCGACAGATTGGTCGGAACGCTTGAGTCAATGTCAACTTCGGCGTGACTATCTAGACTCGTAACCAGTCTGGACCACGTCTTTGAGAGGTTGACGCGCCATTCGACTTGTCCGTAGTAGTATATCATGAGCCTATCGGGAATTAATATTGTCCCAGACAACATCCGATCACAACGCGGTGACGACGTGACGTACTGGCAGGATGAGCTAGGCTGAGCTAGGATGAACTCAGTTCATTTCTCGCACGATTGTTAGCGAGGCCCAATGCGTATCAGATGATAGATCTAACTTAGTGGGCGGCAAGCCTCCAAACAGATTGATCGATGGACATTAATTGCATCCGCATGTATGTAGGCAGTCGAATCGGGGTGACTGCCACTCTTCACTGTGGCACCAAAGGCGTCCCGCTAGGTCAGCTCTTCATCGTCTTGATGTCGGATAAAGCTACATATGCAGCAATTACTTCAATTAGATCGATCCATGTCCCAATGACAATAATTTTGTTGCGACAGCCTGACATGTCAACGGCCTAGCTTACTAACGAAGGTCATAGCCAGATCATGAAGCATGGGCATGATCACCGCTATGAATAGGCTACATACTTCAAATATGTTATTACAGCAGGTACCTGATTCCAAAACAGACACTTGCTTACTTTCAAACAATAGCGTCGAGGTGAGCCAGCAAGGCACGTTTGAACATTTGAAATTTTGACAACTAGCTGGGAGTCTTTGGGTTGGGGATTCGTCTTGTGGGTCAGACGTAGCATTAGCAGCTAGCTGACTGGTGTATGGACTGTGTGTGGAGAGATTCTAAATTCGAAAGCTGCCCAGTGCGTATACATCAATTACTTACTTGTTGCCCGTCAAAACCGGATCGAACTGCAATGTTCCGGCAACATTGATTTTTTGTTTGTGTCAGGATAGAGTAGCTTACCAGCAAACATAATGCTTAGTGCCATGTATCAGTTCATCCGAGCAAGAACTCGACACTCAACGTTAACTCCAATCAATGCTCAATATCATATTCAAAGAAGTCTAACCATATGATGTGCGATGCATGAAGAATATATAGGTATGGGTAGCATGAAGGGAACGAGATGAAGAGTGCAGAACCAGGATGCCAACCAGGGAAAGAACGAGATATCACAGGCGGCCGTGCGAGGCGCCGAGAATAACAAGAAGGTGAGCAAGGTCGAAGTGAGCAATGGGAAACTGTGCCAGGTTAGCGGTAGCACGAGAAAGGTCGTGGTCAGGTGTGCAACACCAGGTTCATGGAAGGGCGAGGAAGGGTCTGTGTTGGCGTGTCAGGGCGGCGAGAGGTTGCAGGATGTTGCCCTCGGAGCACGGGGGCTGTGGAAGTGTAGGAGGTTGAAGGCGACAGGAAGGTGCAGGAGGTCGAAGTGGGAATCGGGAGACTGGTAGGTCTGGCGGCAGCACCGGATTAGCGCGAGCACGAGGAAGGTCTTGGTTAGATGTGTAGGGCAACGGCAGGATAATGGAAGAATGGGAAGGGTTTTGGTTGGGTGCGTTGGTATGTAGCGGGAGGTGGCTAGCTAATCAGGCCGGTGGCAGGGCCGCACCATAGCTACGTGATCTTGCTGGGGTAGCACTTGAATATGGGAGCCGAGAAATGTTTTTGTTCATGGTAGTCTTCGAGGTCCTTTGTGAAGTACGGCATGGTTCGGTGCAAGTTCTGTGTTTATATATATGTTCGGACTTTTTGACCAGGCACTCTGGCAACCGAGGCTGAGCTAGCTCGGAGTCGTACAGCCTGAGGGGTGACCCGATAACTCGGGTACTCGGTTGATCTTCGCTTCGACTTGGAAATTGACAGGAATTGGTCCATTCCCTAAAGCTTTTGACGATTCGTGTGTACACTCTCTCATCCAGTCCCCTCCAAGAGATGGCAACCTCAATTCAACTCATCAGACGCAGTTCCCTTCAACATCTTCGCTCTAACATCAATGCCTCCAAACGATAAATACCGTGACCCTGTTGCAGAGACGAGACTACTGCTGGTTGAACGAGGATGCTCATCTTGGTGCCCCTCGATTGCTGGGCTTGCTATGAGAGATGCTGGTGGAAGGGGCAGACAGGGCGCCTCAACAACAGAATACCACACTTCCAAAACCTTCGCGAGGGCCTGTACAGTGGGCCTTTGCATTATAGTAGCGAAAAAAAAGAGTCAAATGACCGGGGAAAAACGCACTTTTTGACTGTTGTCAAAAACCAGTAAAAAAACTCGTCATGGTTAGTTTTTCACGGAGCCCTAGTGAACTCCCCACCTTTTGATTTTAAGTCGTCCGAATCAATCGCATTGGAAGAGCCACCGACCGAAAAAGTGTTCATCGATAAGGCTTCAACGAGGCTAGAAGAATTGAAAGTGGCAGACCGAGTCATATCGTTCTGATCAATGTGTACTATGTAGTTTGAGTGCGCCTCTGTTTTATGTCGATGCCGAGGCAGAATAAAGAACTATTTGCTTTCAATTGTTGCGGTAAGACCCAGGCACTGAACAGCCTAGATATCGATAGAGATGTCAACGCGAAACTTTTGAACACCCCATAACAGAGAGCTCAAGACGCCATGTAGGAGTGACCCACCGAAGTATACATAACGGGAAAAAAAAAGGAGCTCGGCGAGAATTCAACTGAATAACATACACAAAGACAACTTGACAAGCCTCTAACAAATACTAAAAGTGTCATATGATTGTAACCGAAAAGGCCCGAACTGGAGGTTTCGGAAGATGGGAAACCAATCGTGTTCGACAAGAGCCCTCCTCCACTAGCGTTGGAAGTCAGGGATGGCGTTCGGAGGCCACAGAACTTAATCTGATCGGAATTAACAGACTTGAGGTGCAGACTTCCGATACGCGATAAATCTAGATAAAAATAAAATATCAATAGCAGTGCAGACAACAGCTTGTGATCCTAACAAGCGTCAACAACACGACACTTCCAAATTCAAGAGGTGTGCGATGCTCGAGTCTCTCTTGTACACTCATATCCTCTCAAACGACCAACGGACCAAAATTATTGACGACATACCATATTGTTGCCTCTGTCTCAGAAGCGAGTTACGCAGACACATGTCAATCATAATCAGGTCCCCGGGAAAAGAAAGCCAGATACCAAGAACTTGATTGATGAACATTTCAACATTAGAATACAGAGCGATACCCAGCAAATGTTGCTTTTTGACATAAATGGGATACATAACGTCCTGGAGATTGAGATTCTAGTGTGCTGATTCGCCGATTGAATTATAAACATAACGATAAGCCTTAGGATAGTCGTCTTGGCTTGACCTAGGGAAGAGGGGCACGGTCTCAATGTTCACAGAAGTTATCGTAGGTTCGATAGTGGATGTCTGCGTCAATACACTTCTCTCCAGTTCAACAATGCTAGATAGAAGGAGGGAATTATGATCGAGCCCAAATGGCGAAATACAAGACGTACTCTCTCATAACAGTAGCATTGATCATACGCTTAGCATGCCGCTTACTCTGATTGTCCTCGTACTGATCAGTTTCATCGACGATCTCCTCCGAAATCATTTCCTGGGAGAAACGTCATGCCATATACATAGGAAAGCTAAATGAATACCATACCTCGATAACATCTAGACCGAAACATGAAAACTGTTAGGCAGCGACAAGTGCACATGATTTGTTTTACCTTCTAGAGTAATCACACCAATTCCGCCGCCAGGTGAACCAGGTGTCCGACTGATCAATAATAAATGCGCACGCCCTGTTCGGCTAGAAAATCGCTTCCATCATCACCTGACTCGCATGAATAGAAACACGCAGTGAGAGCGTACAAATAGTCGAGCGCTTGGAAACAGTTGATTGATGGCAGGGCTTGAGGCAAGATGGACAAGGGAAAGTGCGAGACTGGGAGTTCTCGTGCGGGGTCGTACATCAGTAACTGTCGCACAATTGTCAGCAAGCTATTCAGGCGAAGTGTGGCGTCAAATGTACCTTCTTGATCAAAAGGAGGCCCTCAAATGCGAGCGGATTTCCTGGCTTGTGCACGGGAAACCGAGAGTAGCCGCTGGCAAGGCTGAAGAGGTGTGAGTGCGCTTCTGCGAAGACAAAAGCAGTTATCCAAATACATAGCGTCGATAGTGGAGTGGTCCAGAATTGTATCCGAGCTCAACATGACAACATCCTGCAATGAACACCCGCCGTAAGTGCTGAGCGCCCAACAAAAGGATTATCAGCAATACTGACACGAATGGGAGTCATGATCATCTCCACGTTCTTACTGCTGAGCTCCAGGACGCCATTGAGAATGCCAATCTCGTCATCGCGCAAAGGCTCTTGGCCAGTGCGGTGGAATTGGAGAAAAGATTTAAGTTCAGCTTTCTTGTAGGTGTGCGCATCGTGAACTCCCAAGGCACGATCGAGAATTTTTGCAATTGGATATGCGACGGGTGCTGTTCCCGGGGAGAGGTCACTTGCAAACTCCTGGTATTCAAAACTGCGTACACACCAAAGAGGTACATCAGAAGGAGAACAAATGGTGCACATCGTGCACCGACGGCGAGACCGTGTCTCGCGCAGACTGCTTGAGGTATGATCCTTTTGGTAAGTAGGTACAAAAACAACTCCACAGTGCACGACACATTGTACTTACTCTCTGTCCGTCAAGCAAGGAAGGTTTCATTAGTATTCATGATTCACGATACCCAACGAATGGCACGCGTACCCAAATATAACTGAAGACGGTCCGGTCAGTTGGATCTGATACGTAAATATTGCTACTCACCAATGGCAGTTGCTGAAATTACTACAGCAATTAAACCTCCTCCAATCTGATTGTTGATAAGGCTATCTAATCTAGACCGAAAGGGGCTATATGCCGGATAATGTGCTCACCGCGCTGTCAAGAAAGATTGGCAAGCTCTCGTTGATGATCTAAAATGCGACCCTCATGACGCAAAACGAAATCATATATATTCGATGAGACGAACCACATTGCTGAGAAGAAGCACCTTGAACGAGCTTGAGAGTGAGAAGAATAGAGAGCAAGTATAGACTTACCACCAGCACCCAATGGCGACCTCTTTGCATGAGGTTCAACACTGAACATTGTCAGCTGAAAGTTGGGTGACACCTGTCAGATACTGCACGCACCAGTCTGTGCATTTGTCCGTTCGGTCTCTTCTTCTGACGAGGTGGCTAACACACGGAGATGAAGTTCGTTGAGCCCCATGAGACCAATTGATAATCTGCTGAGATCAATTGGGATCAACAGTCTGCTAGACTCGATGAGCGACCCACCCAGCGAAGACGCCCCCCGCAAGAACCAGGAATGCGCTGGTGGTCATCTTCCACCAAAATTCAAACGAATCAGGCGAATCCTTGGTAGGAATATTGGGGATGATCATGGCACAGCGAAATCACTATGATGATATGTATACAAATAATGGGAGGCCTTGACTTATACCGGTGATCCTAGATCGCGTCCTTTATGCTCGGTGGGTCATGTAACGTTGACATTTAAAAATTCTGCGAAAGAATATCCGACGCCGTTCCTATCGCTTTTATGTAAATGTGTACCAACCATTCGGGCGCAAGGCTTTGCGTTGTCGTCACACAAAGAGAGGCTGTGAGCTGCTGGGTTGAGGGATTCTTTCTATGTTAACCTTATGTCTTAAGTATTTATCAATATAGAAAACTGGACACTCACCAGACGTACCGACGTCTTTTTTTAAGACTGGCAGACCGGTCTGCCACATATGATGCCATGATTATTGATTTCCTTGAAGGATACGTAAGATGCAACTGGAGTTCAGACCGAATAGAAAATACGTTTCTTGATGGACTGGTTTAGCTTGCCAAACGAGCAACCATTGCGCGGACTGGCAGGCTAGCAACTTTTAGGAACTTGCATAAATGGCAGCAGAGTTAACCAAGACACAACTGAAATCGGTAGCGGTGTCAGCGCCAGTCCTCGACTCACTAATATCAATCCAGCACGGAGACACCAAACTTCCTGCTCGGTCCGGAAATAGCCGAAACGGGTTCCTCGGTAAGTGGGTTCAGGGTTTCGATGTGCGAGACTCGAGGTCTGAAGCTTCCTACCCCCACTAGCCTTCCCCCAACCGTAAACTGCCGTCCTGCCAGTGGGTCATGGTTACTGGACGCAGCTGGCCGATCTCGTTTCGTAGTTGCAGCCGTGCGACAGGACCTGTACTCGCACTATATCCATAGGCTCAGTAGTATTATCCTAAACAGAATGAGAAGGTCGGCGCGGTTGGGGCTAGGACATATTTTGCTCCAATTAGTCTGTCCCTTTGTAAAGCGATCTATTTCCGGTGTTTGGTAATCTGTTATCATTCGGACCATTCTTGATTCCTTCGAACGACTTCAAACCCTGAGCAAACAAAATGACTGAGCAAACAAAAGGACTGCTCAATTCATTCAGTTCGCCTACAGTTTGTCGGAAAAAGATAAACGAGCTTTATAATACCGCCGGCTGAGAAGGCTAGTCACGTGCATTATAAGGGGCTTTGTGAGTCCTATTTATGTAAGGACATCGGAGCATGCATCATTATCCAATTACTACTAGTCTACTAGTCTAGCGGTGAGCGCCGGTGAGCGCTTGAGCAACAGAGTCAAAATCTGTATATCTTGTGACTGCACAGGTTCGAAACCTGCTGACGACAAGTTTTTTTCTTTCTATTGCATCACACTTTGACTCCTGGATGGTTTCCTCGGAACTTCGATAGCTCGTCTTAACTGGTCTTAGTCAAGTGATCTCCACGACAGAATTGAAATCCGTTTCTCTTGGAACACCTTGACAATCATTCTTGGATGGTTTCCTTGGACGTCCATCTAACTGGTCTTAGCCAAGTGGTTACAACAACAGAGTCAAAATCTGTTTGTCTTGGAGTTGCCAGTGGTTCGAAACCTGCTGACAATTTTTTGCGGTGAATAGATCCTCGGAAGTCCATCTTAACTAGGCCCGTTCATTGCACCGAAACCTCCTCTTTATGTGATAGTCTGTCCATGAAAAAGAATTCGCCTCCACGCCTCGCGAGGGTCGTCTCAGAAACATAAAATATATCCGCGAAAGGTGCACTTGCCAACTTAGATTCTTGACAAACTGATCAAAACTGTCGGGATTCACCATCAAACGAAATTTTTTAATGGAGCCGGAGGCTAGAAGAACGTGCGCGAGCTAAGGACAGAGTGAGTTTGACAGTTAGGAAGATGTTGTAAACATCAATCGAATGTAATCCAACGTACAGGTATTATGAAACGAGAGTACCGCTGGTAACGAGGATGCTCATCTTGATGCCGGACTTGCTATGAGAGAAGCTGGTGGAAGGGGCAAGCAGAGTGCCTCAACAACAGAATACCACACTTCCAAAACCTTCGTGAGGGCCTGGTTGCATTTGTTTCAGAAGCAAGTTACGCGGACACATATCAATCATAATCAGGTCCCCGAGAAAAGGAAGCCAGACGCCAAGAGCTTGATTGATGAGCATTTGAATACACAACGATGCCCAGCAAATATTGCTATAAATGAGATACAGCATCCTGGATATCGATGCTTTCTAGTGTTCTGATTCGCCGATTGAATTATAAACATAACGATAAGCCTGAGGACAGTCGTCCTGGCTTGACCCAGGAAGGAGGGGCACGGTCTCAATGTTCACAGAAGTTACCTGCGTAGGTTCGATAGTGGATGTCCGTGTGAATGCACTTCTCTCCAGTTCAACAATGCTAGATAGAAGGAGGGAATTATGATCGAGCCCAAATAGCGAGATACGGACGCACTCTCTCATAACAGTAGCATCGATCATGCGCTTAGCATGCCGCTTACTCTGATTGTCCTCGTACTGATCAGTTTCATCGACGATCTCCTCCGAAATCATTTCCTGGGAGAAACGTCATGCCATATACATAGGAAAGCTAAATGAATACCATACCTCGATAACATCTAGACCGAAACATGAAAACTGTTAGGCAGCGACAAGTGCACATGATTTGTTTTACCTTCTAGAGTAATCACACCAATTCCGCCGCCAGGTGAACCAGGTGTCCGACTGATCAATAATAGATGCGCACGTCCTGTTTGGCTAAAAAAATCGCTTCCATCATCACCTGACTCGTATGAATAGAAACACGCAGTGAGAGCGTACAAATAGTCGAGCGCTTGGAAACAGTTGATTGATGGCAGAGCCTCAGGTAAGATGGACAAGGGAAAGTGCGAGACTGGGAGTCCTCGTGCAGGGTCGTACATCAGTAACTGTCACAATTGTCAGTAAGCTATTCAGGCGAAGTGTGGCGTCAGATGCACCTTCTTGATCAAAAGTAGGCCCTCAAATGCGAGCGGATTTCCTGGCTTGTGCACGGGAAACCGAGAGTAGCCGCTGGCAAGGCTGAAGGAGGTGTTAGTGCGCTTCTGCGAAGACAAAAGCAGTTGTCCAAATACATAGCGTCGATAGTGGGGTGGTCCAGAATTGTATCCGAGCTCAACATGACAACATCCTGCAATGAACACCCGCCGTAAGTGCTGAGCGCCCAACAAAAGGAATTAATAGAAATACTGACATGAATGGGAGTCATGATCAGTCTCCACGTTCTTACTGCTTAGCTCCAGGACGCCATTGAGAATTCCAATCTCGTCATCGCGCAAAGGCTCTTGGCCAGTGCGGTGGAATTGGAGAAAAGATTTAAGTTCAGCTTTCTTGTAGGTGTGCGCATCGTGAACTCCCAAGGCACGATCGAGAATTTTTGCAATTGGATATGCGACGGGTGCTGTTCCCGGGGAGAGGTCACTTGCAAACTCCTGGTATTCAAAACTGCGTACACACCAAAGAGGTACATCAGATGGAGAACAAATGGTGCACATCGTGCACCGATGGCGAGACCGTGTCTTGCGCAAATTGCTTGAGGTATGATCCTTTTGGTAAGTAGGTACAAAAACAACTCCACAGTGCACGACATATTGTACTTACTCTCTGTCCGTCAAGAAAGGAAGGTTTCATTAGTATTCATGATTCATGGTACTCAAAACGAATGGCACGCGTACCCAAATATAACTGAAGACGGTCCGATCAGTTGGACCTGATACGTAAATTTTGCTACTCACCAATGGCAGTCGCTGAAATTACTATAGCAATCAAACCTCCTCCAATCTGATTGTTGATAAGGCTATCTAATCTGGACCGAAAGGGGCTATATGCCAAGAATGTGCTCACCGCGCTGTCAAGAAAGATTGGCAAGCTCTCGTTGATGATCTAGAACGCGACCCTCATGACGCGAAACGAAATCATATATACTCAATGAGACGAACCACATTGCTGAGAAGAAGCACCTTGAACGAGCTTGAGAGTGAGAAGAATAGAGAGCAAGTATAGACTTACCACCAGCATCCAATGGCGACCTCTTTGCATGAGGTTCAACACTGAACATTGTCAGCTGAAAGTTGGGTGACACCTGTCAGATACTGCACGCACCAGTCTGTGCATTTGTCCGTTCGGTCTCTTCTTCTGACGAGGTGGCTAACACACGGAGATGAAGTCCGTCGAGCCCCATGAGACCAATTGACAATCTGCTGAGATCAATTGGGTCAACGTCTGCTGGACTTGATGAGCGACCCACCCAGCGAAGACGCCCCCCGCAAGAACCAGGAATGCGCTGGTGGTCATCTTCCACCAAAATTCAAACGAATCAGACGAATCCTTGGTAGGAATATTGGGGATGAACATGGCACAGCGAAACCACTATGATGATATGCATATGGATAATGGGAGGCCTCGACTTATACTGGTGATCCCGGATTGCGCCCTTTATGCTATGGGTCGTGTACCACTGACTTTTAGAATTCTGCACAGAATATCTGGCACCGTTATATTATTTTATGTAAACGCGTACCAACCATTCGAGTGCCTTTGCAACATGTCCGTTGTCGCAACACAAGTGAGCTGCTGGAGCTGAGGAATTCCTTTTATGTTAACCTTATAATAATTGTCTGAAGTATTTATCAATATAGTAGAGAAAATTGGACACGGACCAGATGTATCGATGTCTTTTTTGTAAAACTGGCGGACCGGTCTGCCACATATGATGTCGTTATTGACTTCCTTGGAGGATACGAAACATGCAACTGAAGTCCAGACCGAAAAGAAAACACGTTTCTTGATGGATTGGCTTGGCTCGCAACCATTGCGCTGTTTATGCTACAGGGTCGTGCACGCAGACGTCGCAAAATTCTGCACGGTACATCTGTGACCTGTTCCAAGAAAATGCTAGTGTACCTCACCAATACCACCGCGGCTCCACGCGAGATATGCCTTACACGAGATAACGCACCATGACCTCACTGCGCGCTGTCTGTTGAAGATAAGAGTGCTGCCTTCCAGGATGAGTTCAACTGGTGTAGGGCAACATGTGCGCCAGAGTCAGCTACCATGAAGTGAATGAAAGTCTTTCCAGCCACCGCCACAACGCAGAGGGGCTGGATTGTAGGACAGTACTCTTGCAATAGTTTTCCTCGGACTTCGGATGACTTGCAAGTATGTAGAGCATTCCAAATACTTGGCCGTTGGGCCCGGTATAAGTTGCTTGTGGAAACGTTCTGCGGCAACTGCGTTTTGTTTCCAAATGGAATCAGTAGCTTTGAAAATGCGAGCTGGCTGCTGGCAACTTGAAGCTAAACTGAAATGGTAGTAGTGATAGAGTTAACCGAAGAATTCAAAATGTACACGTGACACAAAACCTTCACCTCGCACATATTCCACATCGACACTGATCACTGCCAGATAATTTTCTTATGCCCAAAACCGGGTATTACGCTGAAAACATGGATGTAATGGGAGTCGACGAGGAACGAGAGGTCGATGAACTATTGGAAGATAGGACAGAAATAATCACAGATAACCCGGAGCTGATGGCAAAACTTCGCGAGGCCTGGCAAATGATATGGCCGCTGCATGTCATCGTGGATTGGGTTGAAAAACAGCCTCCGGTATGAACCTCCTCCCAACTTATGTTCTCAGCTCACAGCTCATTTGCAGTGTGCAGCGTGCGTGTCACAATCACGCAATTGCTACCCTTCATCGCAAAAGGGTTCGTTGCGTTGTATGCCATGTGCACGTTCAAGGGCCAAACCATGTCCACGAAAACGCCAATTTCAAATTGAAAAGTCGGCTGAAGTGCTTCAGCTGACGGTTGAACAGATCGAGGGGCTCGTGCAGCAGGTGGACGCCTCTCCTTTAAAACTACCAGTTTCCGGCAAGCTATGGAGGAGTACCACCGAAAAAAACCTTCGTCGTATAGCACGCAAGTCCATGCCTGGACATGCGCGAGCCAAGAATAATCAAGAATCAGGTCCCTCGCAAACCATTTCTGCCCCTGCCCCGAACCTCGAACCTCTATCCCCGGCCCACCCTTCTACCGTTCAAAATCCACCGCAATTACCCCAAAACGCGCCTACCGGCTTGACGATCAAACTTCCACTTTCTACCAGCCGAGGTGCATATGAAAAAAGAACCCACCTGGTGGAGCCCAATCCAACACCTGAAACTCCTATTCACTATTCGCCTGTCATTCCCCAAGGCTCTCACGCTACCATACAGGATGTATTATACGAAGAGGCACCTAGTATTCTATCGTCACCACCTACCTCCGTAGCAGAGTGCCTTCCATCACTTGATGTGAATAACTCACCCGTCAGAGAGGTTCAGCCTCAACCACCGGTGTTTCCAGATGTTAATCCAGCACCCACAGCCATTACACTTGCTGGAATCGATGATGGAATCGAAGAGGAATTCGATGAGATTCCAGTTGTTTTCGCAAGCGAATTGGATCACGCTGAAGATGAGATTGCACGACTCAAGTCCGCCTTGGAAGCACAGGAGAAGGAGGTTGCAAGGCTCCAACGTAACCTCAAACGACGAGACGAGCAACTCGAGGACATCCGCGAAGAACTTGACGAAGTTATTCATCTCCCTACTCCTCGCGCAACGCCGGCCTCAGAACATGAAAATAGTATGCGAAAGTACACCGCCTGTCAGTATGTCGCACGGGCTCTGAGAGCCCTGCGCGTAGATGCTGAGACGGAGGAGGAACGAGAGGCTCTATTATTAAAGGCAGAGCGCCACCTTGGCAGACTTGCTAATGTGGAAATGGATGGCATATGGGATCCTAAGGCCGATGCAGACGCGCTCTTCATGGGTCTTGTCAATGGGTCTTCCGCGAGAGCTGCGAGGCACGCGCAAAGAGGAGCGGCCAATCCTAGTTCAGCCAAGATTTCTGTGTCTGCATCCGCGATTCCCCAGCAACGCCCGTCTAAACGGAGACGACAAGGAGACTCGGATTAGGTATGATATTGTTAATATCAATGCAAGGGCAAACACCCAGACCATGTTTTGACGCGTGTACGATGTTGTACGATTGCGCACGCATAATATATGCATGTAATAGCAGATATCTAGCTCGAGTGTTGTACGAAAGTGTTGTTCAGGTGGCACGGTTTACTACGGCAGAGGTGCATTGTTGTGTTACTGATGGTTGTAACTTGGAACCTTGACATTAAGGCAATATTGACGTAGATTATATTTTAGAGCATCAGGCTTGCTAACGTCGCATCTTGCTCTTAGTCCAGCGTGCTTCCGGTGATTATACTTAGGAGGATCATGACCCTCCCAGTGCTCCATAGATCGTTAAGTTGCCGCTGACAATAATTTTGACTAGCGTGTTCCGGCAATTGGGGGACATGTGAAATCTGCACCACGATTCCAAAGTACCACGTCGGTGATGAACTCAGGCTTCCAAACTCTCGCGAACGTGAATACATGTTAGCGCATACCCCGGATTTCACGAGTTGCTGGTTTCGGCAATGACTATAGCCGAGCCGGATGATAAGAAGCTCGAGTTCGGTTCGCAGCTTGTAAGCAATTGTTGACGTAGCATACTCACGACGTCCGAACGATATAGATATACTTATGGCAACCCGTCTCGCACAGGTGTCTGGTCACCTCAGCAATGCACACGGACGCGGGCTTCTCTCAGGAGAGGTAGCTATCATCACTGGTTAGTTTATGTTATATTGCACGATGCTTGTGGTGCTAGACACTGATGTGGCCACGTACGATTAGGTGGCGGACAGGTAAAGAGTTTTGTGATTGAAGTGGAGATAACATTGATGAACGCATGGATTTGTAGGGTATCGGGCGCAGCGCAGCACTGCTGTTTGCAAAGGAAGGTGCCAAGGTTGTGGTTAGCGAGTGTGTCCAAATACATTCCAGACCCTACAAAGTCTAACCCGTTATTCTGCTTAGTATTGACGCCAAGAGGGCTGCGGCTGTAGTGGACGAGATCAAGGCTGCAGGTGGCGACGCAATATATGTCGCAGGGGATGTTGGCGCAGACGACTTCCCACAACAAATTGTGGACGCAACTGTAAAGTCAGTGCTGTTGCACCATACGAGTCCTCATTTCTGATCGCACTCCAGGCAGTATGGCAAGATTAATCACATCGTGAACAATGGTCAGCGTTCTCCTAGTGGTCCTGAAGTACCTTATGTTCTGACATATGATGTAGCTGGTTTCACACACGACAAAATGATTCACACCATGCCAGACGAGACATACGACATCATCATGAAAATCCACGTCCGTGCACCATTCCGCCTCATTCGTGCTGCTGCACCTTACTTCCGAGTCAAAGTTCGTTCAAGTGCACTCAATCCAGTTATCCCCGTGCAATAACAAACTCCTAGAGCAATGCGGCGGAAAACCGTTCCATCATCAACGTCTCTTCGACGTCTGGTCTGCATGGAAATGTTGGCCAAGCAAATTACGCTGCTGCAAAATCTGCAGTTGTAGGCCTCACTAAGACTATCGCAAAGGAGTGGGGACCATTTGGTGTTCGTGCGAATACCATTGCATATGGCCTCGTGCACACTCGGTATGACGTACCGAATTTTCCCGTTATTGCACCTAACAGAATACAGGTTGACCGCGGCAAAAGAGGATGGTGCAACCATTGAGATTGACGGTCAGAAGGTTGCACTGGGCATTCCTGGAGCAAGGCAACGCGCTGCTACTCAGGACGTTAAAGCTTTTGTGGATATTCCTCTGCAGAGAGGTGCCACCCCTGATGAGGCAGCCGCAGGGATGCTTTTGTACGTTTCAGCCTCTATCTCGGTACCATAGCTAACTGACGGTTTGTTCAGCCTTGCTTCACCGCTTGCGTCGTACGTGACTGGCCATACACTGGAGGTGACGGGCGGACGAGGAATCTGATGTCGCATTTTATTTCATGACCAAATATCTGCTGTGCAATTATATATCGTTCGACATTGCTAGGACATCGAAACTTCAATCAAACAATTCACGAGCAGAATAACCATGCATTAAACGTGTCATCTTCGATTCTCGTGCCGACAAGCACATCGAGCTAGCGATATCATCTGGCAGAGCGAAGTCCTCTAGAATTGAAAGTAAAAGCCGTTGGCGCTTCTGTTCCATTTCACAGGTATCGTGCAGGTACTTTCTTCACAGGTTGAGTTATCTGCCGTCCTGCTTTGTGATACGACCAATATTCTAGAGTTGGGACCCATGCCACCTAAATCGACATCGTACCCGAGACTGAAATCTAGTCAATCACGAGGTCTCAAAAATGCAGTATCCATGCTCATCCGCGCGACTCTAGCGACATCATCTCTGCTCAAGCCAAGGCCTAGCGGAGGGTGCGCTAGAAGCAAAGAGTACAATCCAAGGCAAGATGTTCTGAAAGGAGATTGTGTCGTCGGTCTGTCGATAATGCGAAATGTCAGACGAAAGAGCCTATGACACGTCGGATAGCATGCTCACACAGATGACGATAGGATGGTCATTCTTCAGATAAGGCGAATAAGATCTGTGTCTAGGGATGCGACAGATTTGCATTTAAAAGGAAGATTGGATTTGATGGCTCGCAGAATCAATGCATGGTCCTACAAAAGATTGGAGCTCAGGCATATCTCGATGCACGGCTGGTACTGTCTGCCCGCGCGCGCATTATCGGGCTTGTTTGATCATCTTCTCAATATCCTCGATCGCACTCGCTCGGAAATTTTCTCTGCATCGGCCCAGAAAGACATCCATTTTCGTTTCCTCGGACTCCTACTGGGGTGTACGATTCATTCAGTTACCTTTAGTAGTGAGGTGCAGGGACAAAGGGGGGAGTGATGCACCTGAATTTTTAACTTGTCCTTGCACACGAACCTTTCACTACTGGGCCACCTTGCACCTGCACGCTCACCGGCTGATATATCCTCACAGAAACCAAGAGACACCTTGTCGCTTCACTCAGCCTCACTCGGAGCTTGGATGGAAGTTGCGTAAGAAATCTTGATATTGGTGCCCACTCTCGATGGCTACGAACGGAATCAGATGGGGTGATAAATGTCACAGTTCTGCAACACGTCAAACTTGTACACCATTGTAAGAGTCCAATGAGTGGTCACGACATACCTCATTCGATCGAACAACAGCTGAATGCCTCCATATCACTTGCAGCCCAGACATGATTGGTCGACAAGTCGTGGATCATGCTGCCGCTGAAGATAGGTCGTCTGCAGACAGCGCAGACAAGAATTTGGAACTCTGGATGTTCAAAAATGCTCCATCCTGAACTTTCAGATTCCTGAGTCATTATCTTCAACGTGTTAATCGAACCAACTTAAGTGGAAGCTATGAGATAGCAGGATCTGTCCTTTTCATGAGCGGTCTGCAAACACTGCGGATGGTGGATTTGTAAGGCACACCAAGGCCAGATTGCAGGGGCGGAAGAGCATATACACAAAGCATACTGGTAAAACAATTAAACACGCCTAAAGAAGTGCGTGTGTATAGAATGCACGTGACCGAATAGTGACTAACTTGAGATCATCATTAAGTCCTTCGATCAATTGCATACTAAACTTAGTATTAAACGGTAGTACTACGTAGTACATCTAGCCGCAAGGTGTTTCCCCGGTCTGTACCGCTCGACTTATAATGGCTTTCGGCGAGGTTGTACACTACGTGACCCAGCCTACAGGCTGGCCTGAACCAGTCCGCGGTATTGCTTCCTTGTTGTCGCCGTTCCACTGTCCAGACAGGTCAAGTAACGAGCATCTTGCCAGCGCATCGTCCTTGACGTTCCCAGAGCCACTTGTTTCCAGTGAAGCACCTGCACCGGGATCATACACTGCCAAAGATTTTCAGGTCTTGATTCACTCCACAGCTGCAGGGTCAAGATCACTTGCTGAGCTTCCTCACTACGGTGGCGAGAGGTCTACCGTTCCCCTTTGGTCTCAGCTCCTCCATGCATTGGCAAACACGCTGTCCCCAGATGTTCTAATTCTGTAAGTACTAAGTGGCATGTTCGTCACGCAATGAACAAGATCTGAATATCTCTACAGCGAAGATGCACCGTTCATCATGCCACGGGCTCAGAACGTGGCGAGTCAGCCGTCAAATCTCATTGACGGACATGCGACTCTTCTTGCTGCACATGCCATCTTCTCGACGCATAGAACTCATTCAGACAGATCTACCACCAGCTCACAAGACCCTGACTCCGAAGACATGAATGAATCGATGTATTCCGCAGACTGTGACTCGTGCGATGGTTCAGTTGACTCATTTGACCTGCCCTTGCAAGCGCATATGCTTCCGGGCCGAGGGAGACGCATTTCCGCTGTGGTGCCAGTCTTACTAGTCACCGACTCCCGTAATATCGTTCCCCTACTTTGCAGTGCTCTTTACCAGAGACACGTGTGGGGGATCCGTCAGCCTGTGGTCGGCCTGTGCTGTTCCAGCACTGGTACGATTGTCACGGCCATCTTTGGATGGCTCGACTCCGATCAGTCAGAGGAAGGCCGCATGGCAAGTCCGAAATCGATGCGTATTTTTCCACGCTGACCCTTCCTGAAGCCTACAGCCCACCTCGCTTTAGCAGCAGACGTCCACCTAGATCCATCGATGGGGGTGTTTGACTTCACTGACACCCGTTCTGCCATCAGCCTCGCGCAATTCGTTTTGGGGTTGCGGACTCATTTTGAAGATATCAAGGGCGCCATATCGATAGAAGCAGTCGATTCTCTGACTCCGTTGCGCTGGAGATCCGATGCACCCGACTTTGAAACTCAGTTTGGGGGACAATTGGACGAACGAGTGGCGTCCTGGACCCACCAGGTACACGTGCAGACGAGTTATAGGCACGAGTTTTTATTTTGAATGGCAAGTCAGAATATTAATGGTTGTTTAGCGAGGCATCATCGTCATCTAGTCCTCGTACACCGTCCCTGACCTTGGATACTGCGGTTGTATCATATGAAACGATGAGCTCTCCCTTGCTTCGTACCATCGTTGAGGATGAGCAAGTTGATGGCGCAGATATCCGGTCAATGATTCGACCTATATCACGCTTGTCAGTACACAACTAACTCGAAGTTTTAGGTTGCCCAAAGAGCCCCGCGCGACGAACGTGAAAGGACGGTAAGTTCGCTGTAGTTACTCCATTCGTGATCTTATTTTGCCTGCAGAGAAAGAGGGTCGCAACCATCGTCCTTGAAGAACTCATTAAAGAGGACCAGTGCCTCGCCACAACCGCTATCTGAGGTTAGGACTTTGACCTCATCGCGTGCACCCAACCCATATCCACACTCGCGGTATGGAGCCCGCTTCTTGGCTGACCAGCGTTCAATGACCGTTTCTCGCATGCAGATTTACCGCTTTGTCTGATAGTTGCCTTAAGGATGGTGTGACGATGTCCAATTGGCTGTTTGAACGCCATGCGTTCACAGTCGGTCGAATCCCAGTTAGCTCTGACGAACTGGCGAATAAGACCGGAATTAACGCAATGATCAAAATATACGATCAAATGACGGCGTTTACTTGGTCTGACGACATTAAAACCATAGTAAGTCTGTAGTATTACCTTTACTACTGCTCCTCATCACGTCGCGCGCAGCTCTCGAATGCCGAGGTAGATAGCTCTGTATCAACCATGAGATCAGAGCTATGCGAAATGAATGGCGATCCCAACTGTCAGTCGAGAATAATTGATGCTCCCTCGTCGGAGGATGTCGAGTTTATTTCATGCCGGATTTCGGTACTGTTGCACGCTGTAAAAGGTGCTCGCCGGTGTGATGATGTCGCAAAGTTGCACGGCGCCAACGAAGCCGATCGGCGTCACGAATGGGATGCTCTGCTTCTCAACTTCTTCCAACCTGTTCTCGGCCAACGGGATGTGTTGTGCGTGGTTCATATGCCAGGCCATCTTCATTCTAACTATTCGTCTAGGCTAGAGCGAGAGCTGAACTTCGCTCGTAATCTCGTTGCCGATGACTCATCCTTTGCGACACGAGCCGTCGAGGTCGCTGTCGAATACCAGAACCTCTGTTATGAACAATCCCAGTGTGTCCCTCTCACCGCAGAGACCTCTGGCTGTTGGAAGCAGGCTGTAGCAGCGCGGGATCAAGGAAACCAATTTTCTGACGATATTATGTGTCGTGCCCTGAAGAGCAATTTTCCTAAAGTGATTGCATATCACTCCTCTATGGATCCGATCACTGGAAAATGTGATACCATCCTCGTCATTCCATGTTCCGGCGTCGCTAATGTGATGCTCCGGCGCATATCTAATATCGACGAGCAAGAAAAGCTTATGAAATCTTTCATGCTAGTCCAGGGTCCAAAGCCGGAGAAGCTTAACGCGAGTACGGGGGAAGATTCTTACCAGATTGAAAAGACCGTCGGTCACAGCCAAAAGACCACACCCGGCAAATCACTTCAGGTTCCCTCCTCATCTCGTGTATCAGAATCCATAAAACTCGATCGAGCCCAGTTACACAATCTGTTTCTTTATCATCCTGATGGCAATCAAGCGACGCAGAAAAAAGAAACAACACCTTCCCAGGATACATCTCGTGACGAACCTACTAGACAGGACCTACTACTGCCAGTGTTGTTGGCCGAGTACAAGAAGAGGGACGAGTCCGTAATTTCGACAGCCATGAACCAGATGAAGACTTACCTGGTTTCGGCGGTTACCTTCCTTTCCGAGTTCGGCATCACAGACCAGCCCGTCTTTGGACTGGTTGTTGATGGAGCGCTTGGTGCAATTACAATGGCATGGAAGAGAAACAATGTATGTGCTCCTCTGTTCACCATTTCCGAAGGAGCTCATCAGTGATGTAGCGAATCTACGTGATGGAACGCAATGTCCGACACTATGACATCAGGGACCCTCTTCAGGCACTTCAGTTGGTGTCTATTCTACCGCGCCTCGCGCGTCACGGCCTGGGCCTCCGCCGTCTACTAGAGAAGCAGCTCGCGACCATAGATGTGAACCAACTTCAATCCAAACCGTGGTCCAAGTTGGCTCAACGGCAGGAAGATGAGGCGGCTAAGCGGACAGAATCGGAGCAAGCAGTCGCACAAGATTGCAGGTGAGGCTGTGCAGAGAGGAAATAGAGATTGGATGTACGGCACAAGTGGAACGTGCTAACCTTGTTTTTTTTTTACCCATTTACAATATAAGTCGCGTAGGGCCACATCCATGGCAGTGGCCGCTGCCTCATTTTTTTTTTGTTGTTGGGCAGGACAGTGCAACCATTGATCAAGAAGGTTGCACTGGGCATTCCCAGAGCAAAGCAACGCGATGCTGCTCAGAACATTGATGCTTTCGTGGATATTCCTCTCTGCAGAAAGGTGCCATTGACGAGGCGGCCGCAGGCATGCTTTTGTACGTTTGAGCCTCTATCTCGGTACCTTAGCTAACTGATGATGATTTGTTCAGCCTCGCTTCACCGCTCGAGTCGTTCGTGACTGGCCATACGCTGGCAGTAACGGGCGAACGAGGAATCTAATGTCGCATTCTATTTCATGGCAACTATCTGCTGTGCAGTCGTATTATTTTGCGACGTTTCTTCATTCGTAGAACACCGAAACTTCGAAAAATTCACGAGTGGAATGATCATGCATTAAATATATCATTCTCGGTTCTTGTACTGATGGGCACATCTAGGGAAGTGAATAAGTCCATCGGCGATATCACCTGGTAAAGCGAAGTCCTCTAGAAATTGAAAGTGGAAGGCCAGTTGGCACTTCGTTCCATTTCACAGGTATCGTATAAGTACTTTCTTCTTCACAGGTCAGGCGATGTGCCGTCCTGCTTTGTGATACGACCAGTATTCTAGAGCCGGGATCTACAATCACGAGGTCTCAAAAATGCAGCATCCATGCCCATCCGCGCGATTCTAGCTACATCATCTCTGCTCAAGCCAAGGCCTAGCGGAGGCTGCGCTAGAAGCAAAGAGTACTCTCCAAGACAAGACGTTCTGAAAGGGAGTTTGTCGTCGGTCTGTCGATGATGCAAAATGTCAGACGAAAGAGCCTATGACGCGTGAGATAGCGTGCTTACACAGATGACGATAGGATGGTCGTTCTTCAGATAATAGTGAATATGATGTGCGTCGAGAGATGCGACAGATTTGCCTCTAAAAGAAAGATTGGATTCGATAGTTCGCAGAGTCAATGCATGGTCCTACAAAAGATTGGAGCTCAGGCATATCTCGATGCATGGCTTGTACTGTCCATTCGCGCGCATGTTATTGGGCGACTCTGCTTGTTTGATCATCTCTTCAATATCCTTAATCGCAGCTCGCTCGGAAAATTTCTCTGCATCGGCCAAGAAGGACATCTGCACTTTCGCTTCCTCGGACTCAGTGCTATCGGAAACGAAACGCAGAAAATAACCCTCTTTGAGATTTTGAAATCTGAGGTGGAGAGGGTGAGAGGGATTTCTGAGTCCGGCGGTTGTGTGAGGGTCTGTTGTGCCCATTGCACATTCAGACAATGAGCTGCATTCCGTCTCAGGCTGCGGGATATTCGCAAAGAACAAAGCCTTGAGTTCATCTGAAAGGAATGTCGCGTGTCCGAGTCGATCCGGACGACAACTAAGGAGTGCCAGAGAATCCTCAGTTGTATTCGCTGTGTGCTACAAATCCGAACATCATCGTTGAGTCGCATACACCAGAGTGAACATCACAAACCTCCGCGATGTGCACGGTCAACCCAAGACCAGCACCCTTGGCTCTTGATAGGTGATGGGTGAAAGATCGCATGTCGCCACTGCGTGGATCTCCACATACGTCAATGCCTACAACTCTTCTGCCCCTGTTCTTCATCTCGATGGCAAGACTAACGCATTCTGCAAGGTCCAAGTCACTCATGCGACGATCGACGGACACGATCAGGGCGGCCTGAGTAGCAGGATATGTCTCTATTTCATCAAGCACAGTTACGAGGTACCTCTCCCGCGTCATGTGTGTTGTCGCGCGAGGTGTACTCCGTAGTTCAAGGTACGCGCACTGAGGGCTTTCCGCGCCATCATCTGCGGGGTTCAGGAACGACTGGAGGACTGCACGAGTAACGGTCGCGACTGCTTCCGGAGTTGATGTCAGAGCATAGATAACGGACATCAGAAAGAAAAAGTCAGATATTTCATTGAAGTCAACTCCAGACCCGAGTTTCTCGATAGTGTCTGCGACCTCAGCTGCATGTGCACCAGAAGGCGGGTATTTCTGCGCAAGTTCCAGTATGGTTTTGACAGGTATAGATCCGTTAAGATGAGCATGAAGTTCTGCCTTAGGGAGTGACTGAAGGAAAATTACGTTGTCAGGGCATAGCGATGCCAGAGCAGCAGCTGCAGGACCCGAGATCTTTGACATTTCCATTGACGACCGAAGGGGATAGTTATCGCCCAACAACAATCCATAACGTAGCAAGTGACAGATTTCACAATCTAAATGGGGCCAAGAATGGATCCGGAGAGATCTACGTGCGGATGGGGTATATCCCGGCCGTTCCATCATCTGATTTTTCCATGAATGAACGCACAGCCGCGCGATGTGGGGTCGTTTGGAAACTTTGTATTATAAAGACACTGCTGGACAGCCCATGCCGCCATGCGGCATGCCTGCTATCTATGCCAGCAGCACGGCTCACAGAGCTGACAAAAGTATTTGAAGATGTGTTTTTAGTTACCGGCCGAGAATGTGTAGTAGACCAGTTCGAATCCCACCTGCTTGTCAAGTTGTGAAGGTTGTTAGTTATGAGATCTTTACACCACCTACTATCTTTGTTGTATCTGTCGATTTTCAGACTCAGAGTCAGGCTGCATTAGCGGGGGATTTAGCGACGGCGGCCATCATTTGAGAATCGACTGAGTTTCAAGGGAGGTTCAAATCAGAATTCGAAAACCAGATAACTACTTCTGGATGGAACTTGAGCTTGAGCGAGGACCGAGCAGCGCCTGATATACATGTCGATTGATCCCGTACGGGACTCGACTATAAGTGCAGCAGAGCGCTGACAAACAGTACTTGCACCGGCCAGGTGATATTCAAAGTGCGAAGCAAAAACATTGGTATAGTATTGTAAATGAGTACAAAAAAAAAACTATCACGTTCGACTTGTGCCGTACATATTTCAACAATATTCCACTTTCTATTTCCTCTCCACACCGCCTCATCTGTGATCTTCTGCAACTGCTTTCTCCGATTCTGCCCGCTTAGCCGCCGCCAATCTTTTGTCTTCCTGCCGTTGGGCCAACTTGGACCACGGCTTGGATTGAAGTTGGCTCACATCTATGGTCGCGAGCTGCTTCTCTAGTAGGCGGCGGAGTTCCAGGCCGTGACGCGCGAGGCGCGGTAGAATAGACACGAACTGAAGTGCCTGAAGAGGGTCCCTGATATCATAGTGTCGGACATTGCGTTCCATCACGTAGATTTGCTACATCACTGATGAGCTCCATCGGAAATGGTGAACAGAGGCAGCACATACGTTGTTTCTCTTCCATGCCATCGTAATTGCACCAAGCGCGCCGTTAACGACAAGTCCAAAAACGGGCTGGTCTATGATGCCGAACTTGGAAAGGAAAGTAACCGCCGAAACCAGGTAACTCTTCATCTGTTCATGGCCGTCGAAATTGTGGACTCGTCCCTCTTCTTGTACTCGGCCAACAACACTGGCAGTAGTAGGTCCTGTCCACTAGATTCGTCACAGGATGTACCTTTGAAAGGTATTGTTTTCTTCTTTCTGTGTAGCTTGATGGCCATCAGGATGATAAAGAAACGGGTTGTGCAACTGTTTTCGATCGATTTTTCTGGATTCCGATACGCGAGAAGAGGAGGGGACCTGAAGTGATTGGCTGGGTGTGGTCTTTTGGCTGTGACCGACGGTCTTTTCAATTTGGTAAGAAGCTTCCTCCGTACTCGCGTCAAGCTTCTCCGGCTTTGGACCCTGGACTAGCATGAAATATTCCAGAAGCTTCTCTTGCTCGCCGATATTAGATATGTGCTGGAGCATCACAGTAGCAAAGCCCGGAACATGGAATGACGAGGATGCATCACATTGTCCAGTGAGCGGATCCTGAGAGGAGTGACATGCAATCACTTCAGCAGCATTCCTGTTCATGTCGCGACGGTCGATATCATCAGAAAATTGGAATGCTTGATCTCGCGCTGCTGCAGTCTGCGCCCAACTGCCAGAGGTCTCTGCGGTGAGGCGGACACACCGGTGCTGTTCAAGGACAGAGGTCCTGGTATTCGAGAGCGACCTTGACGGCTCGTGTCGCGAAGGGAAGGAGTCTCGGCAGCGGAGATTACGAGCGAAGTTTAGCTGTCGCTCTAGCCTAGACGAATAGTTAGAATGAAGATGTCCTGGCATATGAACCACGCACAACACATCCCGTTGGCCGAGAACAGGTTGGAAGAAGTTGAGAAGCAGTGCATCCCATTCGTGACGCCGATCGGCTTCGTTGGCGCCGTGCAACTTTGCGACATCATCACACCGGCGAGCACCTTTTACAGCGTGCAACAGTGCCGAAATCCGGCATGAAATAAACTTGACATCCTCCGGCGAGGGAGCATCGATTGTGCTGGACTGACAGTTGGGATCGCTATTCCTGTCGCATAGTTCTGATCTCGTGGTTGATACAAAGCTATCTACCTCAGCATTCGAGAGCTGAGCACGACGTGATGAGGAGCAGTAGTAAAGGTAATACTGCAGACTCACTATGGTTTTAATGTTGTCAGACCAAGTAAACGCCGTCATTTGATCGTATATTTTGATCATTGCGTTAATTCCGGTCTTATTCGCCAGTTCTTCAGACCTAACTGGGATCCGAGCGACTGTGAACGCATGGCGTTCAAACAGCCAATTGGATATTGAAACTTTGTCTTTAAGGCCGGTATCAGACAAAGCGGCAAATCTGGAGACAAGAAACGGTCAGTGAACGCTGGTCAGCCAAGAAGCGGGACTCCATACTGCGAGTTTGGGTATGGGCTGGGTGCACGTGATGAGGTCGAAGTCCTAATCCTCCAAGTGCGGCTGTGGCGATGGCACTGGTCCTCTTTGATGAGATGTCTTAAGGAAGATGATCGCGACTCTTCTTCCGCTGCAGGCAAGAATAAGATCACGAAATGAGTAACTACAGCGGAACTTACCGTCCTTTCACGTTCGTCGCGCGGGTCTCCTGGGGCAGCCTAAAGCTTCGAGTTAGTTGTGTATTGACAAGGCGTGACATAGGCTTAAATTATTGACCGGATATTTGCGCCAGTCAACTTGCTTCATCCTCGACGATGGTACGAAGCAAGGGAGAGCTCATCGTTTCATATGATACAACCGCAGTATCCAAGGTCGGGGACGGAGTACGAGGACTTAGATGAGGATGATCCCTCGCTAAACAACCATTAATATTCTGACTTGCCATTCAAAATAAAAACTCGTGCCTATAACTCGTCTGCACGTGTATCTGGTGGGTCCAGGACGCCACTCGTTCGTTCGATCGTCCCCAAAACTGAGTTTCAAAGTCGGGTAATCGGATCTCCAGTGCAACGGAGTCAGAGAATCGACTGCTTCTATCGATATGGCGCCCCTTGATATCTTGAGAATGAGTCCGCAACCCCAAAACGAATTGCGCGAGGCTGATGGCAGAACGGGTGTCAGTGAAGTCAAACACCCCCATCGAAGGATCTAGGCGGACATCTACTGCTAAAGCGAGGTGGGACTGTAGGCTTCAGGAAGTGTCAGCGTGGAAAACATGCATTGATTTCGGACTTGCCATGCGGCCTTCCTCTGACTGATCGGAGTCGAGCCACCCGAAGATGGCCGTGGCAATCGTACCAGTGCTGGAACAGCACAGACCGACCACAGGCTGACGGATTCCCCACACATGTCTCTGGTAAAGAGCACTGCAAAGTAGGGGAACGATATTACGGGAGTCGGCGACTAGTAAGACTGGCACAACAGCGGAAAGGCGTCTGCCTCGGCCCGGAAGCATATGCGCTTGCAAGGGAAGGTCGAGTGAGTCAATTGAACCATCGCACGAGTCCAGAGTCTGCGGAATACATCGATTCATCCATGTCTTCCGAGTCCTCATATTGTGAGCTGGTGGTGGATCTGTCTGAATGAGTTCTAGGTGTAGAAAAGATGGCATGTGCAGCTAGAAGAGTCGCGTGTCCGTCAATGAGATTTGACGGGCTGACTTGTCACGTTCTGAGCCCGTGGCATGATGAACGGTGCATCTTCGCTGCAGGGATATTCAGATCTTGGTTCAATGCGTGGCGAACATGTCACTCAGTACTTACAGAATTAGAACATCTGGAGACAGCGTGTTTGCCAGTGCATGGAGAAGCTGAGACCAAGAGGGGAACGGTAGATCTCTCGCCGCCGTAGTGAGGAAGCTCAGCAAGTGCGCTTAACCCTGCAGCTGTGGAGTAAATCAAGACCTGAAAATCCTTTGGCAGTGTATGATCCCGGTGCAGGTGCTTCATTGGAAACGAGGGGCTCTGGCTCTGAGAACGTCGAGGACGACGCGCTGGCAAGATCCTCGTTACTTTGGCCTGTCGGGACAGTGGAACGGTGACAACAAGGAAGCAATACCGCGCACTGGTTCAGGCCAGTCTGTAGGCTGGGTCACGTAGTGTACAACCTCGCCGAAAGTCATTACGAGTCAAGCGGTGTAGACGAGAGGCACTTAGTGGCTAGATGTACTATGTAGTACTACCGTTTAATACTAGGTTCAGTACGCAATTGATCGAAGCCTAAGGACAATCATAATCCCAAGTTAGTCACTATTTGGTCACGTGCATTCTTTACGCGTTTTGTCCAGTCCACGACTGCACGCACTTTAACATGCTTAATTGTTTTACCAGTATGCTTTCTGTATATGCTCTAAGCTCTTCCACCCTAGTGCAATCTCGCTCCTGTCGGTGGTGTTTGCAGTCGGCCTGTGAAAAGGACAGACTCTTCTATTCAGATTCCACTTGGATTGACTTGATTAGCACGTCGACGATCATCATCAGGAATCTGATTCAGGATGGAGCGACATTTTCGAATATCGAGAATTCCAATTTCGTTCTCTGCAGTGTCTGCAGATGACCTATGAATAAGACGGATCCTCCTATTTATCTTCACCAGCATGCATCCGGGCTTGTCGACCAATCGTGGCACCTCTCACTCTAGGGAGATTATTCAAAATTCTCAAGAATTCGACTCTGAACGCGCTGCACCGTGTGTCATTTTAGTGGCTCGCCTGCACTGCCTACAGAAGTGCTGAAAATACGCCTGGAAGACTTTCCCAGCGTGGTTGCTGCTTTAGTCAGCATTATATACAGTTTTGTCGCCAGCCGTCTCAGTATCACCGCTGACAATCACACTGGCACCGAGTGGACCGTTGGCCCTGGAGAGGGACTCGACCTGATGAAAAGAATCTGGTATGGCTGTTCGCGCATATTGAAATTGGAAAGGAACTCATCTTCTGCCAGCGCCAATTTTTAGATCTCACAATATCCCCTTATACTTACAACGCAAGGGTAGCATCTACATAGCTGCGGACTGCGCCTAAAATGATCTTTAACAGGCACCGCCACCCATGGTGTATGAGCCTGCTGTGAGTTCGACGGGTTTCGCGGTCTGCACCGCGTCTAAATTTCTCCAATTTGTATTTTCCACAAATCTATCAGCACGTTTTGTGTATTGCGTCACGATCTTGAAATCTCTGCCTTTTATTGTGGAGGTATTTCTAATTTGTATTGGTCACGGCTCTAAAAGCAGGTCGGTTCGGTCACTCATTAACCCGACGTCGCGCACGCTCACTATATCCTACTATATCTGAAACAGGGGTATGACGACACTGGCCATAATTACTCTAGTACTCTAGTAGTACTAGTCACAAGCTGAATCGCACGGACAGAAAGGAGTTACATGCTAACCATCAAAACGAACTCGGTCATTTTGGCATTCCCGGCACTGTGAGTGAATTCACCTCCCTGAGAAAAACTTCAAACCTCAACCTTGGGGTGGCGCACTGGTGGCGTAGCCTGGTCCAGGAATCATCGGTCGACTTAAGCATAGAGAACTTGCTGATAGATCTTCGCATCAAGTGGCCAATGGATGGCATCATCTTCTGATGATCTGGCTCAGAGCCATTTCATATCCCAAGAAACACCACATGGCACCTCGAAAATGATCGTGGTGATGTCGGAAGTTGGAACTAAGCTACGAACTCATCATCCATTAATTCCGCGCTTACTCGATCGTATTTCCCAGAAATCCGCCTATGCCGCACAAGCTGCTACCTGCTACTAACAAATGGGGCTCGGAATATATGCGGCAGGAAGGTTTAGCCCGCGCAAGTCGGCGGTTCCCGAGCCAGAATTAACCATTTCCTCCGCAGTCCTTCCGCTACTTCGAAGACAATCAAACTTCGAACGCACGTGGAGGGTGCAAGTACTGTTCGGATCAAAGTTGTTGATCAAATATCCAGTTCGGTATGAAGCTTGTACAATGTATAAACGGATCTTGAGCACTCGCCTCCAGACTAGTCTATCAGGGGGAGTCGACCCACTTTGTCATAATTCTTAGCGATACAGATTGGCAGTCAAAATATCATAAAGAACGATACAAAGCCGTCAGCAAGTGCAAGAAGAAGCGAATGAAAAAAATACATCGAGCTAAACCAAGACGCAACCAGCGTTCGATGAAGAAAATAAATATCATAAGCAAAGTAAACATCACATGGCCCAGTATCGTAATACACAGATGCGGCTTGTGTAACAGTTTAGCTCTGGGAGAAATGTCAAAAGGGGACATACGACATGTGTGAAGGACGATGGGTGGAGGCACACTGCTCTGTAATGAGTAAAATAAATGCTAACCAGTCGTCGAGGCGAGCAGGGTGTCTTCCTGTTTTAGATGGTATGTTGCCACAATTAGGTTCCGCTTCCTGGGTACTGGTACATCGTGCCTGCGGCCTAGTTACCATTTAGGCTCCAATTGGGGTGCCAATCTTCAAAGCATGATTTCACGGATCTGACGACAAGGGGGTCCATCAGCGTTCCTGCGAAAAATTTATCCTAGCCGGAGAGGGGGGCTAACTCACGTTTTTGCTTATGACAGCACTAATATTGTTGATTTTCGAACAACGTAAAAGAAGCCCACAGAATCGGACGGTTACGGCAGAGATTGGTAAGATTGCAGAGGAAATTTAAGGTTGTATGCAAGATTGTGTCCCGGCGATAGCAGTATGTTTTGGAGCACGATAGCGAGATGCGAACGTCGACGACTGACATGGATAAATCATAAGATGAAGAGCAAAAAAGAAACATCAAATTAGCGCCGCGATTTGGAGATTGGATCGAAGAACGATGCTATGAGAGAAAAGGGAAGAATGGTGGGAAATGGATGAGCGTACGGTTGGACGACATCACTGGCGGGTAGGGAAGGATCAATAGAAGGAGGAACTTACTCTGGAAAGCAAGGAATTAGTAACTCGATCCTAAAGATATTCGCTTAGTAACTGACCTTCGACAGCGGCCATCACTACTCTCAACATTTCCGTATCAGGTTGCGGTTGTTACACTTTCTGGAGTTAAGGCTGCGTCTTCAGTGAATAAGAGAAAGAGCGTACTGGATGTAGATTTCACGTTCTTTAGAACGTCCAGCTTTGTGAGCGAGCCGCGTGAAACGTCGCCGGAAGTAATCTCGTCCAGCTTTTGCGTCCCCTGCTTCACCTTCGTAATCCTGAAGTACATTGAGTAGGAACAGCCAATCGAAAGAGAGTGGCTTACCGGGAAGAAATTTTTGATATCAGAGTTGGAGATCTTCTTTTGGAAGAGGTCATCCTTGTTTAGGAAGAGAATCTGATGCGGCAACACGCGTGAAAGGCTTTCAAAATCACGAGGGTAACCTAACGCACTATCGATGTCTGCTTGAACCATTGCGAATGGCATATTGAGTCCCATATTGTCATAGCGTCTTGCATTTGGTTCTAGAATAAGAAGCCAATGGTTCGTCTTCAGATGGATCACGAGGTGCAAGGTAACTCACCGCATCCCGATCCTCGACAAGGCATTGGTCGTACCCACTTAGACTGACCAGAAATAGAATGCTGGTGACATCCTGGAAACAGTGAATCCACTTTCTCCGCTCGCTCTTCTGACCACCGACGTCGACCATAAGCATTTCGTGGTCTTTAAGATGGAAAGTGGTCTCGGTTATTCCGATAGTGCGAGCTCGGCACTGGACGATATCTTGTTCAGTTGGATGATATGATGGGTCGAATAATCTGTCCAGCGAGGAGAAAAAGTATGACAGGCTGTAGTGGGAGTTGTAAGGTCTCGGGGGGGAGCAAGGCACACAACACGAGGCTCACTTTTCAGGAAGAGCAGCCTCGTTCCCTCTGCTGTACGCTTGTTGGATCCCGCTGTCAGCCCAAAGATCTCTCAAGGGCTCGTAGTATGACATAGGAAAAGGCTCTTGTTCACGGATATCCCTGGCATTCTGAATGAGTTCCACGTGTGGTAGGGCCTCCTCCGCAATTTCGAGCTCCATGTCCTCCATGGCCTCAAACACGTAATTCATGCCCGTCGTTAGGTTGTTGAACACTAGTTGACGATAAGTCTCAATTTCTGCTGCTGAGAAGGGTACCCGATGAATCAGTCGCATTTGCTACGAAAGAAGCCTCGTGAACTGACACCGAGTGGACTGGGAGAGGTAACTTACCTTGAGAACTGTCGATTTTCCCGAGTCGCCAGACCCTAGGAGAAGAACCTAGGTATCATAGATGAAGGTGAATGACATACAGGAACTTGGGTGTCGAACGTACTTTGACCTGGGAAGTCATCTTGGCCCTGGCCTATATGATAGATATGGTCAATATCAAGTTATTACCAGTGACAGGTGCAGAACGACGAGCGAAGGCCAGCATCATTCTGTCGCAGACTCACTTCCTTGAGATATTTCTCCGCTTCTCTGTGCCTCCGCTTATCCTCATCCGAGACATCCACCATCCCCCCTGTTGACATGCATGCACCCATGATTTCTCACTCTGGAGCAGAAACGAATGCAAGGCCCTAGGGCTACGAATCCAACAGAGAAGTCCTATTACAACTGAAGAATAGTTTGAATGACGGATCTGAGGCAAGTACAGGCAGTTGTGTGAGTGGGAGGAGACTGAATATGTTGCTGCAGAGGAGTAATAAGCCAGTAACAAGTATCAACACGCTGGCAGTGTAGGCTAGTGATTGGCGTGGGATGAAGTTCCTTCCAGCTCAGGGAGGGACAACGTCCTGCTATGAAAAAAAGAGAAGCACAGACCACCGTGCGGTGCAGTCTACCTGAGACTGAGTGAAGCTTGAATGGTGGTACTGGGCGCGGACCGGGGGAAAGATCGTATCTCGGCTACCGTCTGCCTCTTCTTTCAAACTTCAAAGCCAGCAATACGACTAAACCGCGGACATTCCTTCAAAATTATCTGTAATACGGCACAGATCGCAAGTTCACTAGTGGTCTCATCGCTCAGTCGAGTCCCTCCATACTGCACAAAGTCTTGCGAATGTGATAAGAATAAGATCTTGTGCTGTACGTTTGCTGTACGTGACTTATACAAGAACTTAGATCACCTGTATGTCTCAGAGGGTACGTACAATAGATATTAACTCTAAATTGGATTGGCAGCGGATAATTAGTAACTGCAGGGCTGGAACTATACTGGTAGCGGCCGACGTTGCAGCGGAGGCCGCGACTCATCATGATGGTGGCAACAAATTCGACCAACCAGAACTCCGAGACTCTCGCGCACAATCAAAGTGCCCTTTGTACCCTTGTGATACGGCCCCACCCCTTAGGAATGTCCGCTCTATGCAAGGGAATCAGCGCTCAACATTGGAAGTTGAACACATGCACCCCAAAAAACCGATCATCCAGCCCTTTCCCCACTGGGAATAGAAGATGAAAATACCACGAAAATAGTCCCATGACTCGGAGAAGGTAGCCGCCTCAAATCAAGAATTATAGGCCAGGTGCACCCAAGTTGATCAGTCTACTTAAGTAACCCACGGGAGGGATTTGAAGGAATCACTACTATCTCTCACGGAAAACAGGTATGAGTGGGATGATTTTGTCTATGGCTAATTCCGTGAGTTCTATAGGTTGCACGGTTTCGCCGAACAGCATGGACCTCCACTACTATAGCTCCTCCTGCCGACAACAACGTATCGCTTACATTTCGGAGTCTCATACTACGAAACAGCTGGTGCGGTTCAATTACGGAGCGTCCGGGAATGCCGCGGATGTGATTTATGTCGTCTGGTACCTGCACCAGGTCTATCAACGACGGCCTTCAAGGTAAGTGATCAAAGGAAGTAGTGTGCTAATGCAAGGGTCGTCTTAGGTTGCTCGGCATAATCAAGTACTCTGACAGCTAAGCCGATCACGAGGTCACATGTCGCTTCCGGAGACATTATATGTCTCCCTTTGTTGTTTGTCTCGACCCTTCACTTGTATATGGATCGTACCTAACACGCTTGTCAAAAAAACAGCCCGGATCTTCAACATTCATGCGACTATACTATGCATCTTGCCGAACCGTCTCAATTATATTCCAGCCGCACATTAATGACACTATTGTGTCACATTGTGATCTTGTCCGTCGGACTTCTGGTTATGCATACGTCACCAACTAAGGAACAATGTGGCAATACTAACTTGAGCTTGCAGGGTAATACAATTTCCTACTCGCAAACTGCGTAAAAATTGTACATTCAGAGACTGCAGGCCATACTAAACCGTATCTCGTAACGGTCTGCAGATTCTTCATCGAAGGAATTGAGAAGGTGTCGGACAACATTAATGGTATGTCCTGTAATATCCGTCATCCTGCCCAGCAATATTATGGAATGTCGGCGTATCTTTGAACACAGAACCATTGGCTCTGGGTCGAAATATTCGACTAGCTAAAGACGTACCGGCTATTTGATTATTCCTTTTTTGTGAAGATAGACATCTAGCGCAACTTCCCTATGCCAACCTCATACGTCGTCCATCTGTCCCCGATTCCAGTACTTGTTTGCTTTCAATTTAAGGCTGTATCTCGTGAAGTCCAAGAAGGAATGTTCTCATATGTGGATCTGTTGTCTTTCCACACATGGGAACGCTGAACTTGCATTCGATCTGAACTGGGCCGTGTGGCCAGTAAGATGCTTCGTCGGTATTCCTGTCACGTAGGGAGCTTGGGTTGCATGTCTCGTTTTACTCACAACAATGCAGATCTGCGACACACGGCTGATATTTAACCAGGTTACCCTGGTAATTACATTCAAAGTTGTGCTTGAATTGTTGATTTAGCTAGACTTAGGTATACCTCCGAGCCCCTGGATCCCTATTATCACCCCGCTCTCATCATAATCTGTTCATTTCATGGTATTGCATCAGAGGCTCTGAGTCATACAAAGTGTGTCCGCAGTAGTGGGGGCAGCCCATCCATGTATATGACTATTTTCTAAGTTACCTGCAGCAAGTCGACGGTCGCTATAGGATGGAACGGGTCCACTGCGTAGAACATGTTATGGAAACTTGTAATGAACATATTCCTTCTCTGTAACGTAGCAAGTAGTCTCAACTCGTAAGCAATGGAAAGTTGAAGGAGGTTCGTTATATCTGCCGGGTACAGCATATTTTGAAATTGGAAGATACCATGAAATGCTACACTGCCCAATACACAGTGGTCCTGGCCTCATGAATTGTAGTAGCTTCAGAGTTGGGAAACCGAGCATGAGCCGCCAGCGTCATGCAATCTCCTACTTGCAAGCTGCGCACCAATCTCCCCACTTCTGCGGTCTTGGCAGCTTGCCTGTCGAAGGTATTATCAAGAAAGTGCCAAAAACAGTCACCATCGGCATCCTTGTCAAATGAATCGCTGGCGTGCCAAAACATGGTGTGGTCTGATCCCGAAGTCTTTGCCGCGAGAGTTTTTAGCAGTTTCATGCTGGGAGGAAAGGACGGTCTGCTGGTGTCTCGTGGGATGACCGATGGCTCCGCGTTGCACTCTTCGAAGAGAAAACGCGCCGGCCACTCGGTGGTGTCAGAGATGGGTTCTTGCAATTTCTCTATGCTGACATCGCACCATATGTAAGACGCGTTGAACGTATGAGGAAACTGCGTGCGCAATCTTTGATCATGAGTCCAAATCTGAAACTCTATTTTTCTGCACGGATTCGTTGATAGCATCGGTGCGGACGGCAAGGCATCGTCCAGTCCGCCAATTCGCAACTTCTTCTCCCAAGCTGCACCACCCTCCTCGAAGTCTTTCTCAACGAACCTGAACTCGCCCTCAGTGCCGTGAACGCCGATAGGGAGCGTTCTTATATATATTCCTTCATCGGAACGCTTTCCTTCCTTGTAAGTTGGAACGGTGGTAGGCCGCTCGATGTAGATTGTACTGTGCGGCCAGTAAGATGCCTCGTCGATAATCCTGTCTATAAGCTCCATAGGAAGCTTGCGTTGCAGGTATCGTTTTACTTGTAAGACATCCGCGACAGACGGTTGATACTCAGTTGGTTCTGGGTAACAACAACCACCTGATGAAATCGTGATACATGCCTGATAACGATCTCAGTCAAAGAACCACCATACCTGGCTGTGAAGGAATTTGATCCTCGACAGATTCCACATGGGTGGGAGTTGTGCAAGGCGAATGATCTGATTCGAGCATGTATGTAAGATGATAGCGAACTAGCGACGACTTGAAGTTGATCAGTGATAGTAGATAGCGGAAAGCATTAATTAAGCTCTACACAGCCACCCGTGCTTTCGAGCAAGCACATAGATATTATTGCTCACAACATCCACCAAGTCTTCACCACTATCACTAGTGATAACACTGTGTCACGATGGTCAAAAATCCTCGGAAACGTCAAAAGACAGGAAAAATACAACATAAACCAGTCCCACTAGGTGCTGGCCTGCGCAATGACGCGAGTAAAGACGACGAGGAGAGGCGTCTCGAAAACTTGCTATTCGGTGTCCCATATGCTCCTGAGAAGGCTGGCAAGGAAATCATGGTAATATCTGATGAAGAAGCAGAGGATGGCCAATATGAAGTAGGACGAGAGTTTGAAAATTTGCTCGACTCGGATGTATGTGCAGAACTGCTAGAAACTACACTTCATTATTCACGTCACCTATAGCTTTTTTTCGTGGACGACAATGCTGGACTATCCGAGTTTAGCCAGGCTCCTCAAGACCATGTACAGTCTGATGTAGAAGATAACGAAGAGCTCATAATACCGGAGGTCCCCGAAAGTGATGAAGACGAAGAAATTTCCATTATTCGCCAGGACATCCCTCAGCAGCCCAAAAAAACCAAAGCACCTGCTTGGACAGACCCAGACGATGTAAACGTTCAAGTCTCACTTGCATCAAATAACCGTCTTCGCAAACTGCGCGACGCACCCTCTGATGACACAGTGGGAGGACGTGAATACGAGCGCAGATTACGCAGGCAATTCGAACACATAAACCCAACTCCAGACTGGGCATCCATCGCGCGCAAGAAAAGCGAACGTGCAAAGAGACGTCGATCATCGGCTTCTGGATCTGAGAGTGGGGAGGATGTTGTGCCGGAGCTGCTGGCATCAACGGCTGGAATTTTGGGGACTACTAAGTCAAGGATTATACCCCCGAGCACACTCTCCATCGAGCGATTGCGAGATGCTAATCAAGCTGCGCCAGCGGATGGCGAAATAAAAACAGTTGCATTTCATCCTTCGCCTCACGTTCCCGTCCTTTTGACTGCAAGTGCAGACCGTCGCCTGAGGCTTTTCCACGTGAGTGTTGCTTCTCATGTTTTCGTACTTAAAAAGTTGAACTTGGTTGATAGATTGACGGTCTCACGAATCCTCATGCCCAAACTCTTCACGTCCCATCACTTCCTATCACCAATGCTGTTTTCCACCCCAGCGGCACGTCTATATTGATGACTGGTCCACGACCTTTCTATTACACGTACGACCTTCAGTCTGGAGCCTCCCACCGCTCCCCTCGAGGCCTATGGGGCACCACATTCTCTTCGGGTCGTGGAGACCAAGGCGCGAGCATGGAGATTTCTTCCTTCAACCCGACAGGGGAAATTCTCGCTGTTGCAGGACGGCGAGGTCATATTCATCTTGTCGATTGGCGATCAGGTGCAGCGCAAGTCATGGGCGAACTCAAAGCAAACTCGAACGTGAAGTCTTTGTGGTGGTCGAAGGCCGGAGCAGGCGAGCTTCTGGGCTTGACAGAAGATTCACAGGTTTATGTTTGGAATGTTGGGCAGCGCAAATGCGTAAAACGATGGCAGGATGAGGGCGGGTTCGGCAGTCGATTATTTGGTGGAGATGGCCAAGGAAAATATCTGACTGTTGGGTACGTTTTCGTTTTGTGAGGCGGGTGTTCACACTGACAATATGGCCCCCAGTTCAAACACAGGTTTGGTCAATGTCTACAATGCAGAGAGTACGGTCGATCTTGAGGGAGGCAAACCAAAAACTTTAAAGACGATTGGGAACCTGACAACAAGTATCTCAACGTTGCGGTTCAATCATGACTCTCAGTTACTTGCTATTGCAAGTAACGATAAAAAAGATCAGATGCGGATGGTATGTCAATATTGTATCTTTCCCAAGCTTTCATTCATTTAACTTGATCCGTTCCTGCGTAGGTTCACTGCCCGTCATTGACAGCATTTGGGAACTGGCCCACGTCAAGTACCCCTCTTGGACATGTAACCTCCGTCGATTTCTCCCGTGAGAGCGAGTACCTGGCTATCGGCAACACTCGCGGTCGCGTACTACTCTATCAACTGCGTCATTTCTCACAGCAATAAAAATGCACAGTCCATTGGTCTTTGCTACAGATACAAAAACAAACAAACATAATGATACAGATGTGGGGTGATCCAGTCGCGACGTCAAGGCTGTTTGATGGTCGTGTGATCGCTTCATCTAGTCGGGTAGCGTGCTAGGAGGTCGCTATAGGTTGTCGAGATCTGCTGCGGGATGCAGTGAAGTCTAATTTTCCCACTGTATTTTGCCTACCTTTTCTGCGCGTTGCCTACCATCGGGAACGAACCGGCAGATAATGGTGGAGCATTCGAACCAACGCTTTGCTTCATCAACCATGGATGCACTAAGGTAGATGAGTCCTGTGTCAGCATACGTCCCATGAGATATCCACTGACTGAAGACACTCGAGGCCAGTGTTGTACGCTGTGCTCAGAAGCCATTGACGCTCGTCCAGAGGATAGAGCTTCCGTATAGATGAGTGAGCCAAGATACATTGCGAGACTGGAATTTTACCAGGTCACCACCGTCCCTAGCGTCGCCATGCTCCTCCAGGACAGCGATGGCTTGATCCACGTAACCAATTGCCTTGGATCGATCGGCTCCTGTTGCTCTCGTCAGTAATATAATGCATATAGCTCGAAGCCACCGAGCAAATTTCTCCAGAGAAAAGTGCCCGCGGGCCAAACATGCGTGAAGTGTAGCCTACGACGCAGAATTAAGTTAAGGAACCGACGACTTCTGTGCGGACCTACTTCTAGCGCTGTGAAAAGGACTAGGTTTGGCTAGCATGAGCTTGATCGGGAACTTGAAAATAAATTTCTACCGTGTATGGGGCAGTTTTTGTCCTCCCACTAGGAATAACGTTGAACAAGTCATGCACAGAAAGAGCTATTTTGTCTCACTAGAGCGTCAGCAAATGCCTCGTACGTCTCTAACGAATCTCGATCGGAGCGAGATGCTTCCTGCGTGCAAAATAAGTTCCTGCCTGATTTGTTAACAGGGAATCATAACCGTTCCTCAATTGTAGCCAGGACCGTGGGCCAATCTGACAGGTGACATGCCGCTTCGACGATGAAAACTCGTAAAATCTGCAAGGATGACTCAAGTCGAGGAAGGTCCTCCTGCGATACCTTCTCCTCTCGTAAAACCTTGCTAATGCGCTGTGATGATTGATTGATCTCGTTGAACAGATTGCGGTATTTCTCAGGCTGTAGAAATCAGTAGAAGTTTCGAGGGAGGACCTTGACACACTTCAATCGATTCTGTTTGCGACCGCAAACGTCTGAAAGACATAACTGTGAAGAAAATTATGGCCGCTGCAGTCTTCCAGGGAGGATCGAGGATGCGTACCACGGCCCGAGGCGGATGCAAACGAGGCATTCACTAAGTAAACGTAGACAGCCTGGTCCACATCTACGGTTGCGTGTAAGGTGTAGAGTTCGAGAAGCTGCGTGATAGGATTAAACCCAGGAAAATGCTTGTCAAAAAATTACCGACTCGTCTCGCTGCGTCGAAGATGTCAGATATTTGATCCTCTCTGTCCTCCCAATCCGAGCAAGCTTGGATAGCACAGTTGTATGCAGTCCTCCAGAGCCAGGATACATCTCTGGCAAGTATGGCAGGCTGTTCACAAGATTCCGCAACAGTCACCGCTATCACAATCACCGCGTTAGAATACGTGTGAGTGGTTCATAAACTCCGACCAACCAATCTTCAGGTGGTGGAGTAATGCTGCAATTAAGCGGTCCCTGAGGCAATTCTCAGCTCAGCATCGGTGCTTGCAACCGCAGAAACTCACAAATCGGCAGCAGGTTCTCCAAGGAGCTTAACGATAAGCCTGATTATACATCTTACCAGCGTCATAGCTTCAGTGACGTTCCCCACGTTCTCTCGCAAATTTAGCGTTTCAAGAAGAGCCTTGAGCACGTTCAGAAGAAGATTTTTCATATCCAAGTCGTGTGCCAACCGGCAGGCCAATAAAATCATTTTGCGATCGAAATTCGCGGCGTGCACCATATTGCGAATTGATTTTATCGCTGATAAGTGACCGACCGATTAGAGGTGACCAGTCTTCTTCAGAATGGAGATACCTTCGTCTTCCAGTCCTGAAATGAGTATAGATGAGATAATATCACGCCGAGGCAATGCCCTGGCAGACCTTGATAAACCGCAATAAGGAAGGTTACATATTGCGTCGTAGCTTCTGTGTCAGGACATCGGCGGATAATCGAGCCCGCATGAGCGTAGTCCTTTCGCTTAAGATGCGCTAGGGCAGCCTTCCGGAAACACTTCGAGCTGCTGACAGGACCCAAACTGGTAAATATAGAATGTGTGCCGCAACTGAACCAATCCGCAGCTTCTTTCCATCGCCCTGCATGGTAATGGCGATCACCGTATTGCCACAAAAGCTATGTAAATGTTCGAAAAATCCAATATAATTGAATGAGCTGAATGGAGCATCCACGTACCGTGATGCAAGCTGTGGCCGGAGCTTTGAGAAGCTCAAACTCCACGTCACTCAGTTCTACGCAGAAAGGTAAACAATTCGCACAAGCCGTACAACAGCAAGGTTGAAATGAGACGTACCTTTGAAAGATCCATGTAGATCTTGTATGGCTCTGTCGTGTTTGTCATCTTTGGAACAATGGAATATGAGAGATATGAGAAGCCTTTCCACGGCATCTGTGCTCCAAGAGCAGTGCAAGGCCCGATGAAGGCAGTACTGAGTTGCACTCGTGACTAATTGACTACGCCCACACTAAATCAAAGGAACACTCCTGTATCAGACGACGTACTGATACTGAGAAAGCGTCCGAAGTTCCTGTAGGACACTTTTGAAACGGATCTGAGAAAACGGAGTGGATTACAGCATTCCCATAAACTCACTCGGTAAGATTGCTTTCTGAATATGTCAGGTTGTCAATGATAGCTTGTAGGGCTAATGAAGAACGTGAGTAATCCAACTCGCCACACTATGTGGAAGATTCCGGTCCAGGAAAGTTCACCTTGAAGAAGAACAGTATCTCCAGCTTTTCGCCGCTTCATGACAGCCAACTTCATCCATCGGAGTTGCTGGTATTCGGAGCTTACCTACAGGAACGTGGGTAAATGCCGCTTGAGTATGTCACTGGCAGTACTATGCTTACGTTGTCTACAGAAGGACTGATAGTTGCAATAACTTCTTCTAGCGCGGTTTCCGCTCTGATCAAATTCTCTGGATCCTGGGATGATGACAAGAAGTAACCACGGGCTAATAGGGGGCCGATCTGAGCCCCACTGTACCATCGAATGAACCAAGTTCACTTACCCAGACTCCTGAGAACCGATCTCTGACTAGGTTGAATGGGGCTGAGTGATTAGTATACTTGAAAATACTCACTTTAAGCTCAGCGAGCTCAGCATTGCTCGCGCAATCAAGATGCTCGATGACGGAAAACGCCTTTTGCATCCATCGAATAGCCTCATTAGCCTTATTCTCTTCTGGCACCAATTTGCTATCCTGATAGCAACTTCTCAAAAGTGATTTGCCAATTTCAAGAAGCTTAGCCGCCAGCGTCTCTCGCTGAAAATGTTTACTATGAGAAGTATCATGATGTTGACCGAATAGGACTTACGTCATGGTTGGACAGGAGCACGAGCCGACCGTCATTCTCTATGAGGACAATCAGCGCGGTTCATATCAGCAAGGACTCAGGGACAACCTGTGATTTTGTCAGCCATAAAGGCCGCTAACCCTTCATTTCCTTCCCTCCAAGCCTATTTCGCGAGGTCCTAAATATATCAACGCCTCCATATCACAAGGATTAGAGTCCTCACTGCTTCCATTCTGGTTGAGAGGTAGACAGCTGTAACACATGCCCTGGCTTGCTGATTGGTGCCACTCGGGTCGTCAATATTTCTCAGCGCTTCTTCATACTTTGAGAGAAAATTAAAGCGAACCACAACTGATATAAACAAGGAAAAAAATAACCTTCGCCGCACAACCCAGCACGCTCGATGCGGCGTCATTGTGGCCGAGTTCTGGATCCGTGGCCACAATGTTATTTGAAGATACGAGATATTGGCGTTAAAAACACACCGGACAGGGTTGCGCCAGTCTTGCTCGCAATTTGGAGAATATGTAATAATGCTGATAGGCCATAAATGAGCGACAATCACGCAAGAATTCTGAGCTTCTTCTTCCAACCTTCAGTATCTGGCTTAGGTTCCAACCCTGCTTCCATGAGGCGAAATCCAGCTAGCCGTACTGGCAAGCCTGGCTTAAGTGAAACCGATCATAGAAAACAAAGAAGCTTACAAGCGGCGACGACAACGCGGCTGTCAGGCGCAGAGCCCAGACGGACCACGCCGGATGCATTCCACAGGCTGACACCTAAAACGAGATACTTGGGTTTCATGTTTGTTCGGATAGTTGCCGAACAATGATACGAACCTTCTTGATCAAGGAAATCTGATAACTGACTCTTTTTGCTCGACTTCAGGCGCTGTTCTGTGAATGTCTGTGCAAGCGATGCGATCTTATGTAAATCCCCGGTTATGGTTTCATCTTTGGTAGTTCCGTCCTTGAGCTTTGGTTTGGTCTTGATCAAGAGTTCTTGGGTTACAGCGGGAAGCCATCAGGAATGTGAATACGTCTGATGCTGGCCGGAGATTGATACCTTTTATTTCGTCATACAGTTCCTGTGGACTCCGAGCCCGACTCTTCTTCTCTACAGGGGACATATCACAGTATCACTATTCTGATAACAAAATATGGGTGGGAGGGCTCGTAAGGCGCGTCTCGTCACAGCGTAACGTGGTGTGACGAAACGCGTTCAAATCAAGTGTAACTCCAAATCCGGTCAGTTAGGTTAACCCCTTTTTTCGAGTTTTTTTGTTTGCACTTTCAAAAAAAAATTATTTTAGAACTTCTACCGTTTACGGCCGCCTTGTTGCTGCACAATCGAACACAGACAATGGAGTTAGATCACAAGCCTGGTGTGGACGAGCTGAAAGCAGCCGCATGGAGGGTTCGTGTTATTTTGCATTGGATGTCGACATTGAAATGATGGCATATCGTCAGGAGGCTCGGAGAGACGGGATATTTGCTGGCTTGACGTCGGGCCTGGCAGGAGGCAAGTTAATTCACGTGCCATGTGCCTTGTAACGGCCCGTCTGATATCTCGTCACAGCACTAGTAGGCTCAAAATTTATGGGCTTTGGCCGGAATAAAACTATTATCAGTGGTGCTTGTAAGTCCACCAATCACCCATACTAAGTCATGACTAATATGAAATTCGATTGAAACGAACTTGTCTTTCAATAGTGACGGGTCTGTTATCCGGTTACTTCTTCACCCAGGCGTTCCTTTCCTCCAACATGGCTCAATTGAGATCAAAATCTGTCTCGTCAGACACTGAAACCGATCCATGGCCCCCCAAATGATTCGGAAGGCCATCATTAATAACCTGTGAGTTGGCGATTGTACATGGCATTTGTATGAGGCGTCGAAATCTGTCAAATGTAACTCCAAATGGCTTTCATGCTATTACTAGGCGTGGTAAGGAACAAGTCCGACATGAAAGCCCTCATTGTCAATCCCTTTGTAGGCCGGAAAAGATCCATGCGTATCTATCAGACTGGTATCCGTCTGATTCATCCAGCCGTGATATGATTCCTACACATGCCATTCTGGTTGCAGTGGTGATGGATTACTCCGGGATGAACGCTAAATACTTTCGTATGAAGTTAGTTCGTTTCGTCACACTGGCCAACCTATTTTCGAGCTGCACCGATTGATTATGGTGAGAACGTGTCCAGAACTCAAGTATCGTTACAATGAGGACATAGGGGTACAAAGTACTGGGAATGGACCATCTCGGGGGCACACGGGACCATCCGTGCCAAATACCACGCAGACAGATCGACTCATACTTGTAGCAGGGGCATCAAAAGCCTTGCCCGCGATCTGTAACAGGGCTCCGATGACAGGATGGACCGCGGAGTGCGGAACTGAGCATGATCAGACACGATATCGTTATTCTCACTGGCCTATGCGGGAAAAAGATGGCTTCTGCCCATGAATTCCAGACTCGGAAGATCATTGGCATCGAAATTTTAGGCTGTTTCGGTCATAGATCTGTCAAGCCGCACCAATAACAGCACTGTAATTGTTGCCAGCTTGCCGTTGTTGGTAGACTTAATAAAGTAGTTCATATCAAGTTCATATAACTTGCAATTGGTTCACAAGCAAACCTACGAGCTCCGACGATTTCGATGTATGGTCGGTTTAGCATTTATTCTCGTACAGTAGCTAACTATGAGGGTAATGTAATCTCTGGTTGATTTCTGATAACAGAAAGTGGAAATGTAAGTGAAATACAAATGAGGATGCCGAGAATGTATGTCAGTGTCAATGAATGATATTGCGTGCAACGAAATGATATGGCGAAAGTGCTAAGTAAGTTGAAGTTCGATATGAAAGGGGAACCGATGAGATGCAATAATCGTGTGCATTAAACAGAAATGAGTAGCTGAGGACTATCTGCCATAAGACCAATTATAAGGATATGCGGGTGATTCCCGCTGACTAGAAGCTGAGTAAAAATGGACGCCAGGTGGTCCTGCGTTGGCGAATGGAGCCGACGGAACTGCGTTTTCCCGTAAGGGGGGCAATTGCAAAGAACTTTCGCCATACGAAGGAGGTCGAGCAAGCTTACGAGACCAGACAGCATCGTGTAGGTGAGGAAGAGGCACGGCTCGCACGTCGACATGTATTTCGTAAGGGCTGACAGACTCGGACTGAATGTCCTGTGGCATGTAAGGTGGCGGATAAGATGGTGGAGGCGGAGGCTGAGGCTGGTAACACCGCAATCGAGCTTTGCGCCGCACCCTTTCCTCTTCCGCTGCATAGTCAGTTGACGACCCAGCAAGCGAGTAATAATAAAGGTTCTACCACGAATGTGAGACAAATCATGTGAATTGCGGAGAAAGCACATACTTGAGGGACGTTGACAGGTCCTTCCGCACGGTACGCAGCTACCAAAGTTTGCGGGCGTGTATCACCTTGGTGTGACTGATTGGACTGTGCGGACCGTACTGAGTGTGGCGATGACGATAACGACATCTTGGCAAAAGACTGCAAAGATTCAACTGGCGACGCCGAATGTGGGGCAGTTGGATGATTGGTTTCCGGAATTTGCAAAGTCATGCCAGTGGGACGCTTCAAGGGCGGTAACTCGTGGAACGATGACGAAGTAGGTGAGAACGCGTCAGCAGCCGAGCGTTTCAAACCGGGGGCAAGACATGGCGACACAACAGGATTTGGTGGTGTCACGTGATATGTAGATGAATATGTACGAGGATGAACGGGTTGCTCGGGCGAGGTCGAACGTGCACGATGGGATGCCGAATGGCACCTCCACCTGTAGGAGCGAGTTGGTGCTGCGGACATCGGTTGAGTATGACGAGGCGTCCGATGCCGGGCGCGAGTACGCCATCTACGACACTCTCTTTCTTTTGCATGAACGAGCCCCCTCAATAGGTGCATCCATGAATCGTACGTCTTCTTCGAAATGTAAAGGTTGAAGTCGATGCCCATCAAAAACTCCTTTTCCATTCGGGTGATTTCAGCCAACTCGATACCAGAAACCTCGGACCATGTCTTATTGGTGTACGTGTTGCTAGAATAAAACTTGAGAACACAATGACGTGAATAGGCACAATGAACTCACTCGTCAAGAAATTTATTTGCCATCATGAGCGCGGCGACTGCGATACGAAACTCACTTCCCGGTAAACCAGCGGTGTAACGGTTACGTTCCTTGAGTCGCCATATGTAATGGAGAGACAGGACGATCACCGATTGGCTGACTTGGGTAGTTTCTAGCAACTTTTGCATAAAGGACACAAAGGCCGGTGATGCAGCAAGCTGAAGAGAAGAAGTAGCGGCAGGAATTTCAGGGGAGTATGGAGGAGTGAGTGGTTGGGTAGATGTAGAGCTGGAAAGTGACACAGAGAACCATAGGTAGCATATCATTTCGCAAGTTTTCTCCGCGATATAGTGTGGCGATCTCTTTAAAGAGTCATCAAACCAATCAATAGGCCGAGGGACATCTTCAGACGCTGCAACCTTTTGCTGAAAGGGATGTGCGTGCTGGTCCATCTCGTCCACATACGGTTCAGGTGACACATGAGCGACGTGTGATTGCTGGACGGGTCGCGACCAGGTCGACGCGTCTTGAGTACGCGGAGGTGTTACTTTAGCTAGATCAAAAACTAATGATGAGAAGAAAAGTAAGAAACACGTACTTGGATGCATGTATGAAACCTGACGATCGAAATGAGTAATAGGTGGCAAGGACGTCACCTGTGGTGCACCGAGCCTTGATAGAGAGGCTGACATTGGAGGAGTCAGGAGACCGGTCTGCCCTGATGGACGCCAAGCTGACCAGGTAGCTAGGAGTTCAGTGGGCAAGGACGGACGTGATGATGAGCCCATTTTGCAAGGAGTTAAGGGCAGAGATGGTGGAGTATAAAGGGCCATGAGGAAAGAACTTGAGTTCGGGAGGGCAGTAGATACAAGTGTGTCGGGATCATGAAGATATATAAAAAGGAAATGTCGTATGTATTGCTTGAAGGTGTAAAATTGGCGGACATGGTTGACATATTCCGCTTAGAGACAAAAACAGGGGATACCGTGTCTAGCCACCCGGAATGCTAAGGGTTGAGTTGAGTTGATTGAATTGGAAGAACTACAAAATTGCAGCGCCTCCGAGCCCGCTTCGTAGTCTTTAGTAACAGCTCGCGCTCCGTTAGATCTTAGACGTTTTTTTTGCTAAGATTGACTTGTACCCGTCAAATTTGTTTGATTTTCACAGATTTAACCTTATTTACTTGACTAACATTTTTTGCCATCGGCATCAACGGCATGGGGGGAATCCCCAGGGATTCCCCATAGCCTTACCACTAACCCATTTCCTATTTTAGTAATTTATAGTCACATGACTTTCTACCTACTCACTTGGTGTACTCACTTCGATACCGCTTTTGTCACCTCTTCTTCAAACACACTTATAAATTTACTGACCGCGGTCACTTCCAACAACACCGCGTCTCATCGTCTCCTTTGTTCGTGCTGGAACAACTACCAGCCATGATCTCGGTTTCACCCCCTTCTCGGCCTCACGTGACTTGGCGTGTGCCAACGCTTCTTTAGTATGTATCAGTAAAATTACTAAATTCGGCACGCGTTAAAATCGGTGTTTTTATTTCAATATGTAAAATAATTATGACAGATACAATGGAGAGTATACCTGCTGAATCATTGGTTCTTTGTCCGGATCTGAGTCCGGACTCGGTCAAGTCACTAATCAGGGCTACTTGGGATATGCATTGTTCAACGGGCAACTTGCTTATTCGCGCTAGTGGCAAACGGAGTAATCACTATCATCTATCAGTTTTTTTGCACCGACCGGCGACTACTAAGTACGAGAATCAATTGGTCCGACGCCGTTAGGATGTACACTGCAATGGGTAAGAACCAGCTTGAAAGATCATGTTTTCATCAAGCCCGCGGTGCTCAGCTGTGACGTGAGATTTCTGCTGAGAAACTACCAACGATCCATAGCAATGGCATGCGACTTCGGAAAGTGATTATACTACCTTCAAAGGCGGTAAGTTTCCGGACCTGGTTCATCCAAAACAGTCATTTCTATTAATTTTAAAGTCACCCTTCTCCCGTGATTGAGTCGGATGCTGTGCCGATCGGACACAGGACTACCGTACACACCAAAAAAGCCAGCAAATTACTATTTGTGTTAAAAATGGGGGTCCTCCTCAGAGCCATAATACATCAAAAATTGTTCTGGCAGAGATAACTTATGGTAACGTGGAGGTAATCCACATGTGAATAAGATGCCACCGAAAATGCCATGGTAAACGCTCGCGGCAGAATTCCATGGCCAAGAAGTTTTCATTTGTTTCCAGGAAAATATTCCAAGGTTCAATGTGACAGGATGAGATGCGGTAGTACCACCTACCGGTCAGATCAAGGGCCAGCTAATGCCATGCCGTTTCTACAAAACATCCGATTGGAATCATAGTACCAAGATAGCCACAGCATGCCGTGGCACGCCCATTCACAGTGCAAGCCCCGAGTAGCGATACGAATCTTCTTGGTCAACCACGCATGCCCGAAGTGAAAAGATCATAAAATTACTACAAAGGCTTGACAAAAGCATTGTTTTCATAATGTTCCCGTCGTGCCTTGCGGCGTACAGCCACGAGTATTAGCGATGAAAAAAAAATAGATAAGATAATTCAACCTAGCCGCGCAATATTTGATCATTAGATATCGCCGCGTCAGGCTGGCCAGGCCACGCTTTATCCACGTAATTATAAAGGCGTAGCTCTCAGGAGTGTTTCAGGAGAATTCGACTATTTTCCACTTAGTACACGATACAGGGGGTATGCTACGGAATCAGTGCACGGGCTTTTCTCACTATTGACACCTTGTGGCTAAGGTACGTGAGTGTACAAACAAATGTTCGTCATTGGAAGGTAGTTTTACATTTGGGGTGTGAGTTGGCTAACGTAGCACATAAACTCTCGCTTGATTGATGAAGGCTGAGGCAGGTGGCAGGGCTAGTGGGCGGCGGTTAGCAAAGATGGTAAGCAGTCGTCAAACACCAATATCACTTCGAAGTTCATCTTCGATATCAAGCCAGCCGCAGCGGCAGGCGAGGGGTTAATTGAACGTAACTTGATCCGGTAAGCCCAGCCACATCCATTGAATTGCAAGTATTAAGTAGGAGACAGGAAGTCCCCGCAAGGCGCTATCGTGCTGATTCCTTGATCACTTGGCACAAGTCAACAGTGATTTCCATGCGCCTGAAGCGGAGAAAGTGGCGTACATATGAAGATTTCAAGTCAACGCCGCATCATGGACTTTCAGCGGGTTTGCTGTACTGAGTCAGTGTCCAGAATAGACGGCAATCTACTTATAGGCGCTCCCCATGAACTTTCACGCATTTGGCAAACAGCCATGGCCTCATCGCTACGCAACGGCCTGTCCGGCCCTGTTTGACGTCTTCTCTGCCGCATGTACAACTCTGCAGTATGAACTGTCACGCGTGTTCCTGCCCATGGAGGCGAGCAAACCGTAGCCAAGTTGGCTGAGACGCAAATCACAGAAACCATATCGACATTTGACAATGCCACGTTCAGTCCATCGGCCGTGTTTGGCTGACAACAATATTAGCCGCTACTTTCCGCAGCTCAGACCAAATGGATCCTGCGCTTGTACCTATAATCACCGAGGCATTTCACTGTCGCTAAAATGACATCTTGGTCGAATTTCGCCCGCGAAATGAGGGTAGACCCGCTTTTTGAAATATCGGTCGAAATGGCCTTTGTGAAGGATGCGCGGCTTCAGCCTGCGCAGTACAGGCTAGTACTTTCCACATGGGTTCCGCTGCAGGAAGTCTTCCGAGAAGCTGCTATCCATAGTACTAAGTTGTGGCACACCAAAATGGCTGAACCAAGCCATCCGGATCTGATTATAAACAAACCTTCCCAAACTTGCAAGTACGTGACCCTGCGGCGTCATTATACATTTGATGAACGCAAGGAAAAGGGTTTTCGATAATTTTGATCTTCGGCTGTGGCCATTGATCTGGCGGTAACGAATAAGACTTGGCCCAGGGCTCATTTCTGGACAATAGAACCACGGAGTATCTTAGCAGACGAACTAGTACTGTAACTCTGTAGTCAAAGGCCTAGAATGTTAGGACACTAAACGGTTCGTAAAACGCCACCCAGTAAGGTTCTGTGCCAACGTGGCTATTGGCCGTTGTTGGCGCTGAAAAATTCTTGCGAAGAATTTCAGCCGGTGTGTGTGTATTGATTTGAAACGGACGATCCGAAAGAAATCGCCTGTCACGAAAAGACCTTGAGAACCATGGAGCAAGGCCGTTACCCCCATCCATGGGAGTGGGCGCCCAACTCAAGCTCAGTTAGCCAGTCTTCAGATACTAACGGCTTACTCCCAAAGGAGATACTTCTGTTATGCTCCAAACTGAATAGTCAAGGTGACGCACTGTATTCCCGAAATTCCCACATAGATCAGCGTGTGCAATGTCGTCAGCACTAGTGTTCCGGTGTTCGCAGAAGTCATGATCAGACTAGAAATACGAAAGGTATCTGGATTTGAAGAGCCGAGTTCCAATACTGATACTTGTAACCAGTAATATGAGCTGTTGTAGTAATTACATACACGTGTTCGTGCTTGGGCGTGATGGCGAGGCACGTGGTATTCAGACTAAGGATGTCAGAACAGTTTAACAAAGGTAATGCAGCGTCTGTGCGATGCACGTACATTCTGCCCACAGTGCGGCGAAATCATAGGCATATGTAGGTGATCCGTTATTTACGTGTGACATGGTGGGAGATATCAACGGGTACCGTGTCTGGCCAGGCGCACGTTTCGTAAAAAAAACGCGGATCTTGCAGTCACCGGTTGCTCTGTTCTGCTTCAGTCCGCAAAGGGCCATCCAACAACCGAACCGTACAACGTTAACAATCCGGCATGGGCGGGGTATGGGCCAGGGCGAACGCACCTAATCTGACCTAATCAGGAATTGCCCTGCAATGGAGCGCGGCATCCTCTCCTAAACAGTGTGTTAAATTGTAATCAGAACCAATTGTCCTCAATGTAGAGTCCTTGAGGAGCTATATTGAAATGTTCATGCAAGGTCGCCAAGGCAAAAGAAGTCTATTGAAGAAACTGTTCCAAAACATGTCTTCGCCGTGGTATAGAGGAGCGGAATGGCGTGTCGTGTCGTTGTCTTCATTTCAGGTGGACATAACGAGCGTACCGGCTGCCTTTGATCGACGAGAACATCATGGTGTCCTAGAAAGACCACGAGAGGACAAGTCGTCGATTCTAAGTTACTGCAGTGGGTTTAGGGAGAAGCAAGCATGCTGGACTCGCCTGGAGGGTGGCGTGGGATCGCAATTCAACCTTGCAGTCGTCTGCCATCTCGGCTTGAACATACCGCATTCACATAGGGCGACGAGCCCGCTTTCTGTCTTTTCACACAATTACCCGCCAGGCGGTTTACTTCCAGGCCAGTTAGCTGAAGACTCGCCAGATACCCTGTTTGAATCGTTCGAACTAATCACGTTTCGCTCGCTTTTGTTCAATCTCTTCACAAATCGTGTTGGACGTAACAGGCCAGGGCATACTCCAAACATCACCGGACATTCACCTATCAAAAGCTCACAAAACACCCTTATAATTACTCTTATCTAGGCCGAGCCATGACCATCACGTTTGGCTCCTTCGATGGAGTGTGTAGCACTGCTGCTCTCGTCATTTGTCCATTGTTAGGCACCTCTGGACAAGGCATAGAGCCTACATGCTACTCACGCAACGTTCAAATCGGGCAGACCGTTATCTTCCAGCCTTGTATGTATTCCGAGACCATGGATGTAGTGTACTCACCGATCGAGGCTGACTTTCATCTGTTTAGCTACATGTTTTGTCCACATCGTTGCAATAATCATGACTGCAATTATGATCTATCATATTCGCTCAAAGTATACCGCAGTGGGGCGAAAAGAGATCGTGATGTTCTTTTGGCTGTACATGATCATCGAACTTCTCGCAATGTTCCTAGACTCGGGAATCATACCGACTGCAAACGTCAGCTATCCCGTGAGTTATTATGCAAAATCATGCGATGATCTTATACCAAATGTACGTAGTGGTTTGCTGCAGTTTATACAGGTCTAGTAGCAACTGCCTACTGCTGTCTGCTTATCAACGGCTTCGTTGGATTCCAATTCGCTGAAGACGGGACACCTCTTTCTCTTTGGCTCCTTCGGATATGCTGTTTCGCCGTCTTCGGAGGGACATTCTTCATCTCTATCGCCACCTTCAAATCGTTTGTTTCATTCTCCCCGACAAAAACTACCGCGCTCTTCGTCATTTACCTTATCTGGCCCATCCTATGCGTCGCCACATATACCATATTACAACTCGTTCTTGTATTCCGGACTCTTGACGACCGCTGGCCCCTCGGCGACATTATCTTTGGGATCGCGTTCTACGGGATCGCTCAAGTTCTTCTGTTCGCTTTCAGCATCACCATATGTAATGCCATCACGCATTACTTGGATGGCCTGTTCTTCTTCACTCTGTGTGTCTTGTTGAGTGTTATGATGGTCTATAAATACTGGGACAGTATCACGGTGCGTTTGTTCCCCGTTTATGCCGTTCCATCCATCTATATATAATATTTGACACAGCGTGAAGATCTCGAGTTCTCTGTTGGATCTAAAGCTGCAGTTTGGGAAGTTAAGGACCCACTTCTCACGCCTTCAGTTACAGCTCCCAGTGCAGACTATGAGGAGGATACATCAAGCTACCACGCTGGCGCCGCGAGCCTTGTGGGAGGTGTTAGTGGTACGCAATATTACGGCGGCAAGCAAGCGTATGGTGCCCAGGGTGGTTACGGACAAGGAGGATATGGCGGCGGGCGAAGGGCTTATCCACCAACATCTGAAGGCTACTGAAAGGACTATTACGTAAATGAAGATATGGACAACAGTGGTTCACGGTACTTTCTACAGACAGTGGCTTTAATTCACTACTCTCATGATCAGGATGCTTTACAAGAGAATTGGTCACGCAGATAGATACTCTGCACTATTTCGGAGAGTCCGGCCGCCTGATCATTACATTATCTCGCAGGACTCGGATGTTGCTCCAGATATCTAGATGTGCACAGATCTGGGTATAAATGGAATTTATCTTAGAACGTTTCAAAATTTGAACCATCATCGACATCGATGATCACATCACTTTGCGGTCTGGGATCAGTGCGAATGCATATATATTCCGTACACATCCAATTATGCTTCGAATCTGATGAACGCTCTGTACCATCGTAACAGATATTGCGCTGGATATCGAGGGTATCAAGAATATGCATTGGATCATGCTGTACACGGGCTGTACAGATCGCCGTCCTTAACGATATCATCATGACATGATTATATTATACACCTGGACTCCGAGTTTCCCGTGTGCTTCCTTGGAAGATTGCGGCAGTACAGGGAACAGCTAAGACCTGTTAACAATCCCATACAGCGATGTAATCCCTGTCAACTTCCGATGATCAGATGCGAGTGCCGGAAATGCACCATGTCCGTGTACTTGGCAAGACCACCTAGGGTCCGCAGCCGCAGTGCGCACTACAGTTTGCCAATGAGGGTGTCGGACCGAGTGAGGGGTGTCAATTCCAAATTCTCAACAGGGGATAGGGATATTTTGCGGGGTGATACAAGGTGATGAGTCCATGAAAAAGGACATGTGTGGTACAAAGGTGTGCCTTGGTGTACCTTGAGACAGAACTACGTTCGCAACACCTACATAAACCGCATGGTGAGATGGTGAGATGGTGAGGATATAATATAATTTGGTCTGATGTAAACGTTACGCATTACATTCTTTGTGGTTACAACAAGTCTCCTTTAGAGGTGTTACTTTTCATGGCTCTGACCGGCCCCTTGGTCAGATTAATGAGAATGTAAGATTTTTTATAGAAGCAAGGCTACGTCCGGGGCTACTATATTCGATCGTCCACCGTCGCATGCTACGCCCATCAGTTGCAAGAAAGTATCGGTAGCTGAAAAGCCCGATGGGATGAATATACCGGTCGCGCACTTGTGCTGTATTTGTATCATAATTTGTAGATGGTAAATAGAGAAGGGCCGTCGTGCGCGTGAGTCGTGACAGTGGTGCGCTCGCACTGCGCATGAGTAAGGCCCTCCACGCTCTACACTAGCGGATCCATAGCGTCGGTAAAGTCTGGGCCATCAATGGCAAGGTGCCACGAATCGGACTGGAACGGATGCAGGTTTACATGCAACCCGCTTCCAATAACCTCGAATGAGTTTCCCAGATGCTGTCACAAGATCGAGTCATCGACATCATACCTCGTGATACTGGAATGAGCAGTCACGAATTGATGTGTCCGTTATAGTCAGCTTTGACGAGCTTCTCGAATGCAAGCATAACATCAGCGGATGCGTTAAAATGGACGTTGGGTCTTTTGGAGGTTCTGTGCACCCGAGACGACGTGTGTATTGTCCAATCTAGGCCGAAGAATCCTCGTCTTTTGGAAGGTATTCAAACATTCTGTTGCAAGTGACATTAATAAATACGTACCGAGAACAAGAACAAGGATCCAATTGCGAAAAAGGCACCGAGCTCAAGTTGCGATAGTTGTTGTATCGCGTCGTTCAAGACGAATCGGCCAGATCCATATTGGAAACCAATTAGGACTAATTCTTCACGTGCTGGAAACGAACAAGATGTGTTAGCGCTCGAGAACGACGCTACATCATCATACCTGTCTACCTTGCGACGCTTGACAATGAAAATCTTCGATGGAGTAGGGCGTGGTGGACCGACTTGGAGGCTCGCGTCGCACAAGTGTCATGCCGCAACTAGAAGGTGGCGGTCATTCCGAGAAAGTCTGAGCCGATGACTCCGAGGGTGAGGCAAAATTCTGGGTTGGACACAACAAGCTAATAGCCTGTGTACATGTATGAGGAAAGCCATCGACGATTAATCCGCGTTTCTAACTTTCCAAAGTCGTACGCAATGTGCATTGATTTTCCAACACGTGACTGACGCGTCGCGATTGGGTTTGTTTATTCAGTGGGCAAGCACGCACAAATATCGTGACCGGTATAAATAACGCGGGATATCTTGGAATCAGCCCGTCGAATATCTTGCCAGCACACCGTACGTTCAAACGATATTCTGCCAATATTATGATTTCTACCACCGTCTACGTTGCTTCGCGCCTAGCTATTACGGGCTTTATCTCGGTGTTATTCTTCGAGGAAACAGTTCTTCGTCCAATCCGATCTGGACCAAGGAAGGTTTCCGCCGGCCTTGTCGTGTCGGCGTTCAAGTCGACAATCATCTTGATCCTAGCCGCCGATGAAGCCGCATCAATATATCTGAGCAACGATACCGGTGAGCCCTCCACTGGTGGGCACACCCCCAATGCCGTCCCGGCAGCACCCAGCCTGCTCGGAATGGTGTGCCCAATGTGCAAGCTACATCAGGGCTCTCCGGATCGTCATCCGCCCGCGAATTTTGTATGGCCAGTTCCAGCCCAGAAGTTTTTTCTATCATTTCAGTCATCTCCATCTTCATTGTCATCGTCACCTGTATTCAGATCAACAACGCCCTGCGACATCACTACTAGTACTCTCGATTTGCCATACTTCGCCAATTGTAAGCGCCTCTCTATCACATCGGATGCTACCCTTGTAGCCTGCAATGACAACTGCTCGAAGGATGTCCTGCTACCATTTCAACATTATTTATCGTCACCTGTACTAGAATCAACGCCCTACGACATCACTACTACCCTCGATTTGCCGAATCTCGCCATTTGTAAACGACTCTCAGTTGCATCTGACACTACTCTGGTAGCCAGCGACGATGATTTGAAGGTCGTCTTCTCTGACAAGGTATGAAGTATCATACCTAAACTTCCCATTGCCTAACATTTAGATCACTACAGGACACCTATGCTATGCCACACCCTGGGGTGCACGCACTAGCACACACTACTCCGAATGACGTCCATGTCGACGTCCCAGCCCCGAGCACAACTATTGACATCATTAGCCCCTTTTGTACGCCGTATATTCGGCCACTCGTCCTGCTAGTCGACAAATGTCGGACAATGCCTACGCCTATTACTAACCATTCCATCCCCAGATCCGTACACCTCACTGACACCTTACTTCAGACGACACAGACCGTCAACTCCCTCCACAGCAGTCCGTCCGCAGTCCCCAACGACGATTTCATACACTCGAAGGGCATCTTCACTGGCACTGACGAAGCATTGCCAATGGACACCAAAGACGTCGAATACCCCATCGACACCCTGTCCCCACGCATGCCAGCTCTTACCACCAACAATGCTCTCATTATCGAAAATGCTTTCCCTATCCGCAATGCTCCTTCTCATCCGTTGAACCTTTGACCACTTGCTCTACTCGATAGCCTTCTAACGTCGTTTTCTATAAATACTGACACTAGCCCTTCTGGACCCGCCCATCCCACTGATGTGTTAGCTCACAAGACCAAGGCTGCTGCCTCCTGGCTAAAGCCCCTGATACTCGTTACTAAATACGCCGCCAATCGACTCACCCCTCTCCCTCCTACGGCACTTCCATATCAGCCTAAGAAGTTGCGCCCATGTAAACTCAAGCGGCAGAAGGTAAGGACGTTTTCAATGCTAGACTCAGAATGCTACTCATCATATTTCATTAGCGCAAACCTAGATCTTTGCGAATGAACGCTGCTTGCCACAGCATCGTGTGTTCTCGCCTTCGGCGACACGCCAACAGAATCGGTCAGTCATTTCTCTTTATGGTCAAATTCCCCATTGATTTCAGTACCACCAGTTGGCCACCTTACGCAAGTCTGCGAACAGATTCGTATCGACAAAGCACACATCATAGACGCTTGGGTTACTGCCATGGCAGATGTGGGGCTCACCTCAATGCTGGCTGGTGACCACCGGACGTCGCCAGGATCGCCGCTCCCTCTTACATTCGATGCGTTGTCAACTTTAGAGCCTGGTTCGCGAATCAAGGCCCGCCTTGCGTCACTTCGCCATCGAACAAATGCAATCGCAGCCGTGATTCCAGCCACTACCACCTTTCCACCTTCACTACCATGGCGATGCACTTCTGACATCCCCAGCAACTAACGCCTGCCCACTGCAGCTTCAACACTGACAACCACCGCCTACTAACAACGACCCCGCGAGAGGCCACCAAGGTCACGGGCCGCAGACTGACGAGAAGAATACGACACCACCAAGACACGCATCACGCTACTGATGCCACGACACTATCAAGCAGGACCACTCACGACGGTCGAGACAGTACACGAACAATGTTACGACACTGAAATGAAGTGACTTGCTTAACACGGGCCACAAGCCGATGATAGTAAGACTACGACACCATCACGACCATTTAATGACACGCATCACAATTCAAACGTCACGACACCACTAAGCAAGACTAGTCACGACACTCAAGACAGCACACGAACGACGCCACGACGCTCTCAAACAAGACACCATTTCACAGCACTCACGACAGCCAATGCTAACACCCACGGTCCACGACATTCTTGACGCTACGACACCATTAGAACATTTCATGACACTCACAACACCGCCACAATGCCATCCACCACCCGATGCTCACCACTGACCTCATCATGACCCGCGTCATCGTCAGGAAACGCGATGTTCCACAGCTGAAATGACTTTTCGACCCTGCTTTAGAAGACTGAATGACCTCATCGGGCTTGATATCTACGTTACCTGTTTTCCTGACTTGCACCTCCTAGTCTGCGTAGTATCCTTGTATTCTTGTATTTACTGAATAATCCTTGATGATCAAGTTCTTTTCCTGCTCACGCACGTTTGGATTGATGATTCATTGACACGAAAGGAATTGAAAAATACATTTCCGGAGTTTTGACCTGCTTTCGATGTGCGATGATGCGCCCGAAGTTGATGTAGATCCAGATGACCATGCAATGCGTGCACCTCTGAGCCTCTATTTGCTTACTACTGCATGCATAGTCACGGTATCATGATTCATGATGCGTCCTTGGTCGATGCAGAATCAAATTACCACGCAATGCGCAGCACGTCCGAGTCTCTATTTGCTTACCACTGCATGGTATCTCTAGAAAACGACACAGTTGTTGACCAGCATTCCCATGACAATGGTTTCGCTTAGACAGTCTGCTCGAGCTGCTTCAGACGTTACCAAAGTCGAAAAAAGTATGCGGGAAAATATTCTTCATCCAAGCTTACTCACGACCTTCGTAAGCACAATGCTTAATTAATAGGGTGCTACATGTACGGAGTCCCTCAGGCCTCAATAACGCTTCAGTAACAATCCTCAAAATATCTATAGTTCGTATTTTTGTGATATTTGACCTTCAAAAATGCGGGGGTACATTAGCTGGAGCCTCCGAGGGCCTCTAATAACTTACTCTGTTCTCAGAGCCCTTCAACGACGAATTGACAATTACTGCAAGCTTCTTCGAGTCTGCTAAGAATCGAAGTACTTGCGCCCACTAGATTGAACGGACCAGCCGAGTTTGCCCCTGGCAGCAAACTGGCAGTCACATGACATGCGACATATCCAAGTTCATGATGATACCCACGCTGTTACTAGAATCACTTTCGCTGCTCGTCAGCAGTGTGCTGTACATCGGCAGAGATATCAATGCATGGTGATCCGCTGTGAGTGACCATATCTTTTCACAATCCACAATCCCCATCTCAACCTCACAAGTTTCCAGCTCCAGAATATCATCTCCACAACCAGTGACAACTCATCGACCATCCCGGGTCCTTGACCGTGACACCGCCACTACCATGGCATATATATCCTTCTCACAACCCGCGCGTCCTCAATCTTCTTACCCTGCTTGTGGTCTCGTTATCATACAATTTATTATATCACACTGGCGCTTGTTATCGCTCTCCGACAACGATTTTTCAGCATTTTCCTGATGGGCCGGCCGCAAATGCGAGAAGCTCTCGAGAACGGCATTGCGAGAGTTACTAGAATCGCTGACGAAGCCGTGAATGGTTTTCAAAATTGAAACGTGGTGTTTATATCACGCCCACAGCTAAGACTAGCCGAAATTCAATCATCAAGTCGAATTAAGCTTCGCGATCCATAGCTACATGGGACATCATCGTGTTTCATGATTACTATTAGTACTCGTGAGTGCTCACTACTCAGGTGTTCAAGTTCGCCACTCACTGAACCCACCCTCCTTCAATATGACCCTAGTATCAAATGATCCTAACTGGTGGCCGACTATCCAATTTTATCGCGTTGAAAGCTATTATACAGGTTCGGGAAGCAAGCCGGTTGATGTTGGTTTATCATTGACTTCTAGTAATTGGTTCCGCAGTTGCGTCCACTGTTGTGGTGATATACGACTGGGGTGAGCAAGACACGGCCGGGTTACTGGTTACTGAGGAAGTTCCTGATGTTTCTATACTATTCCCAAGCACTCACATTCGAACAAGAGGTAGGTGATGTCATTGCTAGAGCAGCCGTCCCACTATTAATGGTTTTATAGTTTGAACTGGTCTGGGTGAGCATAGTACTATGTTAGAAGGACAACCGGATGATTTACGATATGAATTCGAGATAGAAGCGACGCTGGTCCCTCATGAGTGTCTTATATCTCGGTGTACGTACCTCACCAAGTTACGATTGACAAGTGCATTTACCTTAAGATATTCTAGCTGCGCTACGGTGGAATATTATACTCTGTGTATGTTTACATGGCCAACACGTTGGTACTGTGCTGATATTCCACCTCTCGTAACCAGCATCAATGTGCTGGGTGCGTCTCTCCCACTCTTTGTCCTTCTCACGTGTACCAAACTGTGGCATGTAGCAAGTATTCCCGACACTCTCCGTGACAGATGCTGTGAGTAATCCGAGCAATGCGTGCCATTGCCGTCCAACTCACTATTCACCCATGTAGGGGTGAGCGATATTCTCGACATTGTTGATTAAATGTAACATCTGAACAGCTGTGAGATTGGACTTAGTCCCCTATAATGCTCATTACTGATTGTGTTTTTAGGCACTGTTTTTGATCTCGAACAATGGTGGATGTTTACCATCGCAAATATCATCCTAGGCGGTGAGCTACTTAGCTTCAGTGCATCACTAGTGTCATTAGCTTGGCTGAAATATTATGCAAGTGATCATGATCACTCGGTTGCATGCCATGTATCAGCGATCGAGAAAGATGCTCATCTTTCTTGTTGTATTCTTCCTTGCCGTGTCGATTACCAGCGGAGTAATCACGGTAATACAAAGCTCGCATCTTACAGGAGGTAAGCTTTGGTAATGCATGAAGGACTTCAGAGAGTCAGGCTCACAAGACAAATAACAGAGGAACTCGTCCTCTCCGGTACCTATCAGTGCGATTATGGAGGAAACAGCATACTTCTATCAGCCACCACTTGGATACTCGGCACTGTATGGGAGGCCCTCACATTGTATCTTGCAGTCCGGATCGCTATGAAGCATTTCCGTGAACGGCTATCAACAGGATCGATTATTGAGGACTGTTTCACGGTATTAATAAAAACTCATGTATTTTACTTTGCAAGGTGAGCTCGTAATTTCTCGGAGTACATATCTTGTTAACGCTGAAGTTCCACGCGTTCTAGCTTTGCTGCCGTTGCTTCCTTCCGCATTAGCCTCCTCTCTCCAAACCTGCCGGTACGCTCATCCATGACTGACTCACATGTATCTGACTGCTCCTCGATTATGCAGAACGGAAGTTCCGAGGCAGATGAGCTTTATTACGGTGTTTCGCTAATTTCCGCGCTCTTGCAGATGTTTTTGCTGGGACCCCGCCTCGTCCTTAGCGTTCGAGAACACGGCACCAAGCTCGTTGCTGACTCTGACGAAGCAATTGGCATGACTTACAATCGCTTTCCAGGAGCACGCACCCGTGTCGACTGGTGGCGGTGTGTAGTATGGGAAATGCTCCATGACATTGGCATCTTGGCGTCGGTGTATTGCAGGGGGGTTGAGAATGCTGTTTGGATTTCGGAGTTTCGTCATGGTACTGATTGATATGCGTTCTCAATTATGTCTGAGAAATAGCCTTACCCTATGTTTGGGTGTAATGACTACAAACCGTTTAACGCCGGAAAGTGCTGTTTCAACGCTTACCGCAACTACCACTCAGCTCAGCGCCAAACCCAGTCAGCATAATATATGTCCCCGTTTTATTGCTAAACCCTCGTCGCTACCGACTCACTCGACCCTTCAAAAGACCCGTTCTCGTCACCCTTGCCCTACTCGCAACATGGCCGTCCCGAATCTGTCAAATCCCACTATGCAACTCTCGTCATTCTGTCAATACCATACCCGTTTATAACGCCACTCACACAATCCTTTCGTAGCCTCTTTCCTTCCATTCTACTCTACCCTGTCAGGCGCGACGCCACTGCCTTCAGCGTCCGTTGTCACATAATTGATTCGGCATGGCCATACCCGACCCTTAGCTCTTCCCGGTATAAAAAGTAGCCCATGTACATTCCCTACTGCAGGCAATCATAACCAGTATCCAAGTCTCATTCTCGCACTCGTCATCTAAACAGCATCGCTATATCTATCGTTTATCATCTCAGACTCGTCACGGTCCTCATCGCATAACCTTCGTTAACGCTAACCTAACTCTACAGCGCACCTACAGACCACTAGCGGTCTCCACGCCCATTCGAATTCGCAGCGAGAGCCTCGTAGGTTCTTACATGGGAAAACCCAATATGTGTAGTAATTTAAACTGGCCAGGCGCCCACCCCTGATTGGTGAAGCAGCATTGTCATCTTATCTTCAGTTGACTTAGGTAACACTTGGGAATCGAACAGGGTAAACTGGCCGAACTGAGCATGCATTCAGGGGGAAAGGGTCAACTACTCTATCAGTAGATCAACGCTTTAATACTGTAGAGTAAGGATATTGGTGATGGTAACCAATATTAGACGATGAGAGCCTTACAGTTCTAGAGCAAAGCGAACATAACAGCGTACATGATAATGAATATCGACTGTGAGTGAAGACTGAAACGGAAGTAAGCTTTCGGAGAATCTTTCCCTAGAATCCAAACAAGAGCAATTGCGAAACAGGAACTCCCTACAATGAATGGATTGTGGAGGAAGGCCATCATAACGACTGCTTGAACGACAGTCAAGACTATTCGGGTCTTAAGGGGAGACTCCAGAAGGATGGGTATGGTCGGGACTCCAGTCTTCTTATCCTCGTGATAGTCCCGCACATCGGCCATAATCTTTGGAAGACCTTGAGTTGGGAGTTCATTCATAGGAAGAAATCGTCTTACACAGTGACAAATGCGATTGACTATCGACCAAATCATAGTCTCAGTGACCGTCCATGGAGGCACTTTATGGGCTGATTGCCATGATAACTGCAGTGCTGAGTGGACGACGAGGAATGGCATACAGCTATCTTCAAGTCAAAAACGATAAATCGTCAGGATGCGACAGCACATACCTCCGAATGATACCATCCAATATAGCCTTTACGCCAGGAATTCGTTTGATGATCAATGGTTCTTTAGATCTGGGTGAATTATATCCCACTTCTCGATCATAATTTGCCAGTATGAATCTCTTCAATACCCTGTCGATCCACTGAAGATCAAGCGGCGTCACCCACAGGAAAGCGGGGGCAGTGAAGACTGCGGTGATGAATGTCACTTCTGATGGACTTTGACATAAAGCCATCACAAGGAGCGACGCATTTAACGCCAGAAAAACACGGGCAAGGCGGAACAGGGGGGTAAAGCGCTTCATGGCAGGCGCACCCAGGGCACCAATGACAACTTCTTGATCCTTCAAGTGGTCAACACTGACAGTAAGAATGTCGCATGTCAAGCATACAGTGATCTTTTAGACTAGGTAATCAGAAAAACTGTAAGGCCCGGAATCAACAAACAGAGGGCCTACCGGCCTCCAGTCAATCTGTCCAGCGATTTCGTAGGACAGGAAGGAAGAAAGCACAGCAGTGCTCATCCCCACGATGATGGGCTGCAGGATCACGTAGCCAACGAAGGTTGAAACTGTGGGCGTAGCCATCTCATTGAAGGTAGGTTCTCAGAGTCCGCAAGCCCAATAAGAGGATGTGCAATAGAGTTGTAGCCTTGTAGGTGACCTTTTATCATTCCTAAGAGCTTCGGCTTCAAAATAGGAGAAATGTACAACGTACGGCTAGTGTTGTTGGCAGAACTCGGGAGTTCTGCTAGCCGGTTTGGCAAAATTGGTTGTGCCTGGTCCACGGCAGAACCCCACGGTATCCGAGACTTGCGGAGATGTAATTTAGATCTCTGATAACAGTTTGAATTCAAGAGAACGTGAAGATCGACGTCCCTAAAGTAAGATAGTGCATGCCGGAGGGCGCCTACTCGCATCACTGATCAACGACAATTTCGAGCGCCTGAACATTGCGGCGACACTGGATAACATTGATATCATCGTTAGGAATGTTGTACAGATAGTCCACATGGCCTAGCTGGGCGTCTAGAGTTTTGCCAGTTATAACCGGCAGAACTAAACTCAAGTAGTTTTTCCCCCTGCACTGAACGTACCTCAATCTCAATACTTCCAGCACCGTTCGGTGATTATCAATCACCTGGCTGTCGCATGGGTCTGCAGAAAACTAAGAGCGAAAATAAGTATCAATGGACTGATAATGTAAGCTTGCCGAGTGGGTCTTCGCCTCTGCCGCAACTGAGCTAATGCTCGTACCTTGCCGTAGGAGCTGAACAATTTCGCAGTGGTAGCAGGTCACATATCACCGGGTGATGGCCCTGATGGGTGCAGCATTGACTTGAAGCGAAGATGTTGAGTCTGGGATCTTTTCATTGTGAATGACGTGAGGTGAAAGTACAGCGTCAGGGGAGAGACACCGACCAAGAGTTCATATGTGGTACCCTGTTATCATTCAGATCTTTCTCAGTTCCTTCGAACAACTTCAAAACCTGAGAAAACAAAGTCCGGACACCCTTGAGGCACATCATTCACAATGAAAAGACCCCAGACTCTGTTCAACATTTTTGCTTCTAGACAAAAAGTTCTGCCAGTGGTACTTCAAGCCGTTCAGCACATTGCAAGCTCAGCGACGCCTGCGTTAAATAAACTGGCAGAATAAAACATCGGCTCCCCAAAACAAGGTACATGCAAATTTGCCTGACTTACCCGAGTAGCAGGAACAGTGGCGGCAAAAACTTCTTGACCACGAACAGGACAAGTTTCTGGCGCACGCCAACGCCAACATCACGGAGGTATATAGCTCACCGCCCAGTATTATATATACAACCTCACTTGTCCAATGAAGTGCGTCGTACACGACGAGGCCAGACAAATCCAGCAACATTACTGGAACTTCAAACTTATCAGCCTCGGAGAATCACATGCTTGAAACAGACTCACAGCTGTGGCAATCGCTACCAACGAGTGACTTGTTCGAGAATCTCACTCGCCACTACATTGGAGTTCAGTTGTTTTGGCGATGGAAAGCATCAGTGCGGAACGCTCACTGCATCCGTCGTCAAAATTGTTGGAACATTGACTGTATGCGGTTCATCACAAGCAAGAAATAGAGCATATGCGAGGAGACATACTCAACATGTTGATCCTGATTGTGAGGGATGGGCAATGAGCGCAATATCGGTGGCTTAAACTTGCAAACGTACACAGAATATCTTATTCCAACATAGCGCACCTAGGATATTTTGAAGTCAGCAAAACTAAGCGTATCGCCGTGAACAAGTTGTATTTCCTCGTCATTCTTTTGATGTGGGAGTCCACTCACCCAGATCAGTTCAACCTATAACACAATTCTCAGCGAGTTGGCTGCCCCTGTAATGGTGTCAACCTACCTCTTGTCCGAATGTAAGTCCTACAAATACCATAATGATGCCAGTGGTCTTTTCATGCTTAGTATTACCGTACACCCCAATCGTACATTACCCCAACAGAGGCGGCAACTGCGAAACGTCAGCGAAGGTCAGTCACTGTCATCATGCGCCTGACTCTCCATGAACCTACAAAATAGCTGGAAACAAGACTCGCATTGATGAGTGGGCCACCAACTGGGATCATTCGAGACTAGAGTCATTCTATTAGATGATGGGAGTGAGCGAGCGGAGGAGCTTGGTGGACGTATAACGATCGCATTCGTGCTTGATATGCATTAAGCCAAAGTGTGATTTGAAAGATAATCTGATCGAGGTAAGTATTTCAGGCTAAATTCCAGTAGAAAGACGATGTGCATTGGCCGTAACTAAAACTTGTTGGTGAAATCACATGACTCGTGGGAAATGTTCGAACACCGCAATCTGATCATCTCGTGTAGTTTCCAGTGCGGGGTTAATTTTATACAGCACTAGCGTCCTTGAACGTTTGAACGTTCTTACCTACCACTACAGATAAAGGAAAGAATGGATGGAGTCTAGGAGAAACGGGGGGCACTCGAGAAGTACATAGGGGCTACGGGAGTACGCATGACGAGCAGAGGGACGATGACAGGACGGACAGAATAGAAAGAGAGGGAAGGACTGCCGCCTTTGTATTGTTGGGTGGGTTGTTCGCCGTATTTGTTTTCCTACAATCAGGCGTCATCACTTGTTTTTGATTACGAGACCTTCAGGACATGCATGAGCGTATTCATATGCCAATCACACTCACTACACACTTTGCATCTATGATATGCACCTTGTACAAATTGATCTTCACGGGGGCCGCCTACAGCATGGAACACGCTTTAGCATTGTGGATCAAAGAAACACAAGAATGCATAGCTCACTCTTGTAAAGGTACCCAAAGTTTTCTTCCGAGCATCAATATTATAGAGACTTGACTCCATAATCGATATGATATCAGAGACGTTCAGAAACCTCAAGCTCAAGGTTGTACGATGGTAATGGCTTCGCGGTTCGGATGGCCTCTATTACCGTATTATGACATCCCACAGGCATCCAGCCAGACGAATGTCCAATGTCCATGCGATTCATGATAAGTAAGTGGTCATATCCGCATAGTATGTATCACGTTAGGCGTTTCTTCACACCAGTATACATAATTACATACGCGGACATCGGTCGCATATCATGCATTTTCTCTTACGTAGGCCGAGTACATACAACGCTTTATTTTTAGAATAGTGACCCGCTTTCGCTTCCATGTTGACGCGGTCCATTATAATGCTTATGGTCCCGTGGTGCAATGGGTCATCGGGAACGACACGAAGATCTACATGGAGTCGAAATATCTTGGTATTTGCACGTCCACTACTAATCACTACTAGGTGGGTCAGTTTTCTTGCGGATCTATTAAAGGTAAGTGGAGCGTGGAACTTGGAAGACCGTACATGACTTATACATGTCCGATTGATCCGTGCAGGTGTCGAACTTGTGTTTGTAAATCGGTGTAATCCATGCACTGTAATCTCAGCGTACCCCTCGCTCATCGCAACAAATCGCCATGTTCTGGGTACTTCACCTGTTGTATTTAAGGCGCGGGGTGTCTTGACTATCAGCAACTTGAAGTCCAACTGTTTCAATGGCGTTTATCACTGTTGCATGCACCCTTATCGTCTTGGCCAGCATCTGGATCGTGAAGCAACGCTATCAGGCCGCAAGGCGGTTGCCATTACCGCCTGGACCGCCTGGACGTTGGCTTTTAGGAAATACGATGCCAAAGTCAAAGTAAGTCTTTGTTGAAGGACATTAGTATGATCTCTGACCCCTCACACAGTGCGCCATTTCAATTCGCGAGGTGGACAGAGCAATACGGTCCCGTGTTTTCGCTCAAACAAGGCCATAGGATTTTCGTGATTATAGGACGTTATCAGGTAAGCATCAAACAAATCATCGTCTAGCCAGGCATGAAATGGGTCTCGTCATAGGCTGCGGTGGATATCATGGAAAAAGAAGGCGGAAATCTCGCCGACCGCCCACGATCTATTGCAGTGCAAGAGACATTATCTGACGGGATGAGAATCGTCCTTGAGGGCAGTGGTGAGAAATTGCGCCGGCTCCGCAGGTACGCATATTGTTTCTACCGGGTGCGATCAGTGAGACTGAATGTAAGCAGGGTCTTGCATGCAGGCTTACAACCCAAGGTTGCGGAGACCTACGAGCCCATCCAGACTAGGAATGCGAAGAATCTGATTCTAGATATCTTAAATGATCCAAAGAACCATCAAGGTCATGCCATGCGGTACGAACACTAGTTCTTGCTCATGTGGTAGAGGTGGTAATACTTGCATTTTAGTTATGCAGCTTCCGTAGTCATGTCCTTCACTTATGGAAAAACTTACTCCGACTTCGTACTCAGACCCTGAAGTCGTTGCCCTCAACAAGTCTCTTGAGCGTTTTGGTCAAGCCATGAAGCCGGGAGCATACCTTGTGGATGCGTATCCAATCCTGCGTTTCATCCCAGGCTACCTGAACCAGTTGAAGGCATGGCACCAAGAAGAACTTGCTCTCTTCAACGGGCAGTTGGATGCGGTGCGAAGACAGATGGTTCGTGATTTTGCTGTTCTAACGGATGTCGTTGCTCACGGCTGTGAAGGGTGAGGAGACCGCGACGCCATCATTCGGGAGGTTCATTTTAGAGCACCAGAAACAGTATCAGCTCGAAGACAAGGAAATGGGATACATTGCAGGAGGAATGTTCGCGGCTGGTTCTGATACGGTAAGCTCTTACACTGCATCATGACGTCTTAACTTGACAACTGTTGTAGACTGCATGTGCAATCACAATTATGATGATGGCTGCTACCATTCACACGGACACACAGGCTCGCGTACAAGAGGAGCTTGATGACGTTGTGGGGCGTACGCGGCGTAGGTTATACCTTTGCTTTGTTCATCTACTGACTGAAACAGCTCCTGATTAGTGCCGACATTTGATGATCAGGAAATGCTGCCGCAGGTTACCGCGTTCATGCTGGAGAGTCTGAGGTGGAGACCTGTTGCCCTTGGAGGTACGTCCCATTTGAGTTGTGATGACACGGCAATGGGTGACAACCTTGCACTACAGGCTTTGCGCATCGCGCGAATAAGGACATAATTTGGAATAACTACCTCATTCCTGCAGGTGCGACTGTTATTGGCAACCATTGGTCAGTAGGCAATCATTTTCGTTGTCCCACGTTTGTCTTTGACGCTCGTCTTTCAGGGCTATCGCAAACGATCCTGAGGTCTTCCCAGAACCGCAAAAGTTCAATCCTCAGCGTTGGATCGACGATGCAGGTCGTGTACGCAATGATCTCCGATTCTTTACTTTCGGCTTTGGCCGCCGGTGAGTGGCATCGTTCATTTCTCGACCGGTTCTCGTGACTTACTTGAAAATGTCAGAGTGTGTCCCGGTCAACATGTCGCAAATCGGTCTATGTTCATCAACACGGCTCTTATTCTCTGGGCTTTCCGTTTGTCTGAGAACCCTGCAGCAAAGATTGACACGCTTGCTTTCTCGGATACTGTGGCCGTACATCCTGCTCCGTTTGAGATATGTTTGGAGAAGAGGATCGAGGAGAATCTGATCAGGGAACTGTGTGCACCTGGGGAGTAAAGGGCGTTTATCTAGAACTTGAAAGTCCAGTCATGTTTATAGTATGGAAAATAGTTAATAATTAAAAGTTAATACATTCGCTCCAGCCATTGTTAAGGCGCGTGGATGGAATTTCATAGTTCGTATTCTCCTAAGCGCAAGGCACGAGCACGTGTTAGAATGTAGTCTATGCCCATTACGAGTAAGGAAGACCCACGCCTTCTTTCTTTTCTCCACCACGGCTCATATTATCAGCGTCAGTCATTGTCGTCTCTCAATAGACTTGCGCTTGATCTACCTGTTTCAAATCAGCAATATAGATCAAACCACCTGTTTTACTATTATTAAAAGACAATGGACAGACTCTTCTCGGACCCAAGCCTCTTAGTATGTCCGGACTTTATGGGCGCAAGGTATCAGGCTATGCGCACCGCCATGGTCTCACCTGCCGTCACAGAAGCTCAAGCAGCGGAGACCTTGCGCACCACTTGGGTGTTGACCAACGAAGACTTATGTTTACAATGGCAAGAACAACTAGCAGAAGACGAGCGTCTCAGTGCCGAACGCAAGCGTTTAGCCGAGGAAGAAGCCGAACGTGAACACATGGATATTCAACTAGAAGAAAAAACTGCTCGCGCAGAGGAAAAGAAAAAGAACCGTTCAAAACATTCTGCAATCTTAATGCGTCCTCGTCCTTTCAACAACGACAAAGAAGCCTTAGTATCAGAATTCGCACTGCGAAAGATAGACAGTGGGAAGTATGTCAAGCTCTACTACTGGACCAACGATGGACTGGACGATGCACTAATCAATTACCGCACTCGAGACGATGACAGCATGGTTCCTTCCATTGGGGAAGACAGGTTCCACAGTATGGGTCAGTGCAGCCACCTCGAAACCAGCAGTGGGTGTTATAGCAGATAGAGATCTTTCCCCGGTGGATTTTGCTCAAGCCATTCCACGCATAATGGGAGCCATTGAGGAGCGTGACTGGACCAAACAGCGTGTCCGGATGCTCGCGCAATTCTGGGGTGCTATCATGCTGCATTGTTACTGGAACTCCCCCGACTTGCTAGCTAGACGAGCAATCTTACTGTACCAAGAAGAACAGTGGCGAGCTTGGCATAGCGCCATTCTTTCGTCCAATGGCTCTTGGGACCTCTCCATCATCGATGAACCCACCCTTTTACGAACCTTTGAACGCGTCTATCGTGCCTCCCTCATACGCACAACAAATGTATCACCGGATGTTCTGGTATGTGTTTAGCACCTTTCAGTCAGGACACCACTAATTTATTGTTATATTTCATCTACCTGCGCTCATGGGCTGTGTTTATTTGTTTGTGTGTTTGCGTTTGCGTTTGCGTGTGCGTTGATATGGACACTCTCGTCTACATACGACTGGCATGTCTGCGGTATGCAGCCTCAGAGCAGCAACTCCAACTCATGAGGTGGACAAGGTTCCAACTGTCGTTCGAGGCGGTCCAAGCGTTCGGTTTCCCCACCAGCTCGGAGACGCTCTGCCTCTCCTGGAGCAGGGAAGTATACCAATGGCCTGCGCAACCCCAAACAGACCTTGCAACGGCAGGGTTTTCAAGACAGCACACACAGCAACCGCTCCTCAGCAGTGTGCGCAGTCTGTCTGGGGAGCCACAGCCACAGCTTCGTCGAGTGCATTGCCGAACGACTATGGGACAACAAGTTCCAAACCGTTACCACCCGTACGAACAGATCACTTACCCTGCGCGGATCCGACAAGCCTCTGTGTGTCGACTGGCAGCGCACTCGAGGCTGTGGCAGCTGGGTGCACGACGAGCGACACATCTGCTCGGGTTGTCTGGCCACATCTCATGGGGCCCAGAACTGCTCTCGAGCACAGACGTCTTCATCCAGTCTCCCCGTATAATGTGGCGGTTTGGGAGGACAAACTACGTACATACAATCTCCTTCTTGATTATCCCAATTTGTTGCACGGTTTACAGTCAGGCTTTCATATCAAAATCCCCGCTATCACTTGTACACAGTCCCCACCTAATAGTTCATCACTTGTTATATTCAGAGACGCGTTCCAAAAAATCCTCGCTCGAGAGCTCACCACCGGGCGTTATATCGGCCCCTTCTCAGACACTGAATTACTCTCAGCGCTCGGCCCTTATCAGTCCTCCCCCATATCCATTATACCCAAACCAGGGAAACCAGGGAAGTTTCGTGTTATTCAGAACTATTCCTTCCCGTTGGTCCCCTCACCAGCCTATCCTAATCCCTCAATCAACTCATGCGTCAACTCAGATGATTTCCCATGCACCTGGGGTACCTTTGACACTATATGTACAATCATTCGGTCTCTCCCCCCAGGCTCTCAAGCCGCCACCCGCGATGTCGCCGAAGCCTACCGTACCATCCCACTGCACAACTCCCAATGGCCAGCAGCTGTTGTTCGTCTCCCAGATGGCAGCTTCTGCATGGACACATGCATTTCATTTGGGATGAGTCCTTCAGCAGGGGCCTACGGCCATGTTGCCGATGTGGGAGCTGATCTATTGCGAGCCAAAGGTCTCGGACCACTGGCAAAATGGGTGGACAATCACATCTTCTTTCGCATCCTATGTGAGTTCCTGGCAAGTTACAACAAACTACGAGAGGAAGTGTACGCTTCATTGGCCGCAGGAGGGAAAAGACAGACAGGTGGGCGCTTGTGGCACAAAGGCAAGATCTTTGATGATGAGACCTTTGAAGTCTACGCAGAAGACTGTCGGTTCCAATTTAGGGATCTGTCTCAGTCCTCACCGCGTGTGCTCATTGACGGAAAATTCACCTACGCCTTTGCTGACATTAATCGAGCCTCCTTACCACTGGGCACCCCATGGGAGCCAAACAAGGATACAGCTTTCGCCTATGAAGCACTGTACCTCGGTTTACTGTGGGGACTCCCTCAACTCTCAGTCAAACTATCACTCGCGAAGACAAGGAAGTACTTGGCGGCGATTGAAGAATGGCGCTCCCGTCCGATGCATGTCCTCCTGGAGGTGCAGAAGTTATACGGCAAACTTCTGCACTCCTGCCTGGTTATCCGAGTGGGGCGAGCTTACCTCACCTCACTGGAGACCATGCTCACCATCTGCAGTCATCGTCCTTTCATGCCGCACCACCCAGTACGCCATCTCAGCAACGACCTCGATTGGTGGAGTGCCAGACTCACCCAACCTTTCGTCGGAAAGACCATATCCCAACCGCACACCCTCGTCGACCTTCGTGCCTTCTCCGATGCAAGTTCAACCGTCGGAATTGCAATTGTTATCAATGGGTATTGGCGTGCATGGACCCTCCGACCAGGTTGGAAGACCCTTGATGGCCAATGAGACATTGGTTGGGCCGAGTGCGTTGGTTTCGAGCTTCTCACGATGGCCATCCTTGACGCTCGTCGAGAACGACCCTTCAAGCACTTCCACATCTTCTGCGACAACCAAGGTGTGGTCAATGGCTGGAAGAATGGCAGGAGCCGAAACTGGGCCACCAACCTTGTCTTCCGCAGGATCCACCAGTGTCTCGAATCCGTCTCCAAGGACACTTCATTTCACCTCTGCTACATCCCTAGTGCCGACAATCCCGCAGATGGCCCTTCCCGGGGAGTTTTCCCACCGCGGCAGCTACTCCTTCCCCCCATTGTCCTTCCAGGCGACCTCTCAATGTTCCTTGTCGACGCAGACCTCTCCACAGGGGCGTCAAACACCAACAGTCGGGAGACAGATGATGATAGGATGGTTGACGAGGCAGAGAATGGAGAGTGGGGACATCAGCTCCTCAAGTATCACGATGCCTGGCGGGACTAACACTTCTCGGTTCCAAAACCTTGTTCCCCTCATAACACCTCTCCCTGCAGTGCAGCCTCGTCCTTATCGCACAGACTTGACGCCACGAACATCACCGTTGCAGCCGCATTGCCTGGCATGGGAGCGTCTCTGCGTGTGGGTACCAGCAGTAGTGAGATCTTGTCTCGACCACATGGGGGCACCAGTCGCAATATCTGATAATGATTTGGACCGCATCTTGACAGTGTTAGCACATTCACACGCTCCCAGCACACGAGAGACATATGGATCGGGTCTGCTAGTCTTCCACGTGTTCTGTGACGAGCGCAACATACCCGAACATCAATGCTGCCCCGCGTCGTCGATTCTGATATTGGCTTTCATAGCATCATCGGCAGGAATGTACTCTGGCAAGACTCTTGAAAACTATCTCTACTCCATCTGCGCATGGCATATGCTGCATGGCCAGGATTGGTTTGTGAACCGAGATCAAGTATCAGGAGCACTAGAGGGAGCTAAACATCTCGCGTCCAAGACTTCGACTTGCCCAAAGAGAACTCCGTTCACAGTCAACCTTATCAGCGCCTTACACGCAGCACTTGATCTAACCAATCCCTTACATGCAGCAGTATACGCTTGCTTGACAACTTCCTTCTTCACCATTGCGCGCATGGGGGAATTTACAGTACCAACTCTGCGGGGTTTCAATCCAAACACACACGTCAAAGTTGGAGACATGCATGGCGAAGAAGATAGGCATGGCCTTTGCGTAACCGTATTTAATCTTCCCCGCACCAAAGTCGTTTCGACAGGAGAAGATGTCTTTTGGGCAGCGCAATCTGGAGTGATAGACCCCCAAGCCGCACTAGCTAATCACCTTGCCATCAATCGCCCGACCGCTGAGGATCCACTGTTCAGTTGGAGACATCGGTCCGGGCTGCATCCGCTTACAAAGACGCAGTTCATGAAGTGCCTGCAGGACGCCAACAATCGTTTGAGTGGGAGTCCTTGAAGGCACATGGCATTCAGATTGGTGGCACCTTGGAGTATCTCTTACGGGGAGTCCCTTTTGAGACTGTTAAAACCATGGGACGCTGGAGCAGCGACTCATTCCTAGTGTACCTCCGGAAGCATGCGGTGATATTGGCACCTTACCTGCAAGATCATCCGATTCTGGAACCTTTTATGCGCTACGCGCTTCCGTGAGAGATTTATGTAAGTGTCACGCACCTCCTTGAGTTTCGGGGCTGAGCTAAAGCTAGATGCGTCGTTTTGCTCCTTTAGAATTCAGGGTATCTCAGCTTGCTCTTGCCCGCTTTTTCTCAGAGGTCCAAAAGCTTGTTTCGGTCGAAAACCCCTGCGGGTTTTACCCAAACACTCGTTTAATCATTTCTCGCGTAGTTTAAATGTTTCACTCATTTGTTGCTTGGCGTTTGTCCTTGTCATTCGTTAGCTCTTACAGCAATTTAATCTTCTCTTGAGGTCAACGCATAGATCGTATTCTCCTAAGCGCGAGGCATGAGCACGTGTTAGAATGTAGTCTATGCCCATTACGAGTAAGGAAGACCCACACCTTCTTTCTTTTCTCCACCACGGCTCATATTATCAGCGTCAGTCATTGTCATCTCTCAATAGACTTGCGCTTGATCTACCTGTTTCAAATCACCCGCCCTCCACACCCTTGAATCAGCTCAATAATATTCAGACTTTGGTCGGTAATCAAGGAGCTTGGACATCAGAGGGCATCCACACATGCCTTACCAACCAGTAGATTGACTTCTAGTATGATCAGGTACATACAATGCCGTTTGCATTGGAAGTCCTAATTTGCATTAACCCACCTTTACCTCATTAAACAGACCAGTTAGCGAGGTTTATTGACACTCATCTACCCTGGGGGCAGAGCACAGGCAGTGTAGTCCTGCAGAATCATTTACGTATTAATTACCTCCCCTGCCTGTATAAATGGTCCAGGTCGATCCAGACATTATCAATCACCCTCATCCCCCCATAGCTTACATGGAATCCTATACCACTGTAGTTTCTGGGACATCCAACTCTGGGTCACCCTCACAGTCACCCCCTATCAGTCCTTTAGTGGTTGTTATAGCTGCTTCCTTCATGATAGGATCGTCACACACCTTGGCCAGTCCTGATTCCTGGAGGTTTGATAGGTTTGTTACACCCAGTCACCAGCAGCATCTAGGGACAGGGGACCAAATCCTAGTATATCATCAGGTTTTCAATTCCCCCACACAACCTTTACCAATGCCAGTTTTTCGGGGTACTTTGGACACAATAGTGGGCTGGGGGAGTGACCATGTTGAGTTTGGGGTCAAAAATTGCAACAATAAGAGGGATCGCCCCAAAATCATCAGATTACCACTGGTGGTGGCACATCTTTCTATATGGCAACATATACAGAGGTTTTTCTTTCCTTTCCCGCGGACAGCCACTGCACCCTCTCCGCCCAAAGATCAGTTGCGCAAACGGACCCGTCAACTCAAAAAGGACGGCGTGATAGGGGATCGTGTCCCTCGCGACAGCAATGGTCTTCCCATATGGTCGTGAGGTTACTTGATCAAGTAATACTCCCACCGCTTCATATATTCGTACTTTAACTCATCTCCACGCGATAGGTCCCGCACCTCGGATCCATGGAAAGAGTTAGATTGATGACCGTTCTAATTGTCAGTTTAATGGTATGACCAGATGCAAGTCTTTTGCGACCTTTTCCAAGCTGATTGGCCCCACCCGCCCTCTCAGCTCGCTCTTGCCCGTTTTTTCTCAGAGGTCCAAAAGCTTGTTTCGGTCGAAAACCCCTGCGGGTTTTACCCAAACACTCGTTTAATCATTTCTCGCGTAGTTTAAACTGTTTCACTCATTTGTTGCTTGGCGTTTGTCACTTGTCGTTCATTAGCTCTTACAGCAATTTAATCTTCTCTCGAGGTCAACGCATAGACTAAATATTACACAGCGTGTGCTTGGGACTGTGATGGAGACCTTGGGATTGTTCAAAGTAGAAACTGCAAGTTGCAGACTTGGAAGAACATGCTATGGGATGTGAGTCCGCTAACACCTGGTAAAAAGACGATGTGCATTGGGCAGGGATCAAGCTTCAGGTAGTGAAATCACATGACTCGTGGGGAATGTCTGAACACCGCAATCGGTCCAGTTACCCAGTGGCTGTACATGTGTGATCTTCTTGCTGTAGTTTCCAGTGTGGGGTTAATTTCATACAGCACTAGCGTCCTTGAATGTGCTCACCTACCACTGTCCAGCAAGCTTTCCATAGATTGAATCATCCATTCATCCCATCCCATCCCATCCCATCTCCATCGCACTTCGGGACCTTTACTCCGACAAATCCACACGTTGATTCAAATCTTCATACGTCGTTCGTTCCTCGAGATGAATATTGCCCAGATGATTTCTAACTGCACCCAGCTAGTACTCTCAATTTGTCCATTTCGTCACGAATATCACAACCTTCGAGAATGAGTGAGGAACAATGTTGGTTTTCTCACTCTTGTTCCTCTCCTGCTTTCTGACCTTTTGACAGTTCTTCCATCGTTTAAAGATACTTGGGCGAGGTTGTCCGAGGTTGCTGTCAAGGGCGCTCAATACAACTCCCCTGAACTGTCAGCCCCATCCAAAATGTTTGCAAGGGACCCGGGTGGATCTCCTCAAATACATCCACGGATTCCTGGACAGCCGAAAGAAGAATCAACTTATCTGGCTACATGGCCCTGCAGGCGTCGGAAAGTCTGCCGTCGCATTTACTGTAGCTGAGAGGATGAAAGATCTAAAAGTGACAGAGGAGACGCATGTTGAAATGCGGCTAGCGGGAACATTCTTTTTCTCGTGCAAGCACATGAAACGTTGCACAGCTAGATATTTCTTTGCAACGCGTGCCTACCAGCTCGCCAATAATTTTCCAAGCATCTGGCAGGATGTGAACAGAGCGATCCGCAATAACCCTGCTTTACTAGACCCAGACGCGCCTCTCTGCGACCAGATGAAGGCTCTCTTTCTCCAACCCCTCCGGAAACTTCAACTCAGATTGCACGGGTGTCAGCCTCTGACGTTTGTTGTCGATGCCCTTGATGAATGCACATCCAAACCCGAGCTTACCGATCTCATCCTTTCCCTTGCGCAGGCTCTTCATGACCCTGATATTCCTGTGACCCACATCCTACTCACAAGTCGCTCGGAAACCCATATTTCAGAAGCCTTTCACATCGAAGATGTGCGCCCATTGTTGTGTGAAATACCAGTGCAAATTTTTGTGGAGGGCGTTGCTACCATCATGTCGCTTGACAGCGCCGATGTCGACAAAGATATCTATGTTTTCTTGCAGTATTCCTTCGCAAAGCTGGCAAGTCGCCATCCCAATTTTCCTCACCCAACGAGGGACAAACTCACGCACCTGGCGAGCTGCGCTGGCAGACGTTTCATTCGTAGGCATCTACAATGGTGAAGTTTATTATTGACGATGAAGACAAGGATCCCCGTGATCGGTTACAGCTGATGCTCAAGCTGACGAGTGAACTGCTAGCAGGAACGGAGGTGTACAAGTTATACGACCGTATCCTCTCCACATGTGCTGACCCCGCGCGAGCATACCTGCACTTGTCCATTGTTGCCGCGCTCGCAGACCCTCTTCCCATCTCAGCAAATCTCGTTACTTCTTGGTCCTGGTTTGGGCAGAGATGTGCAGACAACTCTGATACAGCTACAGTCTGTCATGGATATCCCTACAGACAGCATTCTCCCTGTGAGTATTTGTCACTCATCTGTTCGTGACTACGTTTCTGATCCCTCAAACTGTGGCCTCCCCCAAGTATGTAATATCGCATCACCCCACTCCCTACTCGCATGTTCGTCTCTCCACCTGATGACGGAGATTACAGGAAAACACGGCTCTCTTGGATGCGCTCTCAGAACTGGAGAAACAGAGCCAAGCTATGTGACCTGAGGACCCCCATCAATTAGAAGTTTCGCTATCCTTCCTTATTCGGCCACCAGAACCACTGTCAGTTCTCATATGTATGCTATGGCTTCGGGGAGATCGTACTTCAGATTTACAATATTGGCTGGGGACCGTGGACGGGCATGCCTGGGTGCAGACCACGAATGGGCAAGACTGGCTGCAGACCCGGGGAGGACGAGACTGGCTGCAGACCAATGGGGGATGACAGTGGCTGCAGACCGGGGGAGGACGACGGTGGCTGCAGATCCAGGGGGGACGAGAGTGGCTGCAGATCCAGGGGGGACGAGAGTGGCTGCAGACCGAAGGGAGGACGAGAGTGGCTGCAGACCGATGCAGGACTGAGAGTGGCTGCAGACCGACACAGGACGAGAGTGGCTGCAGACCGACGCAGGACTAAACTGGCTGCAGACCAAGGGAGAGCGAGACTGGCTCTGGACAGGACCAGACTGGCTGCAGACTGAGGCAGGACGAGAGTGGGAGCACACCGAGGGAAGACCAGACTGGCTGCACACTGAGGCAGGACGAGAGTGGCTGCGGACCTGGAAAGGACAGAGAGTGGCTGCAGACCGAGGGAGGGCAAGAGTGGCTGCAGACTGAGGGAGGATGAGACTGGCTGCAAAATTGGAGAGGACGAGAGTGGCTGCAGAACTGGAGAGGATGAGAGTGGCTGCAGACCCTGGGAGGGCGAGAGTGGCTGCAGACCCTGGGAGGGTTAGATTGGCTGCAGACCAAGATGGGGCTAGACTGGCTCCAGGCCCCAGCGGGTGGGCGAGACTGGCTTCAGACCCTGGGCGGGGCGAAACTGGCTCTGGACGCCCCATGCCAAGCATGGCAATCCACTCCTGCGGGGTCCGTATGGGCCGATTGCAGAAGAATTTCCGAGTACGTTGGAAGCAATCAGCAACTATATCATTGTCCCAGAATTTGCTTTACTGCCAACCTTCAAGGTAGTCCAGCAGTTGAAAAGCTTACCGGATTTCTTGATGTTTCCGATGTTCCTGGCGTTGATACCCCAAGATCATTTCACCTTTGCATCGCCAGAGGTTCCTGACAGGGAGATTATCCGTGCTATGAGCGCCTTTATAGCTTTCACAAACAAGGCACAGGAACGAAGTCAATCATCTTCTGATGCTCTCAAGTATGCATCTCAAAACTGGGTTGTTCACCTGTCACATGCTCCAAATCTATGGGACGACACTCTCAACCATATATTCCGGGTTTTCTGGAAGTGTCACCTCCTTTCCTGGCTCGAACGGCAGTGGTGTTTGAAGGGACTGCGGTCTTGTCTTGATATTTTATTCGAGGGGCAGAAACTTGCAAATGTTATTGCCTTGCTTCAGGTTTGACTTTTTCATTTTGTGAAACATCTTTTAATTCTCTCTCATCCTCAGTTTGAACCTTCAATGCACAGCCTAATGAACGGTTGCCAGCCATCGGTCTCAATTACCAGCACTCAACAATGGAATTTAGCGTTTTGGATACCCACAACTGAGAACAGGAGTCCGACTCCAGTTAGGAGAAACGATCACGTGGAGCTGAGAACAGACACATGGGAAAAGGTGCTGTACAATTGCAAAAGAAGGAGGAGAGACTCGGAGATAAGCGACCCAGGCGCACAAATAAGATTCTGCTGAATGCACAAGGATACCGAGCGCTTGAGCGATTCGGAGTGTAGGTGGAGCTCTGGTGGAGTACAAGCAGGGGAGTCATGCGAAAATCCAATTCATGTAGACTCTGATTAGTACAAACTTGAATTTGAAAGTAGTGCAAAGTGAACTTTCGAATATGGCTCTGGAAAGGTCTGTGTATGAGGAAAGCGATCGACAATCACTGTCTTCCGCGTTTCCAATTGAGCCCCTTCAGTGAATTTACCCGTATTAGACGGACAGCTAAAGGTGACAATGTACCAATAGAGGCGGGCCAGCCCATGTGGGCCCATGGCCATAAGTGTACCATGATAGACGAGTGGGCCGGAGGGTGGTGTGTACCTGTTCCAAACGGATGGGCCGGTGGTATATCTTGTAGACGGTAGTATAGGAATGTACTATATAGGATATCTATGAATATAAATGAATTCAGTGTGCGATGGAGACGAGTGGGCCAAGGGTACAGGGTACAATGGAGACGGGTGGGCCGGGGGTATGGGGTGCACTAGAGTCCAGCAGGCCAGGGATATAGGTGTGAATGGGGACGAGTGGGCCGGTATGTGAGGCACAATGGAAGATGAATGGGCCGGGAGGTAAGCTCAATGGAAGATGAGTGGGCCGGGGGGTAAAGCTTGATGATATCCCATCCGGTAGATGATGGAAATTTCTTCCGGTATGGAAGGTGAAGGTGAAATGGATGGTATGGATGAACCAGAAGTGTTAAATGAATGGGCCGGAAGAGCCGGAGGGGCATGAAATGGATGATACAGATGAGCCGGTAGTACATGAAATAGATGAGCCGGATGGGGATGAAATGGATGATACAGATGAGACGGTAGTACACGAAATGGATGATACAGATGAGCCGGTAGTGAATGAAATGGATGAGCCTGATGGGGATGAAATGGATGATACAGATGAGATGGTAGTACATGAAATGTATGATACAGATGAGCCGGTAGTGTTAAACGGACGAGCCGGATGGGGGTGAAATGGATGATACAGATGAGCCAGTAGTGTTAAATGGGCCGGATGGTGATGAAATGTATGATACAGATGGGCCGGTAGTGAATGAAATGGCTAAGCCGGTGGTGCGCTGTGTGATAGAGGTGAAGGTGAAATGGATTATACAGATGAGCCGGCAGAGCGCCATCCAGTCCCGCAACATTCTTACTACTGAATGCATATTATGCAAGTCAAATCATATTGATTGAAAGCATGCAAGGTTGACAACACAATGTAGACGACTAGTACATACAAAAACATGAATGATGTGCTAGTCTTACTGTGTCCAATATCCTGGAAGGCTTGCATGGATATCTAGCACTCACTGATCGACCTTGGTGCGACAGAGGTCCATATCGCGGGCGTGGCAAAGGAGCTGAGATGGACTGCACATCAGCTGGCACACTTGATGGCCTGGCGACTGGGAGATCAGGAGATTGCACAGGTGGTGACCCAACCGGAGGAACAGACGAGCCGGATTCCCTCATTGTCAATGGCGGGATGTTGGTGGGGGTGGATGACACCCAGTTGTGCCTTGCGACCGGTGAGCCATCTGCAGTGTCACCAAACGTATCACCACCTGGTCTGGGCGCCCATCCAAGATACATCCGGAGTGAAGACATTGTTGGTCACAGTGCGGGCAAACGCACTGATGGATGGGCCGGGAGCTGTGATGGGGGGGTGGATTGAATGCTGGTGGACTTGATGCTGTTCGCTTGACCGCATCTCTGCTCCCTGAGGTACCTGACAATGCCTCTTACTTCAGCGGTGCACTCAGAGAGGAGTGCACGCTGCGCATGCATATCCTGCTCAATGTGATCAATCTGCACCGACATGGCACTGTCAGATGCCTCTGTGAGGTCCATTCGACACTCCAGGCGAAGTTGCCGGAAGTCAATTTCCAATTGATCGCATGTATGAAGTTCCTCCATCTCAAGATGAATTTGGGCCAACATGGCCTCCATCTGGTCATGAGAAAGGGGGTGCTGGGTGGACTGACTGGGTCTGGAAGGCGTGGTAGGGGAGGGCGGGCTGTAAACGACAGGTAATGGTGAGAACCAGATGTCGTCCTCTGAGGCCATGGCCGGTGATGGAGGTGGAGGTGGCAACTCGTCATTGTCAGGCTCGATCCAGTGATCAGGAGGGAAATCGTTTGCAGATGCCAAAGGGGCCGATTGTTGTTGGGCACCCGTCACATCCACAGTGCCATCGAGCATCTGGACGCTCTCATCTTCCTCTTGGATAGGACTAGGTTGCCGGATTGTCTTGTCTACAAGCATGCATTAGAATAGAAAGCAACCGGAAGCAAAAGACTTGCCTTTCGCATTAGATTTCTGCCCCATCTTTTTTCCGGTGGCTTTGGACCGGGTCGTCTTAGAGTGAGTGGTGACTGCGGCCACAGGGGGTGCAGTGTTGGTGGTGGGGGCAATGGTGGCGCTCCACAACGAGCAAGTCGAGGCGACATCGCCTTTCTTCGTCAATCGGGGGCAACACTCCACCTTCTTCGCCCGGCACCTGTCACAAGGCGGCAGAGAACCGTCAGTGGGGGGCTATGAGGAATCAGCATGGTAAAAAACATAGCAGTGACCGGAAGACTCACCTGTTCTTGGACCTTGGCTTTCCTGCCGGTGCCCTTGCCCTTGGACTGGATGGACTATGGAATAATGTCAGTCTGGATTCGACCTTCGCAGTTACATGCAAATCCTACCAGTTTTTGTCACTTCCCTGGTCGTACAGTGGCCTGCACCAGGATCAGCGATGGACCGGCAAATATAAAGAACAATAAAAACTTGCCTTTGATCTGCCTTGTGCCTCTTCATCCTCCTCCAATTCATCTACTTCTTCATTGCCCTCACTCACAACCAACCGACTTGCCTTCAGTGTGCCCGGCTTTTTTGCAGGGATGACAGCCTTGCGCATTGATTTCCGGGGCTGTTTTCAGCGTTAGTAATGTCGAATCTACAAAGAAAAAACACTTACCTCGACGTCTGGAAGATCATCGACATCAATGAAGTCGTCATCCTCATCGCCATCAACTTCCGGTGCCTTGGCCTTGGCCTTCCCCTTCCCCTTCCCCTTCACCTTCTCAGTGTCAGTGTCAGTGTCAGACAAGATCTCCTTCAACTTGATGACAGGCTTCTGGGACCGGTTGGCACGAGGCAAAGGAGGGCTGGTACTGAGGCGATGTTTCCGTGTTTTCAACAGCCCTGCCGGTGCAGGCTCACCGGATGCCGCATGTCTGGGCATGCGAATGCTGACATGTGGCACAGGTGCCGGGGCACGAGCAGGAGCAGGTGGTGGTGCAGGTGTGGGTGCAGGTGCAGGTGTAGGTACCGGTGCAGTTGCTATTGCAGTCTTAGGTGTGAGTACCGGTGGGATGAGGAGGAAGACACTCACCAGGAGCTGCAGGTGCAATAGGTGGTACATCACCCAATGTCTTACTGTACAATGGGTGCTTCATGCACATGTCCTGATTGTGCCCAAGACGGTGTGAAAGAGTAATAGCGACTAGGCTGGTTAGAAACTAGCGCTACTTATCCAAATGAGCGCGAGTGTAATATTTGACCCAAGAGGACTGCTATTGAAGCAACTCCCTTCAAATATGCAAGGGTAGCGATGATGCGAAGGGCTAATGACCTATAGCGACCTAAGACCAAAAACCAATGAGTAGCGCTGTAGCGATCAGCGACTAGCGACTAGTGAGTTCCGACAGAGAAACGTGCATATAAGTAAGTAGTGCTATGCAAGTTGTCCTATGCGATAGCGCTATGTGACGTCCGACTAGCGACAGCGAGAAGAAATCAAAAGAAGGGAAAGCAAGGGATAAGGTATGATAGTGCAAGTGGAATGCCTGATAGCGACTAGATTATAGCTCGACTACCGACAGCGATCCCAACGTTGCGAAGATCAAACTTATGAAGGAACTTTAGCGACTGCGCACTCGAAGCAAGTCAAGCGACACGCAATCAGAGAGATTGGCAAGAGTGGAATTGATTGCACCAAAACTAGGATATAGTGACTAAAGTGACTCCAATACCAGCAAAGGTCCGGGGAAGGGAAGTACTGTACTGTATGTGTGACGGGTCATTTTATCATACTGCGTAAAAGTTCGGGAATGCAGTAGGCTGAGAATAGTAGCTGACACTGATGGAGGCACAATGTAGCGACAGGTAATAAGACATGCAGCGCAGCGGAACATGAGGATGCATGTAATAAGACCTGCAACTGATGAGTAGCGACGTTTAATGAAAAATAATGCATCAGCGGAGGTAGGTGGACATAGGCAGGACATGGGAGGACAGAATACCTAGGCGTCGGGCCGGGCAGCGCGCTATGGGAGAAAAGCGGTTCCAAAGCGGATAGCTTGGGAGCTGAATAGCGCTGGTGACTAGCGCTTTACTCTTTTCCTCAAGGTAAGGCAAATTGTGCCTATGACACTCATACGCGCCTAGTGCTGGTATGATTGTCACAACAGGTCCAATCCGGTATTTCCACCAATTGTGTGGTTGCGCCTCTGAGCGCGAAAGATCTCTGCTGCAAGTGACAGCAGGCCAGGGGGGACATAGGAAGCCTCCTTCCCATAGGCGCGAATCGCGTCATTCTGTGTGACCATAGTATCAATCAAAGCAACTGACAGAGAATGAAACATACCACTTCGCAAGCAATCTTCCGGCTCAACTCCATTTTTTTCCTCTTGCGATGGCAACCAGATAATGTCTTCAACCATCTCAGTGAGCCGGGCTACAAGAGCTATGAGAGCCTGGTTGGCAGCAGCAGTGGAAGACGCAGAAGTAGAGTGAGAAGACATGGCAGGGAGATGATTGCAGTAGAGACTTAGTGGACAAGTAATCCGGAAGAGACGTGTTCAACACCACCCTTGGGAAAATGTCGGCAACCGGCAACCCGGCCCGACCCGGATATATCCGAGTCCATTGTTCACTGTCAGCGTCTATTTTTATATCTGAATATCACATTGTGCGGTTCACAACGTCATCAGCAATCAATTGTCACTAGCTAACCTGTGACAAAACCATCCAGGGTCACAGGCTGCAGCAGAACATCTATTCTGCCGGTGATCTTATGAAGACCGCGGATTTATACAACCCTTTCATTAAAATGAAAACAAGAAGGATTGCGATTGTCCGCCATTGCCAAGCATAATCTACATGTGCCTAGTGAGGACAAAGGTAAGAATTTATATACTACCACAATGGACTGGTTGACATTATCCGGCATGCCAGTATTTGACACCTTGCAGCCGAGAGGCGAGGAGCGCACTTACAACAACCCTATGATGGATTGTTCAAGCATGGATGAATGTGAGTTCATCTCATGCACAGCAAAGACAATTGACATCACCTTTGAAGACCTAGATGTCATGTCAGCTCATGACCGGCTGAGAGATGGCAATAGATTGAAGACGGTCCACTTTCAAACCGGGGATGACCACCGGTCATTGGACGTGGGTTTTTCTGAGTCAGATGATGACTGGATAACCAACCCTCACAACCACCCACAACCGGACATGTTGGATATGCAATTCCCCACCCTGTCTGACGATGAACAGTCAAATGGTGAGATGTTAGAATTGGGGTTTCCTCCAGAGTCGGACGTTGGAGATGTGCTAGATTTGGGGGTTTCGATATCGATGTCAGTGATCCGGCCGGACACACAGATGAGGGTGCTGGAAATGGGCTTCAACATGAATCATGTAGATGAATTGGCTGGACTTAAGGAATAATATCACACCGGATGAATAACCCCTGGAGATGGGTTTCGATATGGATTCAGTGCATGAAAGCCCTCTAGAGATGGGTTTTGATGTGGATCTGGGCGCATGTTGACCCGGATCGATCTTGTAAGCCTTCTTGTTGCTCCAGATATCATACTGACCGTTGAAATTCAGTCGCTGTATTCAACCGGATCCCATTGGATTTGTAATCCAACGGGCTGTAGGCGATTTGCGTATAGCAATCCACCGGTTGGATATGGAACCGGGCTGGTGATGCAATGTCGCTGGACGAGGCCTTTGCAAGACAAGAAGTCCTTGACTGCACACAAGAGTTGTTGCTGGCATGTCAACTGATATCGATATCTCGACTTTCAACATGAAGTATGTATTTCCGGTCATATGCTATCTACACCTATTGCTAGAATACTTGTGTGCAAAGATCCAAATTACTACTACTACATATACTGAGCTTTGTAAGAGGCCTTTGAAGTTCTAAGAGCGCTTTGGCTCAGGATTGGTGGTCTGTGCTTCAGTCCTTTGGCTTTCTTGCCGGTGGTCCTTGGGGCAGCGGGTGTTGGTTTGGGCACCGGTGTTTTGTGGTTTTTCTTCTTGGCATGGACCAGATGTAGGACCAAATGCTCTATGTTTGAAGGAGGAGGATTGTTGTCATGAGCACCGGTTGATTGCACAGAACCGGTACTGGCATTGTTTGGCTGGGATTTCTTTCTTGGAGGCCGACTGTCCGACTCTAAATCAGATTGAATGTGATCAACCCTACCGCTTTTTAGTTAGTTTTAATTTAGGTGGCAAAGGAACCGGCATGGATTTCTTGACCAGTGGGTGGGGATCTTCATGCTCTGCAGCAGATGGAGCCGGACTAGCCCTGCTGCGCATGTTGACTGGCCTGGATTTCTTGACCGGTAGGCGATTTGTGACAGGTGTCGACTTTGGAGGTGGCGATGTGCCATCGTCGTTGTCGTCCTCTCGTCATCATCGTCATCGTCCTTCTCTTCGTTGTTGTCTTTGTCGTTGTCATCCTTCTC